ATTCTATGATCTTCACGGGTTATGGAACCTCCCTTTTATTGGTTAGATACATTTTGGTTATCACGCTTCCAAGACCGATTTTTGAATAAGGCCTTAACTCTTTGATCCAGGGCATCAGCATTGACCTTTTTGAACACGGGGTTTGTACCTCTGTCTATCCTCATCAGAGTATCTCTCATCAAAAAGCCTTGCATGCTTCTTTGAATAGCTTCTTTCACCAATAAAATTCTCTTTAATCATCACCTTTCATCAAACGAACATCTTTCTTCGTTACGTCTGAGCCGGGTCCCAGTCCTATTACCAGAGAATGGTCATATTAGGTTCTAGGGTGTGGGTATTCTCGAACAATTCAATAGGAGTTTCGAGAGCTGATCCGATACAGTGCGATTCATTCTCCCCCTCTGGGAATCAAGCCAATCATTGACCCTTTAGAGCACATTAGACCTCTTACCATAGGACTACATAACTATATAACGTATTTCACGGGCGAATGGCCACCACCAAAATCTCATAGTAAATGTGGTGATTTATAACTTTACATCTCAACAATGACATTCTTCTTGAGACTCATTCTTGTCGACAGCAGTTGGTACGGATTTTGAACTTCGTATATAAATATTAAGGAAATTAAAATGCTATGGTATCACAGTATTGAAAATCACCATGTTGAGAACTACGAATATATATAACTTGATATCTCAACAATAGTTTTTTTACGGGGGCTCTCGTAAGTTAGTCCTTTTTGTGTGACATCTAACCTCTTTGGAAGGGTTTAGAACAATTTTATGACTCCCCCCCGTAGATTTCACTAGGCGCTCACCGAGGGGTGATTGAATGCCACAGAAGGCTCTCTATCTTTCGGATTGACGGGGAGTCTGATATGTCCGATAGAAAGGATTTTCACAAGAGGGTGATGATGTTTCTAAGCACTACAATACAATGGGTTAGGAAGGAATCCCACGCCCGACGGAGGCGGTCAACCGCTCAGACAGTGACACCACATCCTCCATTCTCCAGCAGAACTTCCTTGCTGTCACCTGACTTCCCTCTCAGTAGCCATCAGCTTGTGAAATGTTCCTTATTATGAGGTCTGGTTCAAGATATGAAAAAAGTTAGCGGCCAACAGCAATATGGTTCCATAACTCAGTTGGTTAGAGTGTGGTGCTAATAACGCCAAAGTCGAGGGTTCGACCCCCTCTGGAACCATGATATTCTTTTTTGGTCCGTTCTTTGATTTTTGCTGCTCTATAGTTGTTCGTTATCTTTATAATTTCATAATTCAAACAAGAACCAAAGTGCTCGACGTGCGGGGAAAAAAAAGAGCGAACCCAACCAGAGCAACAGCAATGCAATAACGAGAGAAGCGAAAATCGCGCCAAAAAAAACCCGAACTAACTAACAATCATGGTTTGGCACATATTTCCAAAGTTGAGCTGAAATACAGTCAGTCCCACAGCGCCAGAGACAAGACGGCCGAAAGAACCTCGATTTTGTCATTACCAGCAGCCTCCACGTCCTAACTCTTAGCAATATCTCCTAGAGTGCGCTAGTGTCACCAAATCGATATAGCTCCCCTTTATCGAAGATAAGCCAAGACGATTAGAGTTACCTGATAGAAGTGATAGAACCAACACGAGTGGCAGGAGAGATTCAATTATATCTACTGTGGAGGCCATCGTTAAAGCCGTCTTCAAGGATAGCGGATAGAAGATCACGGCTACTAAAGGTGCAATAGAGGCTTTAGGCGTTTCTTGACCTAAGTGATATATATCTTCATCATAGTTAACGTGTGTTTAACCCTCTTTGAAAAATGTCAAGTTCGGAGCATCTACCCGTGTTAATAGGACTCTATTTACTCCCCACAGAGGCCTACGGATGCCTACCTGCTAGGGTTGGTCGATAGGACTACAAAGACGCGGAAATGGCATTTCGAAGCATAGTGATATGTAATTTGATCCGCTTCGAAATGGAGTTTGGCGCTTTATAGTGCCGCCCACTTATCCTGGCAGAGCAGCGTCCATACGCCTGTACGAGGATGAAATCGGCCTCAAGCTACGAAGCCATTTCTGATCATATTTAACTCAAAATTAACCGAAAAGTATAACTAATCACCAATACCAACCCAGGCTGTCGTTACCATGTCAAACTGATAACCCGGCAAATATAATCTTCACCAACTGAAGGTTGTGGTGTTTCTGGCTTCAACTTTTTTGTGTTTCATCAACTGAAGATATAGATGCTCGTTAGATAATTGTATGAAATTCTTTTCATGTCCATCATTGCCTTTCTTCTTTGCTCCCCCTCATTATCTGTCAGTCCACACTTTCATTTTAACCAGTAACACTGTCATACACAGGTTATATGGTTTGCTTACATAGACTTCACATGATGGAATTAGACTGTCCATAATCGATACTCCGTACAGAGTAACGCACATATATATACCTTTGTTATCTGAGTAAGAAGCAAAAATACTGACAAAAAGGAGATGAAGAATATAGTTAGATAGTAGATAGATAGGTAACTATGGCAAAAAAGCCAAGAAAGGACAAAAAAAGAGATCGTGGTTCCAGAGGGGGTCGAACCCTCGACTTTGGCGTTATTAGCACCACACTCTAACCAACTGAGTTATGGAACCATTGCTTGTTAATTTTTGAATTTAATGTATTATGACCCCGAGCTCCAGAAACCAGACAATAAATCGATTTGCGAGCCACCCAGCTTCAATTCGAATAAAATTAGGCTATCCTAAAAGCAAAAAGGAACCCCTTGGGCTATTATTTGGACCCTTTCTCCACTATTTAAACCTATTGAGGCCTCTTGCAGCATTTGTATTTCCAATGCATTCTCCCGCTAAGAATGCATGAGTCCATGGCGTTGGCGGTTAGGAACGATAGGTACTTCTATTACTATGTAGCCCCCTAGCAAAATGAAGTCACTAACGTTTTTTGCTAGCCTCACCAGTATACTCAGTGAGCAAAAAGCGGTACAGGGTGAGCACTGGAGCGGAAAGGGAAAGCCATCTCGGGCGACCTAAAATCCACTGTACATGTAAGTATATGAATGGGCCAGACGCGTTAAAGGATAGGAGTTGAGTCCGACTATGAGCCAAGAGACTCGGCTTTCTGGCAATCGTAGGCATGTCGTTGATATTAAAACAATTTGTGATAAATAGCGCCGTTGCTTTTGCGTAAGGGGAAAGCTGAGAGTTTTGGGGCCTGTCCAATTGAGGTCGGAATTGGCTAGCTCAGAAAAAGTCCCATAGCATCAGCACATACCCTGGAGGATTGTAAGATGTGAGCTAACTCCAACGTTAGGAAGCCATAAGTGATATAAATACACACAATATAGCTACTCATTTTCATGTTTATAGTATCAACCAGTCTGGAGGTACCTACATGTTAACTTATATTAAACTAAATATAAGTTGCCATGAACGCAGACGAATAACTGAATAGGTAGTTCTACTTCTTTCCTCTTACTCTCATCTATAGCCTCAGATTTGTGAAACCTACAAGTGGCGAGAGAGCCCGGTCCTAAGATGTCCCCATGCCGTTCCCTTGCTCCTTCCAGTTTGACATTGGACATCTCCCCCCATCACTCTCAACTTGAACTTCACTCTCCCCTCCCCATAAATATCACCTCTATTAAACTAAGTCCGCCAAAATGATTGTTGTCACCGGTGGAGCCGGCTTTGTCGGTTCGAACATCGTCAAGGAGTTGAACAACCGTGGCGTGACCAACATCGTGGTCGTCGACGACATGACGGATGGATCCAAGTTCCGCAACCTGGTCAACTGCAAGGTAGCCGACTTCATCGAGGCGACAGCCTTCCGTGAATCGATTCGGACCAAAACCTTCCATCATCGTCCCCGAGTCATCTTCCACTATGGTGCAATCTCCTCCATCACCACAACCAACGGCAATAAAATGCTCGACGTCAACTTTACCTACTCCAAGGAGCTCTTCCAGTGGTGCAAGAACCAGGGCGTTCGCTTCATCTACGCCTCATCCGCTGCCGTGTATGGAAACAAAACTACCTTCACCGAGGGAGACGCCCAAGAAGCTCCACTGAACATTTATGGATACTCAAAGATGCTGTTTGATGAGTATGTCGTCAAGAACACCGATGCCCGCTGCCCCCAATTTGCAGGACTGCGCCTTTTCAATGTCTACGGACCCGGCGAACAGCACCGAGATGCGGTCCCGAGCACCGTCTATCAATTCTACGCAAAACGCAAATCATTCAAAGCCATTGAACTCTTTGGCGAATACGCTGGAGTCGAAGCGGGGCAACAGAAGCGTGACTTTGTCCACGTCGAGGACGTCGCCCGTCTAAATTGTTGGTTCCTTGACCACCCGGAAATCAGCGGTATCTACAATGTCGGCACTGGTGTTGCTAGCAGCTTCCATGATGTCGCCATGGAAGTCGCTAAGCATTTTGGCAACCCAGAAGGTTACATCAAGTTCATCCCCTTCCCCTCCGAATTGAAAGGCAGATACCAGAACTTTACATGTGCCGATATCTCGAAGCTCCGTCGGGTTGGCTCTGTGTTGCGTTTCCGAAGCATCAAGGAAGGTATCAAGGACTACATGGAATGGCTTGAAAATAATGAGGGCTTGGATGGCTAATCGTTGCGCCGACACCTAACAACTTCGACAATGTGGTCAAGTTTCCACTCTGTGACAGCTTTTATCTTTCGAGCCGATATGAGCCATTTGTCTCTGTTAACAGAAACCTCTTCATATTTGGGGACTCCAAATATACTTAATCTAACATGAGGGGGAAAAATGTGGAACGGCCAACCTGTGTTCATGCCTGGATTGAGACTTGAGCCTTTCTACAAGGTCAACTAGGTAGCCAGAATTTCCACAATGAAACAGATATCTCTAAACATTCTTCTAAAATATAGGCAGTTGTGTGATATGTACCTCGGCATCTCTGCAACCCCACTAATTCTTTCGTGGGGTAATTATCTCCCTAACATTACACCCATTTCATGGCAACACCAACACTAACAGAGAGCAGGTCTCTGCGACCTGCAGGCCAGCTTGAACTGGAGGAGCCACAAGACGATGTGGAATTTATCAACCAACACCTCGAACCAGCGGACCATGGACCCGCTGCTTGGAAACTGCTGGGGACAGCATTTGTCTTTGAATCGCTGCTATGGGGTGAGCACAGCTTGAAGTTAACACACTACAAGTACTGACAGCTTCCAGGATTCCCACTCTCGTTCGGAGTCTTCCAAAATTATTACTCAGAGCTCCCCGAGTTCGCCGGTAATCCATACATCTCCGTGGTAGGCACCGTGGCCTCAGGAATATCCTACCTAGGAGCCCCGTTCACCGCACCATTCATCAAGCGCTTTCAAAAGTACCAGCGCCAGATGATCTGGATTGGATGTACGTTGGCATCCTTGAATCACTATCTGCGCATCCACTCACATTCTCACACCAGGGCCAATATGCATAATCGCACTAATAAGCGGATCCTTCGCCTCAACCCTCGAAACCCTCATCCTAACCCAAGGCGTAGCCTACGGCCTCGGCTTCCTCATATTCTACTACCCAATCCTCAACATGGTAAACGAATACTGGGTTGCACGTCGCGGGATGGCATACGGACTCCTCTGCAGCGCATCAGGCGTCTCGGGCGCTGCAATGCCCCTCATAATGGAGAAACTGTTAAACAAATACGGCTATCGAACGACGCTACGAATTGTCGCCATTGCGCTATTCGTTCTCACCGGTCCATTGATACCTTTCCTAAAGGGCCGCCTACCAGTCTCACGATATACCACACCGACAACAGCTCTATCAGACTGGAGGTTCCTTCGAACACCTCTGTTCTGGGTATACTCCGGTTCGAATGTGATACAAGGATTGGGGTATTTCTTTCCATCGCTGTATCTACCTTCATATGCTCAGTCGATGGGGATGAGTAGTACAATGGGAGCGCTACTTCTTGCGTTGATGAGTGTATCGCAAGTGGCGGGTCAGTTTACGTTTGGGGTTCTGTCTGATAGGAAGGTTTCTGTTAATTTTCTTATTGCCGTTTCGACTGTTGTTTCGGCCGTGGCTTCCTTTGCGTTATGGGGACTTGCTCATTCGCTCGCGCCTTTGATTGTCTTTGCTTTGGTTTATGGCTTTTTCGGAGCTGGGTATGTTGCTATGTGGGCGAGGATGTCGACGACTGTGAGTGCGGATCCGATGGCTATGTCGATGATCTTTAGTTTGTTTTGTTTCGGGAAGGGAATTGGGAATGTCTTGACTGGTCCGATTAGTGCGAACTTGATATCTCGGGTTCTTGTGTTGGAGAATTATGGTTTGACGAAGTATATGGCTGTTGTCATTTTCACGGGTGGTTGTATGGCATTCAGTGGTGTTATCGTGGGGTCATGGTCTATAGGCAAGCGAGGGATGAGGTTTCTTCTGTGATATCTAGATATGCATAGGCTGGTTTGAAACTGGTCTGTAATATCTCATTTCGGGACTCTGTATACGGGATTCTGCATCTCAACATCTACAAATTTCCTTTGTTTGCTGACATACCTATCCATTATATAAACGCATGCCCTTTAGTTAGCTAATCCGTCGCGTGTATTTTTCCCTTTCAATCATCCCCTTACCTTTCATATATCCAGAATTCATCACTTTGATAACATCTTTGCCTACCCGGATGTGAAAGCCCCTCGAGACTGAGCACGGAAGCAAAAGCTGAAAATGGCCTGAGACATCGCATCGCCTAAGACGAGCACAGTGTTGACAGAGCCTAGGCAGACGACTACGTTGATGAAATTCGAGCCCGGGAAGTCGAATCTCGCATGGTTCTTGGTGCTGCAGCAGATGCTTCCTGGAATGGCGCCGTCTATATCGCTCTTTCTCTCTTCTTTTTTGTTGGCGCCTGGGGTATGTTCCAGCAGCGTATTTTCGGTTCCCCTGTTGCCTCGGACGTCCCTCCTTCCATGCCCAGCTGATGGATTCCGATGGGCTGCCAGCGCCAGACGTGAAAGATCTTCCAGCTCAAGCCGACCTAGGCCTCGAGTATGTCGCAGTGCAAATCTGGGAACCTTATCAACTTGATGAGGAGGCCGCATTCCGTAATATCATCCTCGCGGCCCGTTCCTCGCTCGATGAGCGGTCGAGTCCACTGGGCACGGCGGCCAGGGTCCGTCACCACCTCGCCCTACCGTCTATACGCTCCACGCTGTTCGAGTTCAGTCGCAACCAGACAGTACTCTTGCATCTTCCACTCTGTTTCCAAATGGTGGCGCCGAGCTCTAGAACTCCTGCATTCGCACTGTCAGGTCTGATGAGTGCGTGCGACATCGTGTGTGAGAAAGAAATTAGGCCGGTTCGCTCGTCACCCGCGGTTTCTAGTGATCTCCTTTTACCCCAGTGAAACTTCGTACCCCGGTTAATCTGTCACATCTTCGAGTATGGGGATGAACTGAAAGCCCTTTGGAATTAGAAAAATCTCGACCAAAGAGGAAAACGTCCCACAGAAGATACATTGAAGAATCATCAAGGACTCCGATATAATTTGTCCTCGCTGAACTGCTAGAGGGATTAAAGACTATGAAAAAGTGGCTACTACGGAGAAAAAGCATTTAGAGAGACATCTGGAATGTGTAGTTAGTGGGTTTTATGATCTAGTCAAAGACTCCAATATAGAAGATAACTATTCCATAAATTGTAAAAGCCATGACACGAGAAGCACATTCTTAAGAAAAAGGCGAAGTCTATCCCGTTAGATTAGGGAGTGAGTAAATAAAATACAAAGAAGTCCCCTTAGGACCAACGATCTGAGTCAATTCCCGGCCAATAATTCCCATAAAAACCAGGAAGAACCACTCCAGGGCCAGGAAGACAAGCACACACGGAGAAAAAACAGGAAATCAATCCGCATGTGCGTATTTGTAATAGGAAGAGAAAAAAGAAAAGAGCTACCTGTAGGATAGTCTGCTAGAAAAACGAATTTACATGATCAAGCTGAAGAAAGCAGCGAGAGAAGCCAGAACAAGACTGGATGCGACCGACAGACTCGAGGCTGAGTTGAAGACTGGTGATGCACTGGGTGAGGGGCTTCGACTGGCGTACGCGTACCCGCCCGAGGTCATCCAGGACGCTGATGCACGAGCGGGAATATGGCTGGTATGTGCTGGGGAAGCGCCGCTGGGACCAGCTGGGACCAGCCCGACGGTTGGGACGGCGCCAGAGCTCGATCCAGTGTTTGTGACAAAGCTGACCTGTGGGACGGTGACGGTGTAGGTCGAGTAGGTGATTGTTGTGCAAGGGAGAGAGGGGACGGAGGTGATAGGGACGACGGCGCTGGCGGTGACACTGGCGCCAGCGACACTGGATGTTGGAGCGGGAGGAGCAACTGTCGGGATCAGGGTGATTGTTGAGGGGATGGCAGTTACGATGCCTGGGTTCTGGGGGACCCAGGTGGCGCAGATACCCGTGAAGTAGGAGAGAGCAGACTGGATCTCTTCCTTGGAGGCGCCCCAGGCTTGGATGCAGGAGATGACTTTGCCGGTGAATTCGCTGTTGGGACAGAAGCATGAGGCATCGCTGTTAGATGTGCACTTAGGAGCGAGGGTGAGCCAGGTGTTGATGCACTGGGGGACGGTGTTGGGGCAGGGAGCTGAGGGAGCTGGGGGAGCTGGGCTCGATCCCGGGGAAACACCGGTGGGGACTGCCGGGGTGTTGCTAGCCGTAGAGTGAGAATGAGTCTCGGTGCCAGCAGTGGCGGTAGTGACAGTAGTGGAACACTGGGTACAGATGGTTGAGACGGAGGTGAGGGTCACTGTGGAAACTGTGTTGGATGTGGTGACGAAGGTAGAAGAACCCGAAGTGACGGTGTTGGTCACGGGACAGGTGGTCTCGGTCACATAAGTCACAACTGTGGTAGTGGCACCCTCGGGGATAGTTGGTGTAGAGGTGACACCAACGCTAGATGGCACGATACTGGTGACAGTGGGGCCCGTAGGAGCAGTGGTGGTGGCGATATCTGTTTCAGAGGGAGCGGGAGTGCTTCCGGCAGCGACAGAGCTGGGAAGGTAGGGAGTGGAGGTCGAGGTCAAGGTAACAGTTGAAACCGTGCTGGATGTCGTGACGAAAGTCGACGATCCAGAAGTGATAGTGGCAGTCACAGGACAAGTAGTCTCAGTTACATAAGTTATAACCGTGGCAGTCGACCCTTGAGGAATGGCAGGTGTGGTCCCAGCACCCACGCTGGAGGGGATCGAGCTAATGATAGCGGGACCGCTAGGAAGGGGACTGGAGGCCTCTGCAGATGAAGAGACCGGGCTTGCTCCTTCGGAAGTCCCAGATGGGGCCGGGCTCGAGGCCTCGGGGATACCAGATGGCGCAGTGCTAGGACCGACTGTGCTCGAAGCCACGGGAGTACCAGTACCAGACGGAGCAATAGTGCTCTGACCAGCAACGGAGGTCGCGGTAGCGGAGCACCGAGTGCAGATCGTAGAGACAGTAGTCATGGTAACAGTCGAAATGGTGCTCGAGGTAGTCACGAAAGTAGAAGAACCGGAGGTGATAGTGTTAGTCACCGGGCAAGTAGTCACAGTCTCGTACGTAACGACAGTGGTAGTGACATCGCTAGGGGCGGGGGGAGTTCCAGCTGGAGATGAAGGTGTAGGGGACGAGAGAACCGAGGTCACGCCGGGCGACGAGGAGGTCCCAGCCGACGTAGGACCAGTTGGAGTGCCAGCGGGAGGAGATGCTTCGGTCAACGTAGAAGTAGCTGTAGTGTCACTGGGGGGAGGTGCTTCGGTCAACGTAGAAGTAGCTGTAGTGTCACTGGGGGGAGGTGCTTCGGTCAACGTAGAAGTAGCTGTAGTGTCACTGGGGGGAGGTGCTTCGGTCAACGTAGAAGTAGCTGTAGTGTCACTTGGAGGAGGTGCTTCGGTCAACGTAGAAGTAGCTGTAGTGTCACTGGGGGGAGGTGCTTCGGTCAACGTAGAAGTAGCTGTAGTGTCACTAGGAGGAGTTGATCCAGCAGGGGAGCTAACGGGCAAGACGCTGCTTGGGCCTGGGCCTGCAGGCAGAGATGTGGTGATAAGAGCAGTAGTCTCGGTGACGGGACACACAGTCGTCGAGACAGCAATAGTCGAAGTCACTACAACGGTCGAGTCTGCTGGACAGCTCACAACCTCGGGAGCACAGCTGGTGATGGTGATCTCGCTGGTAGAATACACCGTTGAGGTAGTCATCCTGACAGGAGTGGTAATCGCTGGGGTTGAAGGCCCGCCCGCAGTGGAGGAAACGGAAGGAATCAATGGAGTTGATGCAGTAGGGATTTCAGTTCCAACAGGAGTCTCGCTCGTAGTGGAGGAAACAGAAGCCGGAATCGACGATGTCAATGTGCCACTGGCAGGAGGAACACCAGCTGATGAGCTTCCAGGGAGAACACCGCTGGGGCTAGGTATAGCAGGCACAGATGAGGTGACAACAGCTGTAGTCTCAGTGACGGGACACACAGTTGTCGAGACAGCAATAGTCGAAGTCACTACAACGGTCGAGTCTGCTGGACAGCTCACAACCTCGGGAGCACAGCTAGTGATGGTTATCTCGCTGGTGGAGTACACCGTTGAGGTAGTCATCCTGACAGGAGTGGTAATCGCTGGGGTTGATGGCCCGCCCGCAGCGGAGGAAACGGAAGGAATCAATGGGGTTGATGCAGTAGGGGTTCCAGTTCCAGCAGGAGTCTCGCTCGTGGTGGAGGAAACAGAAGCCGGAATCGACGATGTCAATGTGCTACTAGCAGGAGGAACACCAGCTGATGAGCTTCCAGGGAGAACACCGCTGGGACTAGGTACAGCAGGCTCAGATGACGAGGCTGTAGCGGCAGGAGTAGTCTCAGTGACGGGACACACAGTCGTTGAGACAGCGACGGTAGAAGTCACTACAACGGTCGAGTCTGCTGGACAGCTCACAACCTCGGGAGCACAGCTAGTGATGGTGATCTCGCTGGTGGAGTAAACCGTTGAGGTAGTCATCCTAACGGGAGTGGTAATCGCGGGGGTTGAAGGCCCGCCCGTAATGGAAGAAACAGAAGGAACCAATGGGGTTGATGCGGTGGGGGTTCCAGTTCCAGCGGGGGTCTCGCTAGTGGTAGACGAAACAGAAGAAGACGCCGGAATCGGAGAGGTGGATGAATCACTAGAAGGAGGAACACCAGCTGATGAGCTTCCAGGGAGAACACCGCTGGGATTAGGTACGGCAGGCTCAGATGACGAGGCTGTAGCGGCAGGAGTAGTCTCAGTGACGGGGCAAACCGTGGTGGAAAGAGCGATGGTGGAGGTTATCACAGTGGTTGAGCCTGATCCAGCAGGGCAATCAGTGACAGTCGGAGCACAGCTAGTGACAGTGATCAAACTGGTTGTGAAGACAGTCGATGTAGTCATCCGAAGAGGTGTGCTGGTGACTGGAACAACAGAAGAGCCTGGTACAGAGAGCGTAGGTACAACGATAGAGCTGGAGCTAGCAGACCCATATGTACTGGCCGGCGGGGTGGTGACTGGAACAATAGAAGTTCCTGAGACTGAAAGCGTAGGCGCAACCGTAGAGCTGGTGACAGAGAGTGAAGACACAGCGGTAGAGCTGGAGTCAGCAGGCACAGATGAACTCGAGGTAGAGAGGGAAGGCACGGCAGTTGAGCTAGGGAGCGAAGGCACATCGATAGAGCTGGAGCCAGCAGGCACAGACTGATATGGAACTCTGGTAACAGGGGCGACAGTAGCAGTAATGGCAGGCACAGGCGCAGTGGTTGTCGAACCGGGAGTGCAGTCAAAGCCAACGCTGTAGATACCGAAACCACAGCTCTCATGTTTACTTTCAGCAGGCAGCTCGAAATGAACAGACTTGGCACCACCGCACTGGTCGTTGTTGACCACAGTACCAGCTGAGTTACAGGAAGCGGTGTTCTTGCATATCGATCCATCGGGCATGGTGTAGATAATGTGCAATTCGGTATCCTTCTCAGTGGCAATATGGAAATTGGTCACAGAGAAGCCGGTCTCATCCGTGCCGGAGGTGAACGATGGAGCCGAAGAACCAGAGCTCTGGGAGTCAGAGCTACCTTTGGAGACGGTACCGGAAATGCATTTCTGGGTCTATAATCATGGTTAGTATGTGAAGACGAAAGATAGACATACATAACTTACGCCACGCTTGCCAAGACTGGAACCAAAACCATTGCCGCAAGTAAAACCAGAGAAGGAGAAACCGCCATAGTCGGAGAATGAGCCAGGAGCAAGGTCAGTCCAGCTGAAGCCCTTGTGCTGGTAATCATTACACTTATTAGGCGATCTACCTGGGCTGGAGTAGCATTCCCCAGAACCCCAGTACTAAAAGCATTGTTAGCATGCATATCAAAGGCAATAGAACACGAGGTGAGGCAAATACCGCTTCGGTGGCCTGGCTAGAGGCCAGAAGAAAGAAAAACGTGATAACTGAAGTAACCTTCATTGTGGAAGGATATCGACAACGAGTGACGGGAAAGTGGGACGCGAAAAGAAAATTGAATGGAAGAAAATAAAAGAAGAGAGAGGAGGAATGAAAGAAACAAAAATGGACTGATATAAGGGTCTGGGCTAGATAGGCTGCGATGTAGAAAGCTAGGCCTCAATGGATATTGCGATATCAGGCTCAATTGTAGGGATATAGGCAGCAAAGCAGCCAATTTCTATTAGTATTGTTGACGGGCGACAAGGAAAAAAGCCTCAATGAAACTGAGCCGATATCAAATGAAAGAGGGTGGGACAGGGAATTGCGTATCCCTGAACGAGCGTCTTTGGTTGGAGACGAACCAAGATGGCCAGAAAGCCAAAAGTAAATCAAACAGTGACGAGAATGAAAGAAGTGCAGGGTCTGGGCAGAGTCGCAGTCTTTAAACAATCGGCCTAGGCTATGCCATGAACTTCTGCAGACAAAGAGCTCGGCTGCAGCTAGCAAGCATTTTTCTGCTGACCCAGATACCCTGGCGTCAATTCAGGTAAGACATTTCGTCAGAAAAAGCGAACATCTCTCCAATCGGCAGGAATGTGAAGGTACAGATGAAACGGTAGTGGCTGAAAAGAGAGCGAGCTTGGGATCCATCTAGAGTTCGCCGACTAGTGCATGATGGACCTGAAGAGGCTAGAAATGAGCCAGTCAGGGCTTGCAGACTGGGGCCATTGACCAGGGCGCCTGTAGGGTGTTCCAATCCCATCCAGCAACAGTTCATCGTGGGGTCTATGAGATCGGTGGACATTAGTTGACCAGCCAATGAGGGTAGTCGAGTAAAAATAGTATGAATATTAGGCGCTTGATCGGCACGGAAGCTTGCATATGGCCGAGTCTCCAGAATGTACTCACGTGAATCGCCCATCTTTTGAAGTCCCCATTAACACTTAGTATTACAGATTCAAAAGAACTCAAGATAATGCGACCGCGAAAAGAAAACCCCTTTAGCGTCTCGCCCATTGGCTTAGCGCCCTACATGCATGTCCCATATGTGCTTATTATTGATGTTCATGGTCGATCGCTCATGCGCCTTCGAAGCGCCGGGGTTGACGAATCAGCGCACAATGTAATTTTAGGCCAACGGTGTGTGTCGCACTAAATCAACTTTTTATTTCTTTTTCTCCAAACTCAACTGGAGGAAGAATGCAAGTGGCGGGTACCTGAAGGACCTTTGATGTTACTAAAAAAAGACCAGCGCCAAACAGAGCAGGAATTATCTACACAGCTCGAGGTTCTTGTTTCGAAGTGTTTTACTTGGTTCTAGACATACAACTGATAACATTTCCGGGTTAAGTCCGTCTAACAACTAGCCTAGCCTTTATTCCTAAACTATAACTCCGCAAGAAACAGACATTGTATGATTTCGCCTTTGACGCGCAGGAGTCCCGATATTCCGTATTTCTTTCAATCATGCCCTCACTACTCTTCTGACTTTATTGTTTTTAGATTCTGGGAATAAAAACAAAAGTACAAATCTCCATGTCTCAGCGTATCGATGGCTTTGTCTGCAGCGTTGAATCCGGGTTAACGTGAAACGCTCAACTAAATATACTCATAAATGAGATTTTTAGCGCCTGGGGAATACTACGCTGTACCCCCTTGAAACGGGGTCTAGACAGTATGAATTTCTAGTAAAGTCTCGAGCTCTTAATATAAATCTGTTTGCCTCGAAGTTATCTAGAGAAATAATTAATATAGTGTAAGTCTACACCTAGGTTACATTTTTATTGACTTCCTGCCTATGCAGTTGCTCGTCGAATGTCAAGGCTTGTCTACGCATCCTATTTCTGTAACTTTAGTATTTAACCAGGGGCAATCTAATCTCTCCTTGATAATTTGTGCTAAACGTATAATTAAATGTACGGAATCCGATAGTGCTAACCATAATTTCCTGTTATACCGAGGACGGAGATATACATAACCATTTGTAGGAAGTATTAATAATTATATGTCGAAATTTGACTATAGAGTGGGAACCAGTAGTACCTCAATACGAAAAAGGTAGCACCTACCTGTGTTCGTTCAGGACTGAAGCTTAGATATCCAAAGTCTCATGGGCTTCTTTGACTGGCAATCATGCACTCTGTATGTAGATTGCATCCCATAGATACAGACCACTTCAGAAGACGAAGAAGTACGACCCTTCCCTCAAAACTAAACATTTTTGCCTTCAAATATAATATCCAGGTTGACAGAGATAAAGTTGATTAAAAGAGTATCCTTCGGCTGAATAGGAAAGAAACTGTGGTAGGCTCATTCGAAGCCATTGAATAAGCTAGATTCAATGACTTGACCTCTTGCACTACAGGCTTGATATCCTATCTACCCACAATGAAGTGCATGCATACTTGTAGGTCTGCAAGTCCAACTGAAAAACGGAAGGAACGTTCGTCACAGATATTCCTCACGGATATCAACTAGCGGTGAACAGCACGAGCCTCGAAATGAGCCCCACGATCTAGTCCCACTTCACTATTTTACGACAATCCTTCAAGATATACATCAAACATGGAAGACGCCCTCCGACCAAGCAAAGAAGCCTTTGAATACACCCTCCGCGCGAGCTACCAGCTATGGTCAACCCATTTCAACACCAATGATAGCTGCCTTCCGTTGGAGTGTATCAAACTAAAACCCCTTCTTAAAGACACGCCTGCCTTTTGCGCTGATGAACTGATTCCATCAGACAAGGTGCTCTCATTTGCTTGTGCTAAAAGTCGTGGAAAACTGGAAATAAAAGGGAAGTCGAGATGGCGGACATCCAGGGCTGGTGGGAATTGCATTACCCCACCCACCTAAGGTCATGTCGTCAACGCTTGATCTAGGTGTTGTAGAAGCCCGAAAGGTGAAGCTGTCTAAGGGCGCCCCTCTGTCGCAATGGCCCGGTGTGCGTGGTATCTCTGGTTACGATGAGGGTAACTACATCACCGTCTTGTTCTTGGCTTGGGCATACATCCTATCTGCGAAATGGGCAGAGTTACTCGACCGCTCCGAGATGCACTATTGTTCAACGAAATACTCATCTACACGTCAAGAGTCTGATGAGTCAGTTAAACCGGAAGTGATAGCGATCGATTTGCCTCCAGACGCAGCCGAAGTAGAAATTGTCTGGTGGAACGCTATACTCTGGAACACCAGCGTGAGAAATATTCGTGGAATACGAGTCCGACAAATTTGTCTCGCCATGGTCCGTTTCATTAGGCAAAGCGATATCAATACGAGCGAAACAAGAAATCCACTACCAGTCGACAACCTATAACCCCCCATCATCAACAAAAGCCTTCCAATACCTCATCCGCTTCTGCAACCACCACCGTATCTACGCGCAATGCACATCAGCACTATCAGCATCATTTTTCACGTGCGACATATTCCTCCGCAAGCCATCGATCCTCCCAATCCCCAAACCCGCCAACAACCCCGGGTATCACTCAACCCCAACAAGCCCCCAAACGATCTCTCTGATCTCCAAACACAAAAAGCTCCTCCCAGACTACATGACTCTAAGCAGCAAGATGGGGATTACTACAATACCAGCAATGAAAAGCATCTTCGTCATGGGTTGTGGATGTCATGTTTTGGAATATGAGAATTGGTCTTGGGAGCTTTGGGATGGGTCGAGGATTGAGGATACCGGGGTGGAGGCACGGTTTGGCTTGCTTTCGAGCTCTACGCCTGCGACTGTTTCTTCGTGTTTGTCTTGTCCTAAACCAGGGCTTTCATTGGACTCTCACATTATTAAACTAGGCGCTCCAAATGTGTTATAGTAGATGAAGTCGCCCTAGGGTCCGTGGCGGAGGTGATAGCTTCATCTTGATGGCGCGAGTGACCTGGGACATGAGAGCAATGACATGAGGCGAAGACAATTAAGCAATTGCGGACCTTGGGAGATCACTTGAAATAAGGTTTGGGTGGGTCCGGGTATGTGGGGGGTTTACATCACCTTGAAGTCTGAGCTTCATTAGAGCATTGAGAGCTGATTAATGACCAGGGAATGTAATAAATGTTTCGAATGTTTTTGATATTGTTAAAGGTAAATGTAAAGCAACTTAGTCCATCACTCGTTAAAACGCAAAACCCGCAAATTTTCAACTCCACAATCCAAAGGTATTACCAGCCCCCGCGACTGGCGAGGGAGAAAAATGGCCAGTCAATAGATATGACATAATAATGAAAAGAAAAAAAGAAAATGAACGAATGGTAAGATAGCCAAAATCTCATAAATGGATCGCTTTTGGGTTCTGAGAACCAACGTCGATCTTTCGCAAGCCAACTCAACATGCATGATAGATCTACTTAAATATTAGAAGAGTAGTCTGGTCCCCACATGTGGATGGCAAGATGCAATACGACCAGAGCGAAGAGCCTGTGTGCTCAACGCGAGGTCGATATGGTCAAAGGCACAAGACCCCAATAGTCGAGTCTGCCAGCGACTAGAAACGGATATAATAAATTGCGGCCGTGGTTATCATATGATCTTGGTGGAAATCCAAAAGTCGTGCAATCGTGAGACCTCAGAGAGGTGCTGTGATGTGGTGCTGAGAGCGACGTTGCTGAGCATCCATCAGCTTGCGTCGCACAGCCTCGCCACCTGCAACGCTGTTCGATTTGCGCTTGCGGGTGGGAGTTCGCTGGTCGTTGTTCTTGGCGTGCCTGAATACACTGGCAGGACGCGCGGGGGAGTTCGCAGGCATGAACTCGCGGTGCTGGGGGAGGCGGAGGAGGGCCTGGTAGCGGTTGTGATTGCGACGGAAGGCAGTGACAATACCCTTGTCTAGGTGATTAAGGAATCGCTCCTCGTTGTTTTGCGACTCAGACTTGCGGGTGGGGGTAGGTGTGCCCATCGACTTCGCAAAGGGAGCGGCCATCGGGGAGACCTGCATATCCTCATCGAACTGCTTGTCCATGTCCTCATCATCGGAGGATCCATTACCAAAATCAATGAAGTCGTCGACGTTAAGAGCAGACTCTGGGTCATCTTCTTCGTCTTCTTCGAACGAGCTGTCGATGGTGAAGTCCTGAGAAGGATAGAATGCCTCAGGGGGACCCATGACCTGGCCTCCCGGGGTGAGATCGTTGCCAAGAGCGGTCATCATGAGGTTGGCACTCGAAGCCAGCATTGGGCTGAAGTCAAGCTGATTGGGAGAGGCGAGCGCATCGGTGTCGCTCTCATCAACCAAGTGAAGTGTAGTCTGGCGAGGGCTGGTGTTGGCAGTTCCGGGCATACTGTTGGCGGCGGAGTCTAGCCAGTCGTGACGAGAAGAGGCATACGCGGGAATGATGACGAGATGCTTGCCAGTGCAGTCGACCAAGGCTACTGGCTTGTGGGGGTCTGCTACGAAGGTTCCCATGATAGGCCCACGGCGGCGAGGCAAACAGTCACTCTTCTCATCCACGGGGGCCAAAGAGTCGGAGGAGTCCCGGCGGAGAAGGGATCGAGGGTGGGTGATAGTTGCTGGTGGGGGGAGATCCTCGTCTGTGGTGTCACCATCGTCGCCTTTTCAAAAGGGTTAGCAAAAGCCGAAATGCAATACGAATGACCAATTATCATACTCTCGTAACCACTCAAGCTGCCCTCGGAGGATCCGTCGGACTCAACATGGTAGATGCTTCCATGGCCATAGTCGGCATCGCCGAACATCTCTTCCGAGTGCCGGCGGGTATTTCTCTGGTAGTTTTCGTTGTCGTTTTCGATCATACGACGCAATTGTGGGTCCAGGCTATCCTGTTGTAGGAAGTCACCGGGTATATCGTCGTCACTGTGGGAATCACTATCAGAGGACGAATCAGACCGCTCCTCGAAGTGAACTCGCCGGGCGACAGGTGTCTCAGCGGCTTCACTGGTCACCTGAGGTTCTCCAAAGGTATCCATGGCACTGTAAAGGTGCTCTTCATCGAAAAACGATGCTGCCGGTAGGAACATGTGATCATCGAAGGAGTTGATAGCCCATTGATCATCGGCAAATCCAGCGCTGGGCAAAGGGCGATGGGTTTTCTCCGACTCCACGATGATCATTTCTTCCATCTTCTCAACGTCCTGGTCTTCATCTTCGGCATCTGTGATGTAGTCTACACCGGCATACACATCATCTGAGCTATCATCCGAGTCATTGTCATTGGCATCACTGCTGTCACTGCTGTCATCGTTGATGACACGTCTTCTCTTGTTGATTGCGGATTGGCGCCCCGCCTTATTGTCTCGGCGACGACCATAAGACGGGGCCCGGACTGCTGGTTCTTGCTCGTCATCCGCATCTTCTTCTGAATCATCTGCCTCGTCGCTCAGGTCCCCGAGGGACGAGACCGAAGAAACACTCGAGACTGATGATGATGAAGCTCTCCGTTTCCTATCGGATGGCTGAGCATTGGCTGACTTTCGAGAGTGATTCGCCTTTGGTGACATATCAAGGTTCCGCATGGTGTTGGACTCGGGGGTTGAGGGGCGGGGGTGAGAGTTCTTGGCGGAGCTCTTGGGAGCCCGCTTGGAAGAGTATGAACTCTGAGGCATGTTGTAAAATAGAGAAGGAAGGATGGATAGGGGTTGGTTGATCGGTTTGGACTTCTTTAGTCCTTTCTTTTTTTGTGGTTCAAATGGCCCGGTCCGTCTTAGGATGATCCAGTGATGGGATGAAGGAAGAGAGGAGTAGATCTTCCTTGGGTGAGAGGATGGTCGTAGTTCGGTCCAAAAATAGGGACACGTTAAGGGATAAGTCGAAGGGAGGTGGGACGAAGTGGAGGAATCGGAGAAGCGGAGTGGAGGGGAGGAGTCAAGTTTTTTTTTCGTAGCCACGAAAGCACCCGCAGTCCGTTGCGAACGCTATAGTGCTCCTTCTGGAAGTTTGCTATAGGGCAATTCCAACGCCTTCACAAGAGGCGTCGAAAGAGGAATAAATATCGTCAAGTAGAATTGAAGATCGGAGCTGCAGGACTGGGGAGCCGGCAGGGACAGGCGCCCCAGAGAGGCATTTACAGCTCAACGAAGGCCATTTGGCTGAATTCTTGACGATATGTAGTGAGTATGTTGTTACTGTATTGAGGGTTTCAATAAGTTCTGAGAAATCCGGAGTAGATCAGTTTGGGAATGCTATGGGAAAGGGAAGAAGAAGAGAAGGATGATGGGTCGTTTTTTCTCCAAGTGGGGGACACTGCTGATTGGCTGCAGAACACGACCGCCTATTCGTTGGCGCCGCTCACCGACTCTTTTACACCAATCAGCGATCGCCCAAAGTCGCAATGGGAAAACATGGACTTTTTGATGTCCACTTGGGGCCATTTACATTTAAATTAGGTATCATTGAGATTATACTAGTGAGTTCTATTTGCTTGGTTGTCTTCAATTCTTTTCAGGTTGTCTTCAATTCTTTTCAAGGAATATATCCCGGGCCGAGTCGAGTCCGAACAAAATAAAAATGTCATTCAAGGATCCTCGGCATAATTCTCCCTGGTAAAATCTTCATTGCAAGCTCGAAAACTTGCTGACACGGCATATCTGCACTGAGGTCAAACTAAAACATACTCCCGGGCCCGGTGCAGTGGCTGACCCGTACCCAAGTGGCATGCATGATGATTCATCCGGGAGTTTTATTTCCAAGGCTATGACACATTCTGAGATGAATCATATTGTTTCCTATTGGGACTTGACCCAAATTTTCACGGAGGCCTAATTCGTGCCATAGATCCGGCTCTTGAGTGGCAAAACGCTCTACTGTATTCCGATCGGCTTGGCGGTTTTTCCCGTGTGCCGAGAACCTGTAAGTCTTTTTTTTTTTTTTTTTAATTTTGCCCCTAGTGGCCTAAACTGCCTGAATGGATCAAAGATGGCGGTAAAAAGGACATGACCGAGGCAACATGCATGAGATCCCTCTCTTATCTTTTTCTATCGGTGAGGGGATAACCTTGGAACTTCTATAGCCCTTACACTTGGAATGTATGTTTACTATTGTATACATACATACATTGCGGAGAATCATCGGAGCGAATGTAGAACGGAAGATCTTTCCGATTCTCTCTTTTGAGTACATTCTTGCCCCTCCAGGTTTGTCACCTGATGTTCGGAAGCATGCAAGATCATCTCCCTGCCCCGCAGTGGCTGCGATGGGAAATTTCTACTTCCCCCAACACCAATCAGATTCCTCAGGGGGAAACAATATTTCCCAGCGCTAACGTCCTTTCAGTCATTGAGGCGGATCATTCACCGTTTGGATATCAGTTTTCCACCTGGCCACTTCGATCGTCTTCCCGAGGTCTCTGCTTGCAACCTCCCCCACTTCTTCATTCTTTCCATACAGTACGTATACTTTACGTGATATTAGTACTGAAACTCGAATTCCGACACAGTCGGGATAGATCAAAGCATGTATTCATAGTTGAGTAATTTGACCTGGACTTTTGACAACCTATATGGAGTACCGTACAGAAGGTGGAATACAGTGTAGGCAGCATCATCTCATAAATTGCTTCATATATCTAAATTTATACCCCCCTCAAAAAACCGGCTTGTTGCTCTTTTTTGGCCCCATAATGTGTACCAAAATAGTTAGATCATACAGCTACATACATATATATATATATATGTAAGACTATTTTTGATAAGCCGAAGTGATCTGCTAGGTTTTAGACTATTCTAACCGACCCCCACACCACTGATCACCAGCAGCGTCAGTTTGGCGTAAACACACCCATTCAACAATTGTCAGATTAGTCACAAGGCCAAAGCGATACAAAACGACTCGGGACCGTTCTGTGACTTCCAATAGATGTAGCAAAGTATAGACCAGCCTCTGAACATCTTTCGTCCAACTCCTCCAGTCTGCACATAGTCCCCAAGGAACTCTCCTCGACCTCTGAAGGTCCCCAACCTTCAAGCCCCAAGGAAGTAAGACGTGGCAGACAATTTGAATTCACCAAGCGTTCGAGTTGATCAACGGCCCAATCGAGCAGCTCGTGGGGGCAGTGACACAGAAACAAAGTCTTAAGGGACGGTGGCAAAAGTGCCACGAGGTCTTGCGTGGGCTCAAAGTTTTCGTCAAGCCCGGCAAGCATTGATATAGAAATATGTAGATATTTCATCATACTGAAATCGGCAAACGATCCCATCCATCCATCATCGTCTTCTGGATTCTGGTATGATTCGCCACAGATCCAGAACGCCTCCAGTGTTGATTTGTGAAGGGATATAGATCCTCGAAGGGGAGCTGATACAATATCGGGTCCATCTGAGACCATTGACCCGCCAATGTTTAAGCGGAATGTTTTGAGAGCTTTGCAAGATTCAATCCAGACACCAAATCCACACTCAGTGTTGGTCATATCGAGATCAATATCTGTGACCCCCGAGAAGGGTGTAATGCGGGGTTCTCCATCCTCACGATCGCAGTCGACCATAGCGGATCCTCCAATCCTGCGCATTGCTGGGAATTTGAAGAATGGTTCCATGCAGCTTGCATGGATAGAATTTTCCGTGTCAGACGATTCCGCAAAAGCATCGGCGAGGCGACGAAATGCTGTGTCATCCTCTTTGGCAGCCTTCACGAACATATCCTCAACGTATTCTGACCCATACGGGTAGCATATGCTGATTTGTCTTAGGCCTTTCAGCTGGGGGAGGAGCAAAGCTAACCAAGCATCGGTGTTTCCGCGTCGCAGTTCATCATAGGGCTGTGTGGACCAACAAGTACCAGCGACAACTCCATCTATGAGTTGCCTATCATATACAAATTCACAGTCGATGTACGCGATGTCATCCTCAGTGTCCCAACTCTCCAAGCGTAAAGCTCGCACGGCGTTCGCCAATTGTGGCTCTCGGGCGATTGTATTGAAAAATCGACTGACTTGCCAAATTGTATGGTTCCTAACATCACAAAGAACAACCCGGGAGTAGAGAGTTGGTAGCAGAACTGTGTACAGTCGACGACATGATCGAACTAAGGAATATCGATCACGCTGGGGACCCAGTTCTCCTGCAATGAGGCAAAGAGTCTCATCTGGGAGGTCAAGCAACATGACAATGTAAGTCGTATGAGTTCTTGCGAAAGCAAAGAGATGGTTAGTTGTATTTATGTTCGGCGAGGAAGTTGCCGTGTTTGCCATGGACGCTAGGAACACGAGGTGGGGGCGAGGTTTTTTTGCAGCATGATAGAAGGCCCAGCCACGACCACATTCAATGGATATTAAGAAAATACGGGTGTTGGTGTTATCACCAAAATAATGAGCACTAAGAAGCAAGAGAAAGTAACGCGGGATATTTGGGAGAGGAAACAAGTGGAGACTGCCAAGACCAACTGTGCAAAGGACCTATCAGAACTAAAGCTATCAAAAGGAAAGCGGTTAACTACATGAAATCTGACATTGGTACCCCATAAGGCGGAATGAGATTCATTATATTAAAAATAACATAAATCCATTAGATGCGTGGGCATAATCCCCCTCCCCGAGGCGAGAGGTTTCATTTAGCAGTCCCGCCATCCGAAGATTCCTTGGTTGATTTGATCAACAACCATGGTTCCATCTATTGAAATAAGATTAAGCATCACTGGTGGACAAACCCGACAAAAAGGGCATCAAGTGCCAGGATAAGGGGCGACATTACTAGGCACAGGCTCTGTCTTGGCTCGGCCAAACATCGACAAACGAGATTTCGACCGGGTAGGAACTGCCGCTGGCCGGGTACTTTGTTGAGTGTTTTGTTGGCTTTCGCTCTCCACTTCGGTGGGGGCAGCAAATTCGACCGGAGCTGCGCGGGCCTCCTCTACCTTTCTCACGCCTTCGCGTATTTCATCAGACGAGGCACCCGGTAGTGCGGTCGTCGTCAAAGTCTCAGTAGGGCGAATTAAACCCTCGGAGGTATCTTCATTGAGCTTGGCGATCTCTTCTTCCGTCACCAGACGTTCATTCTCCAAACGGACTTCTCGTCCGCGTTTGTGGCAGTACCACAGCACAAACAAAAGGACTGTAGAAGCCCATAGTCAGCAAGAATACTCAGCCAACAGGTGTAGTTTCACTTACTGAATAATGCTAGAGACCAGAGCACATTCATTCCCAGAACAGCAGGGAATCGAGCTCGTAGGAATGCCATGATGGATCGCAGCATTCCTACGAGAGCAGCTGGTTTAGACACAAGTTCCTTTAGACTTGGCATATTGACTCCCATCTTCTCTGCAGCTGCAGCAGCCTTGCCCACATTCTCCATGTTGACGCCGCTCTTGCCGGCGCGGTCGGCAGCAACCGCTAGCATCTCTGGAGCCAAGGTCTCGGTCCAACGCTCGGGAAGTTTTTCGATCAACTTTTGCATAGGACCTGGCAGTTTCGTATAGGTCTCTTGTAGTTGACGGTTCCCGTTGGTGAGCAGCATCTCCAAGTCGTGATAGGCAGTTGGGACTCCGTTGATTAGATCCTTGAAAATGAGCTTGAACTTCCGTAAAAGCTCTTGTGTCTCCTCGCTGACCGAGAATACACGGTTGTTATCCGCTGCCAGGTTCAATCGCTCTAGAATATCCGTCATATCCTCGGTATCTTTATCCTTATCTGCGTCTTTCCCGTCTGATGTAGTCGGAGAGGTTGCGGTTTCGATTTCCGGTTTGTTTGCATCGTTGGCATCTTTGCCCTATTTGCGCAAGCTCGTATGTTAGTACATACTTCCACCTGATGCAAGAATCCGAGAAGAAACACAGTTATGACCAACCTTCTCCGCGTTTTTCTTCCAAAACATCGCACTCCACCGTTTCTTCTTCTGCGAAGGTTTTGAGGCCTCCGACCCTGGTGTCTCTGACCTTGATAGTGTTGGCTGAGAGCTCCTCCGTTCTTGTCTACCCTCCTCGCCAAGCTCCTTTCCCAACTCCTCCCCAGGCGAGGTAGGGAGAGGGATGTTTTCGGGTTGTTCGCTTATCGCAGGTTGCAGAGACACCTCAGTAGGACCTCCGGTTTGGTTTTGCTCATTCTGCTCTGCAGATTCCCGCTTGGTGGTGACTTCGCGTAGGTAGGCTTCATCTTCCAGTGTTAGGATAGGCTTGGGTGCGCTGGTCATTTGCGATGAACGCCGTAGGTTTTTTATTTGGTTAAGATATTGCATGGCCATATTGGAGTACTCAAAATAACGAGGACAGCAATGTGGACTTCAGCCCTTTTTTTTCGCTCGAAAGGCGTAGAGGATAACCCAAAAAAGTAGGCTGAAACGAGACGGGCGCGTACTGAAGGCAAGGGGACGCGCGCTATGAGTATTAGTGATAGATCAGCTTTCCTAAGTGGCTAGATGATATGCCAGATAAAATGACTCGATCAGATGATGTTGTAGTTAGCCAAGTTGAGTTAGCTCAAGTTGCATGCTAACACTAAGCTTTTGTTTTGCTCATGCGCACTTCGTTCCTCGTGATGATATCACCGGTGGCTTGGCATCCCCCGCCTGTGCCACCGCATCACTAGCACCGCCACAGCACCGCCACACGTGCTCTATTTATGTGAACATCTTCGAACACCATTTTGAATTAAGACAAAAGCTCAACCTTAATTCATTGCTTAATACTTCATATTGCATTTGTATATCTGCCGATGTGCCGAATTCCTATATTGTGTGTGTCTCTCGTTTACAGAGGGGTGTTGCTTGTTTATATATTGTAGCGGGGGACCTTGTCTTCCACTACGCATTGACCTTGCCTGTCCTTTCCTTAGTTACTAACTAGTTAAGTGGTCCTATTATGTAATTATAGAGAGATGGAGGATACAAGTAACAGGTAGAGACAGATTGACAATACACACTCCTACACCTCTCTGAATTGACTTCTTGGGTAGTACGCCTAGGTTCCTTTGTATGTATAGTTGGGTATGAAACGGAACTGCGAGTGCTGAATCGACCCGTGTGCCTTTGAGCATACAGCCTTGAGCGTTTCCCTCTTCAATATTTACTTACAAGCAAACCCCGTTAAAATTGACACCACCTTTTTGTAAACTTCAATAGGTTTTGGAGAGTTTAGGCTACGGGGAAGCATCGATTTCGTTTTCAACATAGCAACGTATTCCACCAGCCTAGATCCCTATCGATCAGTTACAGTATGGCCATCTCGGCGGGCCATGCTTGAACAAATTCCTGAACTCGCCAGGACCAGTCTTCTTCCCCTGGACATCAAGGGAATAAGATGCATAAAAGAATCCCCAGAAGTCAGAAAACCAACCGGAACTCTCCCAATCGACCAGTACGATGTTAAATGATTGCCCACCTTGATCGTCTGGGGGACTTGTATTCTCCACGACCTTAATGTTTCTCTGCTGAACGCCTCCATGCGTTAATATAGGCCAGTGACCTCAGCGGATGCGAGCGAAGTGTTTTTTAGTAAAAGAAATCCTTGTAGCCTGGCTGATTATTGTGTTCAGCCAAGGCTTCTATAATTATTGGTAAGGCAACGAAGGTAGGTTCGCCGGAGAAAGGCCCTAGAAGTTTCTCATCGCCATGTTGGCTATATAATAAGTAGTGATGTACGCCACCCAGCCTAGGCCTCCGAAAAAGTCGGGCGATAGACACTCGGCTTTTCGCATTGCGTCGAATATTACATTACTTGGGGGTTTCCGATGATATCATCCTTCTCAGTGTTCGCCAGAAATGGCCAAATGGAATTCAGCGGCACCCCTGGAACGCGTTGCATGACCAAGAAGAGTTGTTTGAAACCATAGTTCATCGCGTACAGTCGAGGGACCGGACCTTCTGGGACATGTTGTTCAAGGTAAACCAAAGCCTAGCCTTCCGGTTCGTTTACACAATCTCCATACTTTGCAACAATATCGTCGTTCACTGACACAATCTTGGAGGCCATCTCCCATATAGCATTGGTGCAAGCGCGGATTTCATCTGTTGTAGGGTAGGTAGAGTAGGCAGAGGCTGGGAGGGGACAGCTACTGGTTTCCACGTACAGAGTAGGAGTCGATAGAGGTAATATCGAAATATGAATGATTGCTCGAATGGAAGGAAAATGTGCGGCGAAAGAAAATCAGTCACCGGATATAGATTTAGCTAAAGGGGAGATATTTTCGGCATCGTTTTAGCGCTAGTAGAAACGAGGGGAAAACTGTATAAGTCGAGAGTTAATTGATATTCGTTTTTTTGGAGTATACGCTTGCGAAGATTTTGAAAGGTGTTTCAACGCAAACTAGTGCGTCTAGAGTCCGTAAGAAAGTCCACGTCCATCTCTGCTGGTAGCGCAGGCGTTGATATTTCAGAGATTGGGAGATTTGACGATATTATTCCTATAGATGACTCGATGAACACCAACAGACCACTGAATATTACACCACTATCTTACCTCTTTGGGAAAGGACCCATCTCATTCCTCTTGACGGAGAAAAAGAAAAGGGAGAAGCAAACCATACTAGGAATTAAACGGGGTGAAAGTATACCGCAACTGAGACAGAAACGTGATCTCGGGATTACAACTCGCCTATAAACTCCGCTTCGCGCTCCGATCTCCGCTTCTGCATTGGTGGCTGCGTATTTTAATCTACTTGAAATCCCGCACCCCCCGACTAGACTCGGAACCCCGCAAAGCCAAGCACCTCGGTCTCCAACTGCCGAACCCTGAACTGCCGGTGGCTTCGTTTCACCCGTGTACTTTTATACCGAAAGATGCCAGGCCAAGCTCCGTCGGGCATATACCCTTCACCATAAGAACCAATGGCACGTCTATGCTTCGTCAGGATCACTCGAAAGCTACGCTAAGTTCATCTTCGAACTCCAGCAATGTCACATGCCATGACAGGAACCACAAAGTATATTCATTACCATTAATCTCTTATATCGAAGAAGGGGTATCAAATTCTTACCCAGGAATTGCAAGAGATGCCGTTTTCGGAGAAAATATGATGGGAACCCAAGAAGAGCCAAGCTCAGAATCTATTTTATACCACACACCCCTTCATGATTCCTGTTGATAGAATATAGCGACGATCTTTATCATTTCGAGTGGTGATCAGGTCCAAGCTTTGATATATACCGAACTTGAGAGGCCGAGGTTGTTTAACGTGACTTTTCGGCATTGATCCACCCCCACATTTCCCCGCAAATATTCTTTCGTCAGGTAATGTGGTCCCGGATTAGACGGACTTGGCAATGACCTTCTTGGCTTGCCAAGCCCAAGCCTGGTTGATCGATATCATATTTTGATAGGGCTCTATTTCTGTGTTTCGAAACAAAAAGGTGAGTTTGATGCTAACTATTGATTTTGATTAGTTTACGAGGCTTTTGGGCACACAGTCTGTCTCAGAGCTCTTCTCGCATACCGTATGGAGAATAAATGAGTCTTTGAAGCTTATAGGTAGTACTTGAGCTCGCCGGCGCTATTATCACCAGACTAGAAGCCCCCGGAAATCTTAGGACGGGGACGGAGATTTCCCCAACGGTGTATTTGTACATCTACCATGCATGATGACTGCTTGGCTCCATATTCTGAATTACCTATTTGAGATATCACCTCCGACGCAACCCCCTGGCGTGGCATCCGTTATTCTCCTCGGCATACAGTCTACAATATCGTGACAATGCGGATGGGGATAGGTCTGAGGGGCATCTGAAGTATTTAAAGAGCCATCTTCCCCGTAACAGTTTTCTTTCTTTTCATCCAAATTCAGCAGCCTTTCTGAGTATCTCTAAAGCCTTCTCCAAAGTCCCGATATATTGTTTCAGCATGTTGTTCAACTACCAATCTTTGCTCGTGGGAGTCTCCTTGATATCTCAAGCCCTAGCTGCACCTCTTTTGGAATCGAGGGCAACTCCTGGTGTGTCAATTCGTCAACCCATCTCTGATCAATTAGACAGTTCTAACATTTTTTTCAAGACACCTCTGCTTTCCCTGATCTGCAACGTGCAGCAAAGCTTTCTTCTGCTGCCTACAGCGGTTGCATTGGAAAAGCCTTCGATGTCACTATTACCAAGAAGATCTATGACCTCTTGACCGACACCAATGTAGGCATACTATTTTCTCTATATGCTAGCATAAGACTAATATTCACAGGGATTCGTTGGATACTCCACCGAAAAGAAGAAGATCTCGGTCGTCATGAGGGGCTCGACTACCAGTATGAACAAATCAATCCATTTTATCACTAGTCCACCGTGCTAATTGCTCTAGTCGCCGACATCTTAAATGACATTGACACTGTCCTCGTCACTCCCTCGCTCTCGGGCGTGAATTTCCCTTCCGGTGTAAAGATCATGAAAGGACTTAACAAGCCATGGTCTGCTGTACACAACGATGTCATTGCTGAGGTCAAATCGCTCATCGCGAAGTATCCGGATTACACTTTGGAGGCGACCGGACATTCCCTCGGTGGTGCCCTTACATACATTGCCCACGTTGCATTGGCGCAGAACTTCCCGGGCAAGGAACTCACTAGCAATGCACTTGCTGCCTTCCCCATCGGCAATGAAGCCTGGGCCGACTTTGCTGGCTCACAGGCCGGTACCTTAAACCGTGGAAATAACATTGCTGACGGTGTTCCAGTAAGTCATGGGTAAACTTGAGATGCTATGTTGAAGTGGCTAACCATACAACACAGAACATGTACGTGAGCGGTATTTTCAACTTCAAGCACTACGGAACCGTGAGTTACCCTATTGAGACCATTTTGTACCAATTTTCAATAGCTTACCGATGCACAGGAATACTACAGCTCTGGCTTGAAGCTCACCTGCGTGAAGTGCGAGGGGCAGCGCGACAGAGACTGCTCTGCCGGCAATGGTATGTACAGTGTCACTGCCGGTCACTTCTCAAGCTTTGGCGTTACAATGATGGGTGCTGGTTGTGGCCTGCTTTGAGTACCAGAATTGGATACAACCGAGCAATCTTCGACACAGATCGCTTATTAGGGACAAAGCGATCTCGGATGATTTTAGATATCGCTGGCGAGGAAAACAAATCATCTACTGTGTATCTAGTTGTTTATAGTTATTTGTGTCAATTGGATGGTTGGTCATTCAACATGATCGATATGATGCAAATACTATTATCATTCGACGTCAATCCCACTCCGTCATGATCTGTTAAGAATATAGGTAAGCCATAGCGACACTATTGGCAAGAATGCCATGTGTATTCCCATTCCGGATCTAGCGCATATCTACCCTGACCAATGTGACGTGAGAATTTAGCGCCAATGTACACAGCCTCGAGATTACTCAAAGAACCAGCCACAATTTCACCTGAGCCTCAATTAACAGGTGGCTTTCTAGTCACATTTGATATCACCTGACCCCCGCCTTTATAATCCCCCTCTTCCCGTTTTCCTTTCTTCTTTTTTCTTTCCTTCCACGCCTGCCGGAGTCGATAACTGTTCGCTAAGAGATTCATTCCAGATTCTCGAATGCAAAGTAATCCCAGGACTGCGTATTCCTCGTCTTTTAACTAAGACTTGGGGGAACCGTTTCTGCGGGGAGCTTCCAAGACTCACATGCTTCGTGTGCATGACTAGCAGCGTCAATTCGTTCTTCTTTCAACCAAACCGTGTCATTCTTTCTGATAATTACAAATATATCTTGTCATTTGTGACCATCTTCTATGGGCATAAATCGGCAATAGGCTTTCTTTGCACCGTTATGTTCAAGCGCTCTTTCGTATCCAAAGACCGGGCGGGTAAACCCGTCAAGGTTGTCAAGAAGAAGTACGACGAGCTAGTCAAGGAGAAGATGAAGCAGAAAGCGGAAAGTCCCACAATGGGAAGGTGTGTTGTTCTTTTTATAAATTGGGATATGCGTTCTTCATAAATATCGACATCAACTTCTTGTACTGATAATGTCTCATTATAGTCCCCTTACCAGCCCAATCATTACTATGATTGCTGGGCGGGACCAACGTCTCTTCGCCGCCCATGAAGATGTCCTATCCGCGTCCCCGTTCTTCAGCGCTGCTCTGAAGGAGCAGTTTCTCGAAGACGGTGCGAAACAACTGACTTTGCCTGACGAGTGAGACAGCCCTGCCTATTTCGACTGAACAAACACTTACTCTTGAAATAGGGAACCTGAGATCTTGTCGTGTGTTCTCGAGTTCTTGTATAAGGGTGACTACTTCCCGCGCCTGTTGCAAGGAAAGCAAAGGAACTCTTGGTCACTCGAGAACGCCCAGGATATCACTCAAACAGGTGGCCGAGGATCGAGCGAGCCGACAATGTTCCACCCCGGAGTGGGAGATCTCATTCTCCGAGACACGGCCGTGTACTGTGCTGCTGAGAAGTATGGCTTGGAAGAACTCAAGCGCCTTGCTCTCCGAAAGCAGGGTCTTCAGAGTGGCATCCCAGCTGACGTGATCTTACGATCCGCTCGATATGCATATGACAACACACCCGAGTCCGATTCCCGACTGCGCGCTCATTACCTGGCTCTTATCATCCGTAGTCGCAAGACTTTCAAGAGTAGCGGAACCTTGCAGATGGAGATGGAGGAAGGGGGCAAGTTGTTCTTCGACCTGTTTGTGGCAATGTGCAACCACATGGACGACCTTTCGGAGATGCGGTACGATTCAGTTTCTCCTTCTCCCTCGCCCTAGCTCTCTGCGTATCCCTCTTTTACTGCTGACTGCTTTTTCGATCCCGAGGCCTGAGTGCTTACACTCGTGTCTACTAGCATTAAGCGATCGCCGAGGTATTTCTAAGCGGTTGTAACATTTCCTATGTACTGGATCGAGCGACTTGGATTATTTTACACCAGATTGGCACATTGACAATGAGCTTAAACTGGCCTGCGTTTTGGCTTTGGCAGCAACTTAACCTTCGCTTCTCTCGAGGTTGGCCGCCCTTTTGGTTCGAAGAACCGACCTTATTCGCCTTTAATTGGATCCACGTCGTATCTTGACTTGCGTTCAACCACTCTACACTCCTTGAGATTGAGCTTTTTTGACACAGTCTTTGATGATTTGCACTTAGTCTGATGCACTTGTTTGTGGCAGTGATTATTATACTTTTGCCCTAATCAGGCGATGTTTTGTTCATCGCTGCTCTTGGGCAATGCGCCTGCCTATATGGTGATGAGAAAACAGAGATGAAAAAAATTCGGCCACCTCAAATAAGCAAACGTAGAAACATCTATTACGTACATAGTGATATTGTATCCCATCCTTAACCATTTTTGTCTTCGGGTTATTGCAAGCAGTTGCCCACCCCTACACCGAATCGCGGATAGATTTTAGGGTTTGAACCGGATCTATCCATGCCCTTTTATTTCCATGAATGCGACTTCGTGTCGTGAATAATGGTCTGCATACTTTGATGTTTTAGTTTTCTATAGGAGTCGTCACTCAGACATCTCGTACAATCATTCTTAGCGCCCTTTGTACGAAAGGGCCAAGTGTATATCCGCCTATATAGACAGGATAATGTCTGCCGGGCGGGGCCTTTTCTATCTGGGCTACCGCCGCTTTATGAGGGCGCTCAGGCTCAGGATCAGTGAGTAGATGTCAGCACGGGCTTAGACTCGGTGGTCATGCTCTAGTTCGGTCAGGTTGGAGATTGGCCCAAGGATTACTCTGAATATGAACGGCTTAGCTAAGATCTGTTAAGCACATTTGCGAATGACCTGGAGGGGGTTGATGGCGTCGACAAATGGAATTTGCAGTCGTTCGGGTCTGGACAGGTTGAGGCAAGTGATGATCCCGTTTCCTTTCATGGGGAGCACCTGGCGATTGCTATTTGAGTGCAAATTGGTTCACATTCAAAAATTGGGTATATTTTACCTTTTTGTCTTGATTCTGTTCACCTCTTTTTGTGAACCTCTTTCGTTTTAGGATTTTGGCAGCGATTTAAATCTAAATTGATAGGTATCATCAAATGAAACACTTTTCACAAAGTTTGAGCGACCCAGAGTCGTTGTACAGACAATATAATACACTAGACCTGTACGAAAGATACATTGCGCATTAGACTTTTTTGCAAAAAGTATGCCTGGGGCTAAGAATGATCATGTACTCTCCAATGTATACCTGTTTTTCTTTCCTAGTTTATAATATCGGCGATTTCTCCCTCGATGACAGATGTTGTGTAGGTAAATAGTTGTTTTCTATATAGGTGCGCTAAATAGATAATATCAACTTCACGAATTTTTGTACTGGAGGGGGAGACGACATATAACTATCCCCTAACATTAGTTTCCCTACATTTTTAATTTTACAACCCTGCATTACGTCTTTAGAATCCACCGACATACGTACAGCCTTAAGCCTATGTTTAATTTTATGTAGAGATTAGTTGACTCCCGAGCGAGTATCTATGCGAAACATCACTTAAGAAACACCATTCTTCACGTAGCGTAAACAATCACCATAACACTTAGTCGGGTCTAGAGGACCGTGCCAAGAAATCAGTTGATCTCGGCGTGCCTCTTCACATGGTAAATCGTTAAGGTTAAACTGCATTGTGTCTTACAGTCAGAAACAGATGGTGGAACCTACGTAGTGGGGTCCGGCAAGAGAGGAGGGAGAGAGTTGTATTGTCAAGAGGAGCGAGCTCCCAAACTATCTATCTAGCAAGGGTTGATGCCTGAGGCACCAAGGCTCCGACCACCACAACAACAGATTAGGGAGACGACAACCGCAAAACTATGAAGACGGTGGACTGAAGTTCCTTCTTGGGCCACCTATAAGTCTTAAAAGTCAACGCCAATGATAATGATAGACGTACTGCCTTGCATTTTGTATCGAACGTGTCAGAGGTTTATACAGTACTTTAACATTTATCAACAATGGTTAATATGTTGCAGGCATCACGCTCAGGCGGCCTCCATCTGTATTCTCCATGCTGCCATTGACATAAGCTCCGGCCTTCCCTACAAGATACAGAACGACACCACAAATATCCCGATAGCCACCTTTCCGACCAGCGGGGACTTCCATGTAGCTGTAATTGTCTTTGGTTCCAGCTGTCATGCTTGAAGGATACACTATAAGTGGTTAGTTACGGTCCAGCAAGGACTAAATGATATGGGGTCCAGCAAGGACTAAATGATATGGGGGCTCCTGCAAACTCACCTCCAGGGTTTATCACGTTACTTCTAATTCCCCACGGTGCCAATAAGTAGGCCAACATCTTACTCAAATGAATTGATGCAGCCTTGCTCGCGCCATAGGCTAACCCCGCTGTTATGAAGCGATTAAGGCCAGATATACTCCCGACTGTTATTATCTGGCTACTTCTCTCATCGTCCGTGAAGCCTGTGATATCGCGCTGTCGAGATCGTCCCAAAGGGATCTTGCCTCCTTCCCAGCCCCGCCGTCTGTTTCCGGCATCAAGAAGTTTCAGGAAAGCGGCTGAGACTCCAACAACTGCACTTGAATTAGCTGCGAAGGTAGGCTGCCATCCTTCTGGATCGATGAGCAAGATCTTCTGCAGGTCCTCGATTGTTTCCGCATCTCTAGCAGGCTTGTGATCGGGGCCCTGCACACCGGCATTATTGATTAAAACATCAATATAGCCAATTTCGTCTTCTATCTTCGCAACAGCGGCGGAAACAGAAGAACAGTTAGTGATATCGCATTGTATGGGTACAACAGCACCACCGACGCTCCTAGCAGCTTCCTGGAGTGTAGATAGGCGCCGGCCGAGGATATAAACACGGGCGGCACCAGATTGGCTTAGACACGAGGTTATGGCGAGGCCAATCCCTAAGAAATATTAGGGTTAGTGAACACACAGCGTGAGAATTAAGGGCATACCACTGCCTCCGCCTGTAATGACGACGACGAGGCCCTTGGCAGAGAAGAGATCATTGGGATCTAAAGTGGCAAGGATATCCATAACTGCGGGTTTGACAATGAGTACTATTTCAAGAAGCACCTGCTTGTGGTATTTATCCAAGAACAGGGTGGGGGAATGCGGCCTTCTTCCAGATCCAGGGCCTGATTGCTGCATTTATTATTGATATCTTGAATACGAGACATCAAGATAGCACAGGACTTGGCGCGTGAATACGAGGGATGTCGAGATCATCACCGCGGAAGTAGCTCCTTTTGGAATTACAGCCGGTTTAGGGTTACAAAATGACCGCTTGGAACCGCGATCCGATTTATTTTCCGTAAGGGCGGACCAGACTCGGGCCATGTTGCGATCTAGCGTGCGATTTGCCTCGAATTTTTCAGATGCAGAGACATACGGAGGCGCTGTTCCAACGGTGATCTATGCCCCTCGTAGAATAGTGCGAAATCTTTCATGCAGACAGACTAAACAATGCGGTTGTCCTTGCATTTCCGGAATATGGACTCTTTTTGACCTAATCGGATTCCGATGTCTCTCACATGTCATGTGAAATACAGTGCCTATTCAAGGAAGCAGTCTAGAAAGTAGGTGATGGGGCGACAGATAGCCCGATGGAATATCCAAGAAGTAGCGCATATAGGGCGACCGATAAACATGGCCGAACACCCCTGTCCTGGCTGTCATGAACGGGCAGATCCTGTTTTCCTGTGCTGCGTTGAGCGGTCATGTTGCAGGAATACGGAATGCTAAGTGTTCAACGCAGTCGAGGATCCAGACGGAAGTTGCAGCCGGGGCCTTTCCAAGCTGATTCAGGTCGCCATGCTTTCTTGTGTCGAGGGGTACTCCGCAAAACAAGCTCTCCAATTCAATAAACAGTCGACTTTCATGGTCTGTAAAAGACCAGCCCGATATCATACAATACGAAAACTTCCCAAGTTTCTCAAACTTCGTTGCTGCCAATTGTCCATCCGGGGTAAGTGGGACGCGGGGAACAATGGCATTCGCGAACACGAGGAAACCCCTATTAAATTCAACATCCGCCTTCGCACAACAGAAAAATACTTTCTATCAATACATGTAACGAAGTGTCCAAATCTCCTATTGACGCCTGCCATTAACGATTTCTAAAAGACTGAACTTAACAGTGCTGCTTCGCTCTTGTTGCTCAGCTTAAAATCCCAGCTTGTCTCACATAAGCACACGATCCACGACGTAACTAGTTAACTAGTTGAATGACTGACCTAAAAACGCAGTCCCTTCACGATTTTGCAATCCTCGCCATAATCAAGGTCTTTTGGTTGGTTTACTTTCACCTTTATGTGATTCATTACCTGCTCTTCCATTTCTTTTCCACCCCCGGAGGTATTTTGGACTCCCTGTCTGTTCTAGCGTTTTGCGCAAGTGTCAGTTTCTGGTGCTTGTCCAGCCTCTCCTACCGCTTTCTAGACGCTTTCGGGAGGGAGGTGGGACGATGAGCAGAATCATGCGTCACGAAGATTCCTACCAGCATTTGGCAGATGAGCCTATTTTGTTCACTTTATCCAAGTGGACTTGGTATATGAACCAGATGTGTGCAATGACTGACACTGCCCTGGTTCAACTTCGATATCTTGCAAGCCAAGCTTGCCTTTGCCCCGATATTCATGTCTCACTGCTTCTACACCCAGTTTTATTACGGATATCCTAGAACTTGAGCCTATTTATGGACAGACGCGGACCTAGCAAAATCGGAAACAACTGTTCCACCTTCAATGCCAGCATGCCAATGTGACACAATTCGCGCAATCCCTACATAACCTCACAGTGAAACACCTGCGGGATTCGAAGATCCAACTTCCGATGCAGGGACCGTGCTGCGCAGAGTCGAGCTGGGATTTCAGGGATACTGCACGGAAGTTAGGAACCATCTCGCATGGCTCAAGGACGATACGGACAGCACCTTGAAGTTGCTCGATCTAGCACGAAACATAAAACAGACAAAATGTCGAGCGGCTGACAATTCTTGCTACTGTTTTCGTTCCCCTGTCAATTGATACTGGAGTGCTTAGAATGAAATCGCGGTTCAATAATTTAGGACCCCTTCTATATGACTCGGAGTTATTGTTCTCCTCGTGACATTTGCAGCTCTTTGCCTTATAGTATTTATGTTCTCTGATTGGATCAAGCAACCTGTTTCCAGGGTCGTACTAACTCTCCTAGGCTTGAGACTTCTATCACGCTATCTCTTGGTACCTCTGGTATGCATTTGAGTTCTTATTTTGGGCTCACCTCTCGCTGGCATGCTCAAAAACCCTTAAGAGGCTCCATTCTTGAGTATGGACTAGTGGCAGCTATTGGTGTTATATCTGCATTTGGAGTTATGGTACGCTACGGGTATGACTGGGAAGTTTGGAGGTCACTTTATCAGGAGTATCATTAATGAAACATTTCCTATCTACTTATTGTTCGGACACGGGTTGTACTCCTATATCTTTACGGGCTAATAGCGATTCATAACCTGGCAGGCAGGATCCAGTTTGAGGAAAGGTGGAAGGTTACATTTTTGGCTCCCTCATAGAAGTTAAAAATTAATATCTGGAAGATTCTAGCGATGTACACAGTGTAGCTTAACAATAACGTTGAGAGAGATGAGATTTATAATCCGGCGGAGTTAGCGGGATTAACATGGGATGAGATAAATAAATACAGGTGGAGATAATAACAACCAACTCCAATGTTTGCTATTACCATCAGCAGAAAATACAACATTCATCCACAGCTGTATCCTGTATCTATTTCAAACCATCAATCATGGCTCCCATTAATCTCATCTGGGGTGGAGGCTCCATCATGGACGAAGAGTCCTATCCCACCCTCGAATCCATCAATGCAGTTCTAGATATCCTACAAGCCAATGGTGTCAAGACCATCGACACAGCCAGAATCTACATAAATTCCGAGGAGCGTCTGGGTCAGGTCAATGCCAGCTCCCGCTTTGCCATTGATACGAAACACCCCGGCGGGTTCGCCCCCGAAGCAAATTCCCAAGAATTGATCGGTTCAATCGCAAACCAGAGTTTGAACTATCTCCAAACAGACCAGGTATGCATCAAACAAGGTGTTACGTGGAAGGTCTATCTCTAATAGCATAATCAGGTGGATGTCTACTACGTCCACGCACCCGATCGTCGCTTTCCCCTGGAGGAGCTTCTGGCCGGTGTAGACGCCCTCCACCAAGCCGGAAAGTTCAAGCGCTTTGGTCTTTCAAACTATCTAGCCACAGAGGTTGACGAAGTTGTCCGCGTTTGTCGTGAAAAGGGATACGTCCTGCCCAGTGTGTACCAAGGAAACTACTCCGCCGTCGCTCGTCGGGCGGAAACAGAGCTACTCCCAACACTGCGCAAGCACAATATCTCCTTCAATGCATACTCTCCGATTGCAGGTGGATTCTTGACTAAGGATGTCGAAGTGTTGGCTTCTGGTGGTGAGGGTCGATGGGATCCAAAGACAATGATTGGTGGGATTTACCATGCGCTCTATAATAAGAAGAACATGCTCGAGGGTTTGAAGCTTTGGGATAAGATCTCTAAGGAGTCCGGTATTCCCAAGGTTGAGCTGGCGTATCGGTGGGTAGCGTATAACTCGGCGCTCAGCGGGGAGTATGGGGATGGGGTTATCTTTGGTACGCGCACTATTGAGCAGCTGAATCAGACCCTTGCTGTATTTGCAAAGGGTCCTCTTGATTCTGCGATTGCGGTGCAAATTGAGCAGGTTTGGAAGATTGTTGAGGTTGATGCGCCTTTGGATAACTTTAATGATCTCCCTGGTCACCAGTGAAATGGAGAGCTATGGCTGTTGGGAGGTTTCTAATTGAGATGGGACTATCTGCCTTGATTCCTATTGTTGTTCTTACTATCTGAAACTTGTTCAGAAATTAATAATATAGCAGTATCTTACCTCAAATCATCCATTGACTATACAACATTTATCCGTGCTCTCTATGGGCCATACCAAAGCCCACTACCTACTCACAGTGCTTAGGTAGTGCGCTAGTCTAGACAACGCGGGAAGAGAGACACATGAAGCAATGAATGTGATGATATTCGCTGACTAGGGGCAAGGACTGATGATGGACGTAGGAGAGAGGAAGGGGAGAGAGAGCCAGCTAACCTCTGTAGGATCGACGAAACACACTACCGGCCCCGTACACCAGACGGCTTTACGGTCCGCGGTCTAGAAATCAAGCCTATCTACTCACACAATCACGCACGGCACACTACTGGTTATCTATACATGGGAAGGCCTACCGCTTCCAGGACGATGACCCATGCGCCTGCGGTGACCAAGAAACAGTGACCCACGTTTAGTGGTATTGCCCTAATCTGAGAAACCTACGGCGGGAGCTATGGAGGAGAGTTGGTGGCGCGTTTATCAGCATATCGAGCGGGAGAGCTAGGCTAGATAAACTCCGGGTGTTTCCCAAATCGGGCACCCAGCTCAGCGGGACCCGTCATTAGTCATCATTTTCACTGGCACTGCTGAGCTGGAACCCGTGGACTAGCGTGGTGCGTTGTATTGAGGTGAGCTGACTGAGCTGCTCCCGACGATCGAGCTACTCAGTGAGCAAAAAACGACAAGAGGTGGGAAAGGGAACGCCAAGACCTGCCAGACATTATCCTGCCTACATGCAATAAAAGTGCCTTCCGTAGAAAGTTAGAACTACAGGCCGTGTCATTATTCTCCCCCATATCAATTAAAAGCCATTAGATGTTAGACCCCTGATTCTGGTCACTATCAATATAATTGTAGTCGAGTCCCTTGTATAAAATTCGGAGCCCCGAGACCACCTGGGCAATATCCAAGATTTAGGGATCTTGTCACAAAGAGATGATCTATTTAAAGTCATATACCGTCTCAGCCAAGAAAAGCTTGTGTTCTCCATGAAACGAAGCTTTGACGGTTACACCGCATTATTCAAGCCCTAAAGATCGACCTTGTTTCTCCGTGTGCTAGCAAAAATGACACTGAGTTCTCTGGGCCTCATTGCTTGCTTATTCAAGTCACAAACCTGACGAACTATATCCCCGACTTGTCAACCATTCAATCTCTGCCCGAAAACTCATTTACTTTTCATTCAAAACAAGATCAATCGCATCCTTCTTTTTGTATCTCAAAAACATCTCAATTTAGCCAAGGCTCTTTTCATTGAGACTGACAACTACTTTTAATTTTCGGTGACCGGAATCAATCATCGTTGCCTTCAAAGAGTAGTAAACCCTCAAGTACTTACGTGCATGAGAGCTCAGCCAATATGGCTCCGAGAACGTACCTTACTACTGGCTTGAGGCATCTACCCAAGCCCCGCACCCTGGAGCCTGGCGAAGCCCTTCTCGTTCGGTACAAGAATTCCCTACGGCAGTACAAGTCTGACGTGTGGATTGGCGTGGTTCTCCCAGAAAATTCGGCCTAAGCCGACACATCAATCGCCGCCCTGTTGGCGCATAGCCAACTGATGGTGCTTGGGTGACGCACCCGAAAGACCGGATTTACTCCATGTATCTTCCGGGCCGCAATATGTAGTAAGTTTGGCCTCTTTTTCATACCCAAAAAGACCCTAGAAGTTGTGTATTTATTGATGTATATGTGTGACCATTGGCTTTGCTGCGTGCTTGTTGATCTATTTGTCGGTGTTTCTGACTATATGTGTGCATGTTGACCTATGAATATTGGAAACTAACATGTATGAAGCAAATGGGTCGGACTTCAGGATCTCTTTGTTCTGAAGGAAAAGACTATCAATGTTCTCCGGCGTGCCCAGAGAGAGCCAGATGCCAAGATCTGGGACGATATTCTGGAAATCGTTCGAAGTGAGCCTGGGCTGGAGAAGAACATGGCTCTCCAGGAGCTCGGCACCAAGGGCAAACGAGGGAAGGAACTCCGTTTCGTTCTTCCAAGTGGTCACGAGGACCTTGTCTCTTGTGGAGAAAGTCATGCTGACTTTGAGTCGGAGAAAGAAGAGGATGGTGATGAAGATGAGAATAAAGAAGCCCCATCGGATCACGCGGAGCCCGCTACTCCTGCTGCACCTGGCTCATCTAACATCTAATGGGCCAGCAAATATCAGATCATTTTCCGACTCACGTGCTACACAGAGCGTTCAGCCCAGACAGTCAATGGTGTTCCGAGATGGTAAGCCCACTGAACCTGAATCTGAACTGCTCCCTTTTGCAGACCGAGAGAACTCTAGCGTAAACGCAACGCAGAAATTCCAGCCACGTCCTCCTCTAATGCCCCTTAACTCTTCTCTCCCAATCTCATCGACAGTTGTGCCGCCACCAACTACCATGAATCAGAGCACGGTGCCTAAGGTTGAGAATGAGACTAGGTTCGTTGACTTCTGACTTCAATTCTCAATACGCATCCATCAACTAATATATTTCAAACATACAGTGCCAATGTTGCAGATGTGACATCCCAGAAACCCGTTCCAGAGTTCTCAATCTTTGATTTGACCATCACCCAGGCCCTGAAGCACGTCTTCCTGAATCAGCGTGAAGCCGCCCGAATTAAGGATGTCTTTCTAGGCACCGTGGCTCTCGAAAGACAGCCCGAATATCTGCCGATTCGCGAATACTTAGCCGATGGAGAATTTCCCCCTCGCCTGATCACCCTTAAGAGCTCTGGCTTCTCCCATCCCACCCCATTCCCAGCCCTGAATCCCAACGGCACCACCACCTTCCGACTGGTTGGTGACCAGATGGGAATTGGTCAGAACTTCAAACTGAACGGTGTGGGCAACAGTCTCGATTTGGAAAATGTCATTCTCGTACTCGGAAGAGTCTACCTCCAAGCTCGCCGTTTCGGCCTGATGGACTTGGTTTATCGAATTACCTTCAAGCTCCAAGTCGCCTGGAACTGCTACCCGGAGCTATACCAAACCAAACCGCTCCTCGAGGTTGCTTCTGTTGCTTTCGATGGGCGCATCAATTTTGACGAGGCTGACTGCGATTATCTCCAGTCATGGCTCATTCATTTCATCTCCGAGGCCTCAGATTTACTCACATACAACGCCAGCGAGCAGTTCTGGTCGTTGTTACGGACTCATCCAAAACTCCAAGACAAAGTTCTCAATCTGCGCATGCTTGCTCACGTCCATAACCCAGAGTTGTATGGCAATACCAGTGTGCTCCTCGAGAGCCGTGGTCTGGGAACCCGATGACATGCACTCTAATTGAGCGGGAACACAGCAAAGAGCTGTGTTTCCCACAGGGTCATCTCGACATGTTGAGCGCCTCAGGTTTCTCCCTTTTGCTTGCTTGTCTCTTTTCGTTTTCTTCCGGTTTCAATATTGGTTTATTTACATTCTTTATCATTCTGCTTTTTATTTGCATTTTCTGATTATGGGATTCTCGCCATTTCATCTTTCACAATAGAAGGAGTTGCATCTCAATGGTTTGGCTTCTTTTGCTTCTGTCGTCATGCAGTGGAAATGGGGAGACCGTGCAAGCTCATAGTTAACGTTCATCAACGCACATATTCTTATCCAACATATCTCATTGAGGTCGTCTCCAAAACTAATAGTGATAGCCGTTTCCACATAACCAGTAGTTTGAGGGTCACATTAAGCTTGATGTTTGCAAGGCATCCGAGAAGGGCATCTCGGCCCACATTTGAAGATACCAGTATGATGTCCAAAGTTGGGATACTCGCATCATAGTAATACTAGTGTGTGAATACGCGCCTGACTGTGCAAAATTCCTGTTGTTACAAGACGTGCAGATAAAAGCCTTTTTCTTTTTCCGGAAAATAATTCAATTCATCATGTCAACTCGCAGGTTAATTGAAAACGACCCAGATATGGATAAAAATATGACGGTGCACCTGTGCAAACCACCATCGCTAAAGGGAACCCGAATATCACGCCTGGAGTGAAAAAAAGATGAAAGCAATTGGAAGAATTGTAACGAATGTAACACGATTCAAGCTGAGCTCCATCGCGGGATATTAGCATAGCCCAAAATGAACAACAGAAGGATCGGAAGGAAACAAGTTGCAGCATAAAAGAGAGAAGACAGCAGTTGGTATTTCATAATTCACAAGAGTGCAAGATTCGCCACAAAGTGAGACGACTGGCACGAAGGGTAGACAGGTTTAGGCGTCATCACCAGTGGTCCCGGCCTCGATTAGCTCCGGAGGAGACTCAGTAGCGTCCTAAACGACCTTCTCAGGAGCTTCAACGATAGACTCATTGGCGATGCCGGGGGAAGCATTCTCCGGACCGTCCTCAGACTTCACAGCGGTGCCATTGGCAGATTGCTCAGTGGAGGATTCGGCAGGCTCCCCGGCACCCTGGTCAGCGGACTCATCGGTTACCTTCGCGGCGGCTGGCTTGCGACTTTTGGCCTTGGGCTTCTCTTTGATAGTCTTGGGGGCTTCAGCAACCTCCTCGGTAGGTTTCTGGGTAGGCTTGGTTGCAGCGGGCTTGCGGGTACGCGTTTGCTTAGGCTTGTTCTCAGAGGTGCCATTGTTGCCGTTGGTCTTGTTTTTGGCAGTGCGGGTGCGCTTGGGCTTCTCGGTCGATTCATCATAAGCCTCCGATCCACTGGTTTTGGCTTCATTGGTAGCCTTCGGACCTTTCTTGCCATTTGCACCATTGGCAGCCTCGGTACGAGCGGTAGACTTCTTGGTCTCACCATTAGCAAAGCCAGTCTCGTTGTCGATAGAGGAGACATCCTTGTCGACAGAAGAAACATCATTGTTGAGATCCTTCTTGGCACGAGTTGCGCGAGTTGCGCGAGTTGGACGAGTCTTGGGCTCAGTGGCGGTCTCGTCTGAATCCTTCTTTGGCTGATCCTGATCGGCATGGTCAAGTTCGCCGGAATCGTTGTCAGTAGCAATAGTCTTAAAGGTAGTAGCTTTGTTAGCACGGGAACGCTTGGTAGGTTTGTCCTTGGGCTCATTGTCGGTGGAGGCGCTTTCCTCCTCGATGGGCTTCTTGCCGCGAGTAGCGCGCTGCTTTGGTTTAGCAGACATTTCAGTGTCGGCATCAGCACCTTCATCTTCCGAAACCTTCTTTGCACGACGGCCACCCTTCTTGGTCTCGACCTTGACCTTGACTTCGAGCTTGATGTCAGAATCGGGACTCTCTTCGTCCGAAACCTTCTTTGGACGGCCACGGCCAGGCTTCTTGGGCTCGACGTTGGCATCTGCCTCAGCGGCAGTCTTCTTGGGGGGACGGCCAGGCTTCTTAGCGCCGGGCTCAGTCTCAACGATAGCAGCATCGGCAATAGCATCATCGTTGTCAGTAGCTTTCTTGCCGCGAGTTTTCTTCTTCTTGGTGGTGGGCTCCTCGTCCGTATTCTCAGGGTCGGTCAGACCATGCTTCTTGCCAGGAGAGGACTGCTCAGCTTCCTCGGACTGCGAGTCACATTAGTATCTCATATTATATGAGGATAGAAGATGGAATTGACGTACCTCAGCAGCCTTGGCCTTGCCCTTGCCATTCTTGACACGCATGCCGGCATGTCCAGGGCGGTTGCACACAGCATCCTAGGAAATGTTAGTCGGTTGATTCACAGTTGTTGGACCCAATTTGAAAGAAAATGTCCCAAATTTGCAGATGGAGGAAGGTGAGCTTACGCCTTTCCACTCGTCGTCTTCGATGTGACCCACTTCGATGGCCTTGCGAACCTTGGCTTGGAGGTCCTCGTTCAGCTCATCATAGCCGTCAATGTGAGAGAAATCAGGATCATCAGAGACTCCAGTGATGTCATTCTTGACGTTCTGAATTTGTTTGGGGGTAAAACAGCCCCTAAACGAGGTCAGTATTTGGACTCGTTTGCTCAAGGATAGAAGCCATGAATGTTTGTTTAAAAAGCATGTCTCTTCACGAGGCTAGACTCACCAGTGGCGCCAGGACCAACTCTGGAAGCCTGGGCCATCAACCCAGGTGCCAACACGAAATTCGCCCTTCGTGATCTTGACCTTCTCTTTGTTGCATTCCGGGGCTTTGCAGCCAGCACGGCCCTGCGCGGCAATCTCTGATCATGAAGTTAGCTGTGATGTCATGAAGGCTGTTGCGGTCCCTTGGACTCAGGAAAAGTGGGTAATTTTCTCAGAAAATGCCAGAATACACAAAGGAGAGGCTTATAAATTAGGGCATGATATCACATGTTCAGTTGTGCACCAGGCATTCTCACTTGGTGCAATAGACATACATCTATTAACCATGACAACACTGGTAGAAAGATCATGGAAACAGCATATGAAGTCACTCACCAAAGCGGTATGGCATTTTGACTGATGTAGTCAATGCAAGTAGTGGAAAAAATGGAGGTGTGTTGTGAGGTTCACGATGGTGAAGTGAAGTAGGTAGTACCGGCTGCAGATATGCGGGTTACTAGTGAACAAAGCAACGCACAACAAAGAAAATAAAAACTGTTTGCACAAGGTGGGCGCAGTCCGAAAAGTGATAAGAAAGGTTAGAAATTGAGGTTGTCGTAAGAGCAAACCGAAGAGAGGGAATGCTACACAGTATTTAAAGGGGACAGCTGTTAAAAAGTCAGATGCCGTCGACTTCCCAGTATTGACTCTCTTTGATTTTTCTCAATAAATAATGAGATATGAATACTCTGATCTTCCTTTTTCAGAAGAACAATAACAATGTAGAACAAAGAAACCGGGATGTTCGTTTGTTGTGTGGCCCCTTTCGAATAAAATGCATTTTCTGGCCAATAGTCTTTTGTGTAATTCGCTATTGTGTGTTTTTCAATGTTATTCGTCAATGACTGCATTTTAACTATTCATTTAATTATTCATAGACATAAAAGGGTCTGACATTCTGACTTTCTGCTCAATAGTGAGATCTTTGTAACTTGACATAGTCAATCGGGCATCAAGGCATCAATATTACCTAAAACGGGCTTTTGTCGCATAGCACCTATCCCGTAGGTAGTTATGATAGGTATGATTTACCTACCTCGTATCGTGCATACATAACCAGAAAACTTAAGGAAATATAAAACACTGTAATTCTATCTAAAATTTCCTTATTAAGAAGCTTCCTGTTATGTATTTTGCTGGATCACAAGGATTTGGTAAGAAGCGCCCTGGCCCACCACCTGGAGACGTTCATAGGAGTAGATATACGATTCTATCATGGTATCTGGATCTTTCTGCATCAATTTAACAGCTGCTTGCATTCTATGAACATGGGTTCTAGGAGCCTCAGTTATGAGAATCTGACAAAATGTGGGAAAGGCCTATGGATGGAGGTATAGTATTCCAAGCTTAGACATGGAAACAATTGGCATTCTACACCTACATACTTCCTGGAGGAGGACAATTTAGATATCCATAGTACATTATCTAGAAGCAATATGATTATCCCAACCTAAATATCACAGAAATAAGTGTCGAAGGTAAACCATATGAACGAAAACCTCTGGAAAGGGTGATCTGCCATGTGCTTATTCCGCTAACCAAAGGCGGTTAGCTTATTCTGACGGTTGAAGGTTGCCCGAGTCTACATCTTAAGCTTGTTACTACCTACTAGTCTTTCTCGCTACATTCGAGTAGCCCCAAACCCACAAACAACACAGTCACCGTCTCCTATTAGCAAAAGGGAAACCTCTTATACTACCAGTCAAAGGGAGAAGACACCAATTCCTCCCACACGCGCAACCCCACCGATACCACGCGGTCGCATCACCTCCCCTCAAACCAACACCCACAAAATGTCCGAACCAGGCCCAGAATCCATCCCGACAAGCGCAGATCCACGCAGCAAGCGTCCAACAAAACGACGCGCCGTGACACCTCATTCCGAAGTCGCCAACGAGATCCAAACACTCTTCAAAGACCCAAGCAAAGACCTGCAACTACCCAATGCTCTGAAACCGCGCACCGTCGCGTCCCTCTCGGCGCCGCCAGAGATCGTGACCAATGTGCAGGGATCATCGGCCGGTGCGGGCTCTGGCGAATTCCACGTGTATAAGGCCAGTCGGCGGCGGGAGTATGAACGACTGCGGTTGATGCAGTCTGAGGTGGATAATGAGAAGAGTGATGAGGCTTGGGAGAAAGAGCGGGAGGAGACGAAGCGCAAGGATAATGAGAAAACGGAGAAGAATCGGAGGAGGAGGGAGAAGAAGAAGAATGCGCGTGGGAAGAAGGGTGGTGGTGATCAGAATGATGTTGCTCCTGTGAAGAGCGCTGCTGCCCCGGGCTCTATGGTTACTATGGAAGACCGAGATGGAGGCGCTACAGATGGTCAAGTGGGTGAGCAAGAAGTTCCTGGTGTCATTTTCCACGATGAGGACTAGTAGAGGCAGGTTTCAAACGCTGGCTGTGTACGATACGAATATACAATATACCCATCTGGATTTGCTTTTTTCTTTTTTTGAATCTAAGAAATTCATACAGAAGGAAGACAGCCAAGAGGCAAATCGTGTAACATTATGTACGGACCTCGAGTCCAAGTATCATTTTTCTTTTTCGTCTATCAATCATTCGTCGCCGCCACCGCCGCCGCCGCCAGCGATCTGTTGAGCGGACTTTCCGCTGCAAATGTCGTCGACACGGAGGAGGAGACATGCGGACTAAAGGGAAATATGTTAGTGAAATGTAGTGCGCATGGAAAAACAGTAGGGAGCTTACCTCGACCGCAGTCTTGATGCTCTGAAGCTTGACGGCTTCGGGCTCCCAAACACCGTACTCCTTCATATCAACCAAGTTACCAGTCTCGCCATCGAGACCCCAGGTGTGGTGGCCCTCGACGTGCTTAGCACGCAGACTGGTAAGCACACGGATAGGGCTGGAACCGGCATTCTGGGCCAATGTGCGGGGGATGACCTCCATAGCATCGGCAACGGCCTTGTATGGCCACTGCTGGACGCCCTCAATGGAGCGGGCAAGCTGGCTGAGCTTCACGGAGACAGCCATCTCAGTAGCACCACCACCGGGAGACAGACGAGGGTGGAAGATAACGTTGCGAGCAACGGACATGGCATCCTGCAAGTTGCGCTCAACCTCATTAAGAATATCCTTGGAGGGGCCGCGCAGCAGAATTGTGCAGGCCTTCGGGGACTTGCACTTGCGCATGAATGTGAAGTACTCATCGCCAATCTTCTCAATCTCGAACAGTCCGCATCCAGTACCAATATCAGACTCTTGGATGTCATCGACACGGTTGACGATGGTAGCACCACTGGCACGGGCAATACGGTTGTTGTCGGTCTTTCGCACGCGGCGAAGAGCTGTGATGTTGGCTTTCACCAGGAAGTGCTGTGCAAGATCTAGTAGAGCTCGGTGGTTAGAACATGCAATCAATCGCCTTAATCAGACCGCTTGCTTACCGGAAACACCCTTCTCGGTGATAACAACGTCGGGCTTGAAAGCTAGAATGGCCTCGCACATGTGCTTGACCTGCTCCTCCTCAATCTGGAGAATACGGTTCCAGTCATCCTCCTTGGAAATCTCAATGTTGGTTTGCGACTCGCCCTTCTTGTACTCCAGGGGGCAATCCAGGAGAAGAACACGGGGGTTCTCGATTCTGCGACGCATCTTGGGATGCGTGATATCCTTGTTGACCATGACACCGTCGATCACCTCAGAGTCCTCGATCTGGCCACCGGGGACCTTCTCAATACGTGCGTAGCGCTTGATATCGACTTCCTGCTTTCCACTGCCGACATCGAAGGAGACGGTTCGCACAGCCCTCAAAGCGAGGCTGCACATGAGCTCTGACCAACGCGACACGAACTTGGTTCCGATGGAGGACTGGATAAGGCTGTACATGGCCTTGTCATCGTGAATGTCAACGGGCGTCGAGACATCCTCCACGATCTGAAGGGCATCGGCGAGGGCACGCTTGAAAGCCTGGATGATAACGACGGGGTGGATGTTGCGTTCGAGCTGGGGGATGGCCTGGGCGAGCATTTCACCGGCTACGGAATATCAGCATCTACCATGGAGTCTTCCGGAATAATCTTTGTCATACCAAGGATGATGACCGTTGTGGTACCATCGCCGACCTCCTCGTCCTGGGTACGGCTGAGCTCGATCATGCTCTTAGCCGCGGGGTGCGACACTTCGATCTCTCGCAGAATAGCGTGGCCATCGTTGGTCAACACAATACCACCCATAGGGTCAAGCAGCATCTTCAACATGGCCTTGGGTCCGAGACATGACCGAATGATATCCGCAACACTGGTGTTTATTGAATTAGCATCGAGCAGGGGAGAACAGCGGAGGACCTAGATGTAGCGTACGTCTTTGCCGCGGTAATGTTAGACATCTGTGCTTTCCGGCCAACCTGGCGCTCACCGGAATTGGTGTCTAGATGACTTGTTAGCACTTAAGGGGAGTAACTCGATGGGGGGTAACGAACTCATCACCACCACCGGAGCCTGCATATTGGCGGTGTTTTATTGTTGTTTGAGCGGGAAGTAGATATAAAACGGTCTGTATCACTTGCGAATACCGAAAAAAATATTGCACGAAGATGACAATCCAAGAGTTCCGACTTCAACGCTGTTCGCCCGCATTCCATCAAATTTCCAGGCGAAGTGGGAGCTCCCTCGAGCTAGTCCATATACGGCTAGCGTTGGGTCCTGACAAACCAGGCAAACATCTCCAACTTTCTACATCTGAGCAACTCTACAAAGTTCTAGTTCAATGTAAAGGGTCGTACTATAGTCTGTTTCATTGTGTGGTTCTATACATATTTTAGTGATTATCGAGATAAGGCATATTAGATGACCAAAACCAACCTAGGAAAACCGCAATTTCCAACCTCAGCATGCGAAGCGACCAAACCAAGCTTGATTGAGAGGTATCGCGTTTTGACCTCGATAAAGTTCAGAATGGAAAAAGAGTTGTCTATTAAAATGAAATAGTAACATAGCTAAACTTAGAGCCCGGCTTGGTCTCTTTCTCTTTCTAGACCACTTCAATATCCTGCTTAGTATCAACAACGAAAATTATATAGCTGGTTAAACATGACGACTAAGTGAGATAACTAGTAAACCCCTGGCCAACGTTGTTAGCGCTTTATGTACGGCACATAACGAGAGAAAAAAAAGGGAATCAACAAAGCCCATATGAAACAAAGATACAGGATCATTCCGCTGTTGCGTAAAGGAAATTATTCAGATACAAAATCATACAAAAGAAATTAACAAGTACGGGCTAATACACGCCATGAAAGTAATGTACATGAAGCGGACTTTTGTTCAGAACTCCCGGCTCTCCCCGATATCGCACACATCAAAAACACCAGTCTCTGCGATATCGTGCTTTTTCAACGCCTCCTTGAGCTTCTTGGGAGGCTCAAGCACATCTTCCTCAGTAAGGACCCAAGTGCCCCAATGCATGCCCAAGGCCTTTTTGCATTTGGTGTCTTTGAAAATGTGAACAGCGTCGTGGGGGTCAGAGTGTGCTGGACTGAAGATATGACGGGGAGCGTATGCTCCAATTGGAATCAAGCCAAGATCAAACGGGCCCCGGAACTCACCTACCTGCTCGAAGGCAGGACAGATAGGGAAATTGTATTTGGGGTCCCAATCATCCTCCCCTTCTGGTAGTTCGTCCACTGCTCTGTACCCGGAGTCACTAGACCAGAGGTCAGTAAAGCAACACTCTAAAGGTGTAGATAAGTTGGGGGAGATTATCATACCCAGCAAAATAAACTTTGCTACCACCAGACTCAATGGCCCAGGACGCCCATAGAGTCTTGTATTTGTCAAAAGGACCGCGGGCAGTAATATGCTGGCAAGGCAGGCAACTGATGCGCGCCTTGATCTCTGCTGCAGCGGAAGATTCACCTACCGGTTCAACCTGCGGACCCTTTCCCTTCTCGGGTGACAATTCAATATCACGCTCATCCCACCAATCCATCTCGGTTACATTTTGGATGCCTGAGTCGTGGAACCAAGACTTGTTGCCTAGTGGCACAAAGAAATGGCAATTGGGATGCAATTTCGCGATTTTCGAGACAGTTGGGTGAGACAGATGATCGTAGTGGTTGTGGGAAATGACTACCGCATCGATGATGGGGATATCCTTGATCTGACATGGAGGGTTGGTATAGCGCTTCGGACCGAGTTGATAAGGTCCGCAGCACGGCCCACAACGCGCCTCAAACACAGGGTCAAATAGTACTCGGAGTCCGCTGGGGAACTCCACATAGTAACATGCATGTCCAAGCCATGTTGCGCGCAGCTTGGGGGTATCCCGGCTGGGAAGAAACTCGGGCTTGTGAATGGTGACAGTTGGCGGCGTGGTGTCGGGTGTATTTGCTTTGCCGTTCAGTCGACGAAAGCTGTATGACGCGTTAGAGACTGGTTTGCTTCAATGCTCAACAAATATACTTACATCATCATTTGCATGATATCCTTCGACTCCAGATCGCGAAAAGATCTATCACACGATGTGGTTAGTTTACCCGACAAAGGATCGAGAATCCAGCAAGTCATAGAGGCTTACTTACTCCCACGGGTTTCTGAATCCATGCTGTGCATGATGACTTTTCTGTAAAAAATCTTCTGGGCTAGGTCTAGCCGGGGAGTTAGCCACGGTCAGCGCATATAGCACTTCAGTAGTAGGCGGGGTGCTCATGTTGCGGATTGCTGGATGGATAGCGCGTCGGTACTGTGTCCGCCGAGTAAGCGGGAAACGGAGAAGAAGTCGCATTGGATATCCAGGCTTATATAACAAAGCCACCTCGCACGGAATACAAATGGATTTAAGGAGAGAAATGCAAGAAGCAGACCGGTATTTTAATTCCGATATCTCCGATATTAAGCATCAACCAAGAACGCCGGGTCATCGAAGTATATCGCATATATCCCCCATATTGAATACATGTAGGTCTATCAAATATGTACATGTATGTACATTCTAACCTTCAACCTTGAAAGGTTGTAGTTCTCTTGCACTCGTCCTATGGATTGCGCTGTGGCACCCGTGGGTATGTCAAATGCTCGGCCCGTCGTAACTCCGATATCTTCCCTTATCGATCTTCTCGACATTCGCGATCTTCACGACACTGTTGATTTGGTATGGAGCCAAATGCGGTCCCTAGTGCTGCGCCGTCTGCGGGCGACCTGATTCTGCAGCAGAGAACAGAAGCGCTCCAGTCGGCGCAGAAAGGCGACGGAAGTCTCTTCTCGCAGCTAACGAGCAATCCCTTGTTTACAGCGGTATGAGACCTGCCAGTGTTCGATCCGAAGCGATGTGCTAATCTTATTTTGTTGCTAGGGTTTTGGTCTTGCAGGCCTCGGGGCAGGATTGACTTTAGCACAGAAAGGCGTTCGACATGGCGCTGCTCTTCTCCGCCGGCGGATGCTGGTGGACGTCGAGATCAGCATCAAAGATGACTCCTATCCGTGGTTTCTACACTGGATGACTCTCTACCAGCAATCACAACTCAATGCAGGCAAAGCCGCCGCAAACACTACTTATATGGACCGATTCCTCCAAAAGCTCACACCCGGCATGCGCCACCTCTCCATCCAAACGCAGAAGATCGAACATTCGAACGGAGCAATTCACACACACTTTTCGCTGATTCCAGGGCCTGGAAAACACGTTCTACGATACAAAAATGCGTTTGTATTTGTCAATCGTATGCGCGAGTCGAAATCCCGCGACATTCAGACCGGAAAGCCATGGGAGACAATCACCCTCACCACCCTATATTCCCAACGCCACATCTTCGAGGACCTCTTCACCGAAGCTCATGCGTACGCCGCAAAGGGCCACGAAGGCAAGACGACAATCTATAACAGCTGGGGTACCGAGTGGAAACCATTTGGAAATCCTCGCCGGAAGCGTCCGTTGGAGTCGGTCGTTCTCCACGAGGGAGTCAAGGAACGGGTAGTGGCAGATGTGGAAGACTTCATTTCAAGTTCCTCATGGTATCACGATCGTGGAATTCCATACCGACGAGGATATCTCTTATACGGTCCTCCCGGTACCGGCAAGAGCTCTTTTATCCAGGCACTTGCGGGCGAGTTGAATTACGATATTGCCATTTTGAACCTGAGCGAGCGTGGCTTGACCGATGACCGGTTGAATCATCTTCTCACCATTGTTCCTAACCGCACGCTGGTTCTGTTGGAAGATGTGGATGCCGCGTTCTCGAACCGACGCGAGCAAAGCGATGCAGACGGCTACCGCGGGGCCAATGTAACTTTCTCGGGACTGCTCAATGCACTGGACGGAGTCGCTAGTGCAGAGGAGCGCATCATCTTCCTCACCACCAACCACGTCGAACGACTCGATGAGGCGTTGGTCCGTCCTGGGCGTGTGGATATGACTGTCCGTTTGGGCGAAGTGACTCGCTACCAGGTTGGCTGCCTGTGGGATCGATTCTATGAAGATATCGACACCGACGGCGTTTATCGCAAACTTTTCTTGGATCGACTCCAGGAGCTTGGTTTGATTGAAGATGAATCAGGCAACAAGCCTGATCGGTCTATCACCACCAGTGCAGCTGCTCTCCAAGGCTTATTCTTGTATAACAAGGGAAACATGGAGGGCGCGATTACCATGGCCGAGGGTCTGACCCACAGTGTGCACACCGAGGCCTTGGGCCAGGATCAGGGCAAGAACGAGTAATTGTATATCATGTAAATAAGATCAAACTATATAGAGACATTCATCTGGATGCACATTCCCAAAAAAAAGAGGAAATAAGCTCCACGATCAAGCCGGAATCACTAGGGGCAAATCTCGGGGATTTACATAGATCCACCTTGCATATTCTTTCTCTCACCGATCAGTAAAGAGTATTAAAGCATTCTGTCCAAGCTTGTTACCCCTCAATTTCTATTTTCCCCCACTAAACATCCACATTATGGTTTATACAATTGTCGTTCGTATGTGCTAACCCTCCCCATTACCGTTTCCTATGCTGACAGTGATAGACCTCCGCGCCAAGCCGGATGAAGAGTCCATCTCCAAGCTCAAGGCCAAGCTTGTTGAAGCCTCCAATGTTTACTCAAACGACAAGGAAACCCTCTCGTGGTTCGTGATGCAGTCTGTTTTCGACAAGCAGGACTTCACAATCGTCGAGCGTTACGTCCAGGAATCATCCCAGGAGTACCACCTTAACAACCCTTACTGGAAGACTTTCGACCCTTACGTGATTCCTTTGTTGGAGAAGGATATGGATATGCACCGGTTGGAGGAGTTGGAGGGTTCTACCATGTAAATTACCCCTTACGGGAGATGGAAAAGAATTTAATAACTGCATTCCACATCGTATTTACTATTACGATTCATTTCAAGATCGACGGGTTGAAAGCCTGGAATATCCCTCACAGGATCATAACCAAGACCGCTTTTTAAGCACTCGCATATTGAATACGAGCTTCCATGTGCCATATATCAACCACAGTTAAGCGCTTCTACGGAGTTTAATGATTATGTGAGCCGTTGTCACATTTTTATCTCCATTTAAAAAGGTCCCAGAATATGCAGATCCCAGGGTCAACACAGGGTCAAACGAGCTTACTCCCCGATTTCGATGCAAAAATAACTAGCCAATATAATCTCCGGATTATGTTAAATATAGATTCCCCCACGGTCCAAACACCAATCATCAAGCTGTATTGAAGCGCCGCTACTGCAGATGGATGTGCTCATCCCAGGATGGGGGCCAATCACATCCCCAATCGGTTAAGCGCCCACCGTATAAGCAGGGTTGTCACACATCTCGACGAGCCATGTATTTGCTTGGTCAAGCATATGGGCTGCATTCGGTGAGAATGGGGTATATCTCAGTCGAGACCCCCTGCGTTCGCGCTCTGCTCTGTTTTTGTAGACTACATTTGTCAAGATGAATCAATTTCAATTATTTCCACCTCCATCGCCTGAGGTAAAGAGGTCTAACAATCCATTTCGCAAACCCGGGAAGAAACCAGTAGCCTCTGAGCCAGCCTCTTCAATTCCTCTCGAGGAGATCAAGGATTCTGGCAAGACTGAATCCTTGCTCCTTCAGATTATCGAGGATACCCAGAGCTTTCCATCACCACCAACAGATGCTTCAAGATCTAAATCCCCGTTGTCTGCGGCGGGAGCATCTCGTGATGATTCAAAATCTCCTCAGTCCATGCACAGTCAGAACCGTCAAGCCAAGAGAGTGATCCATCAGACCCAGCCTTCGCATGGTAGTCAATACAGCAGCAGTAGCAGCCATCACACCACCGCGACAACTGTCTCCCCGCAGTCATCACAATCATCTGCTTCCTCGGTCCCGATGAGATCAATGTTCCCTCAGTTCGATCCGAAACTGCCTTTCAATAAGCAGGTATATCACCCACAGCTTCCAGAACCACCACGACCCGTCAAGTCTTCTCGGAAACCCCCTAAGCTCACGCTGTCGACAAATACTGAGATTGACCACGTTCTGGGGCCGAAGACTGTGCCTGCGAGTGTACTCAACTTCCCAGCTGGTGCTTTGGAGTCCGAGGAGTTTACATACTCATCCATGGAGGAACTGAAGATGCTATGGGAAACGGCCAACGGCCAGCGAACGCGAGACCTTGTAGGAACATTGAACCTACGCATGACAAAGTAAGACATGATATCTCCCACATATGTACAAATACTAACATCTCACAGAACGGGACCAGCTACCTTTACCCTCGGAAACTCCCAGAACCCGTTCTACACACTACAAACATACTCAACCAACGAACTCGCCCTAAGCAGATGCGATCCATCTAGACCAAACCACGACGTCCCAATCATGATGATGAGTCTCGAGGACCGCACACGCCGCGAACATCCCAACGACGGACTCGTGACCCTGCTCTTCTCCCGGCTAGCAGCTATGCTAGCCATAGACCAAGCCGAGGAGATCGGCAAGCAACACCACCTCACTCCCGGCGAGGCAGCAGAAGTAGAAACCGATGCACTCAAACGGGCCGCAGCACAAGAATCCTGTCGACTCTCCTGGAACCGCCATCAACGACTATACGAGCTACGACACCCCTACCTGTCACAAAACAATCCTCCCGCTCTTGTCGGCGCCGCCGGAATCCCACTCTCACCCGTGCGATCCGAGTCTTCAGGAATGGTGCGCATCACAGTCTCCAAACCGTCGAGCGACGCTTCTCCCCGCCAGCCACCAACAATCATCGTCACTGGTCCGGTCTCTTCCACGGCAATGGAAGCCGCTCAGCAAGCCGCCAATCTACGCACGTCCGTCCTCCCTGTTACAGATTTTGACGAGCCGCTCGCATCCTTGGACTTCGCTACAAAGACATTTTCGATTTCGCCTGCCGCTGTTATCGCTACGATACCCTCTCTATACGCTATCGACTCTCTCATCGCTGCAATGCTGGCAGTCGCCGTCTCGGATGAAGCTACGAACCCCATCCTTGCAGACATGGTTCTCGGGTCGCCAAAGTCGTCTAGACCATCGACATCCCACAACCCCGGCCCTTACTCAATGCCCGTGTTCCAGGGTAAACTGGTTACGACGGTTGCCGAGCGCGAAGACGCAGCAGAGAGCATGGAGTTGGCATCGCAGATTAAGTCTGCGCAGAAAAGGTCCAAAGTGGTCTCCGGAAAGAAAAGTGTTTTCAAGTTCTGGGATAGATCTTCTTCCAAGCCGCAGGAGAATAGTCGGGACTCAAAGAGTAATAATCGACAGGTTGTCGTTGAGGAGTTTGATTTGGAGAAGTACGGTCGATATGGGAATAGTTCATCGCGAGAAGGGGAGAAGTTGCCTGGGGTTACTCGTACCATCTTGCGTGTACTGTTCTTTGGCTTGGACTTGGTTGTGAAGGGATTGACGCTCATCGTGAAAATCTTGGCTTGGTTGTTGGTCAAGTCGACGCGGTGTGTGACCAGTGAGAAGTTCTGAGTTTGGCTTGTATCTTCACGTCCTATATGTCTGTTGATGACTTTTGATTTTTCTTTTCTATTGGATGGGTTGGGAGCGATCGGGTTAGTTACGGATCTTTAGTTATACCCAATTTGACAGTTCTTCGCGGCAATGATACTTGAGTGGTATGCAAATGAGTTCCTTGATTTGACCATTAGATAGGGTTGGTTTTGTTTTCAATGTGAGAACGCCGAAGTCGAGGATGGGGATGTCGTTGGTAATGAGAAGGCAAAGAAGGTTACCCGGACGTTCTGTTGGATAGGCTTCTATTCAGATGCGTTGAACCGGTCGTCAAGACGAATAGAAATTGCACGAAGCGCGCGGACAGCTATAAGAAAGGGAGAACCTGGCGGAATATGTGGATATGAAGCTTCAACAGATGAAAGCAAGGGCTCTTGCTTGGGACCCAGATAGGTACACACTAGAATACATAGCGAAAATGAGTGCTTGATCGCTCTATGAGCTATATCAGGTGCCTCTAGTCTTGTGGAAACCCCCATATTTATCAAATATCCCAAATGTCATTCTCGAGCTTCATACTGTGTCAAACTGTAACACAACTTCACCCTCCCCGGTAGGCCTCTCAAAGCCAGCAATATAACTATCCACGATCTCACTTGTCACAAAAAACGCTGAGTCGCCATCCTTGACGGCCAACTGGTTCCTTGCCCTGACCCGCCGCCGCAACTCATCAGCATCGACGTCAAGATACGCAAGCACCCATCGCCCCCCAGATCCTTCGATCAGGCTCTTCCACTCATCTCTAGTCTCCTGAAATGCGAAAGAGAAATCCAGGATTGCATCCTGAGAGCCTTGGCGAAGCAACTGCACCAAATCATTTCGGAGAGCGCTCTCGGCCTCGTCTTGATATTCGTTGTATTTATCTTTCGGATAATCATCACCATAGAGCCCGTATTTGGTGTATATGTAGGAGTCGATTGAGAACCGTTTGAAAGAAGGATGATTGGATAATATCCATTTAGAAAGTGATGACTTTCCAGACCCTGTAATAACATCTTTAGTAACTATCCAAAGCTTGCCGCTAGATTTTGTTTACTTACCAGCTAATCCACAGGTCATCATAACAACAGGTCGAGGATCGCTATCTGTCCTGCGTAGGAAAGGGCTCAGCGCCTCGGGCGTATCGAAGAGCGTAGATCCTGCCATTTCCTAAGCTAGACGAAGAATACTTGTATACTAGCCTTTTCGTCTCGACAATGAAGTCAAATATGGAATGAGGTGGTTGTCTTTAGTGAGCTTGGGGAGGCGCGGGGGTATTCCAGCTTAGGCCTTAGTTGACTTAACAACCTCGTATATATGACTCATGCCATTATTCTTGCTATCACCCTGAGATCTTTATGCCGTTATACCCTACCCTACTTATCAAGGTCGAATTCATAATGTCCATATATGTAGATGGGGAAATAATATCTGACATCGTTGTTGATTGATTGATAGCATCTCTTGCTATACCCCGTCGCCGGCTCATCCAGACTGGCGCCTCGAGATGGGATGATGATATAAACTAGCCATTGTCTGCTCACAATTATAGTTGCCCAGTATCTACAACAATGCTATCCAAGATTCGATCTTACCGATGAGGCTGTCTCATAATCTAATGCTACTAACGACTTCTCCTTGGTCAACCTTATAGTCCACGGAGAAATGAGCTGTGTGTATATATATACAATGACGGAAACAATCGGACTTAAAACACGTCGTAGAGGATGTATCTTGCTACGTAAGGTACTGACCCAATGGCCTCGAATCTTCTAATATAGCATCGCACTTGGATAGACTATATAAGAATCCCATGACCACCCATTCACCATGCAGGTCTTTTCAGCGCCGAATGATCCTCAATTCATCCTCATTTTCTCAAATATATCTCTTTATCAACGTGGCATCTCTCCGTTGAACCTCACTTGCTTGACCCTTTGTGCTCTCCCACCTGATATAACGTCAACCTCACTAACTGGACAGCCTGCGATTTCAATTTCCCGTGCATCTAGTTCCCCGTTCGAAAGATTCTATCATTTCAACCTTTTGCATTCTACCATGGTGCCCTCAAAACAGCCCAGTAAGCCCATTGAGCCCATTACCCCCAAGGTCAGAGCAAGCATCCATCATTTGGGAACTCGGAAATGCTCCTATTGGTCCGGGCTTCTACAAAGCCGATCAAGACGAGCAGCTCAATGTCACAATTTTGCCTCAAATCCAGGTCACAGACCCTTATTTCCACACCACCTATCTCTTCGGCCCATTCTTACCAAAGCTCTCTTAATGGCACCCACATCTGAATTTCCCAGCACCCCCAAAGCCCCGGAAACTCCTACCAGCATTCTCACCAGAAAAAAAAATCGTTCACAAGGTCAATTGCTCAGTTCATCAACTCCCAATAGCACATCATCAGACGAAACCTCGATATATGCGAGAATATGTGGAGAGAGCTTCAGTGGAAAATCTGTAATGCATCTGGTCTCAAACTGGAGGAGGCGATTGTTAAGGAACTCGTATGTCGAGGGGACGGAGAAGGGAATTGAAAAGCAAAAGAGCACTAGTCCTATTAGATCAAATGAACATAGCCACGGCTTGCATATTTCGTAGGAAAGAACTTGAGATATGAGGGAAACCGCTGATTCCATGTTGTGTATGTTGACAATTTACATTGGAGACCATCAACAAATGGCATTAGTACTAGTACTAAAAAAAGAATGCAAAGCTAGAGAGCCCAATTGAATACTTCAAAGTGGCCGTACTCCGACTCCTTTTATACCACATGCAAATATCGTCATAGCCCTAAGCCGTATCGATCTCAATTACAAGAATTGGATCCCCCCCAATTAAACAGTAAATTCCCCTCTTATCCAAAGAGGACACCCGAAACCGAAAAATGAGACGATTCTTAATCTTTCAATTCAACATTCCTCGGAATATAAAGGACCGAGAGAGACACAGGATTGACAAGGCAACTGGCACATTCTTCCACCATTCCAGTATAATTAACAGAAGATCAAGCCTACTTGTGGCTGGTAGGAGTCCGATCAAAAATGTCTGAAGCTTATCTCTTAGGACAAGCACTGTCCCTATATCGGAACTAGCGGCCGTCAGATTCCAGGACGTCGTTAACGCCCCCGTTAAGGAGTAAAGGGATGTCATATCGTAACAAATATTTGCTATCAAAATATTTGACAGCAGAGTCCAATTGTTCATAAAGCACAGAGTATTCCTCGACTCGGCCGCTGTTCCCTCTATAGCTTCGTTCTATTGTATACTAGAAATCCCATTCCAGTATCCCAAATACCAAAACAAAAGTCCAAAATGCGTTCCTTCATCATCGCCCCAATCCTCATGGCCAGCGCCCTAGCCCAATCAACCTCAGACTACCTCAGCTGCGCCGTAAGATCCCAGCCCCCAACCCTAAATAACCCCCAACCAAAACCAAGCTAACACCACCCCAGAGCGCCACCATAAACAGCGTCACCAAATCACCTTTCACCTCCTGCACCTCCAAAACGTCCCAAGAATGCGTTTGCGCCAACAAATCCGCCTTCCAATCCCTATCGGCCTCCTCCGTCCCCGCCTGCATCGGGCTAGATATAATATCCCTAATAGCAGCTCTCTGCCCTGACACCGAACCCACATCTACCGAAGCCAAACCCACCGAAACCAAACCCACCGAAACCAAATCAACCGAAACTAAATCCACCGAAGCAAAACCCACCCAAACAAAACCTGTCTTCCGACACGCAGGCAAACCAATGCAACCCGTTAAACGCGCGGATGGAGCAAAACTCACCATCTATGTAACAGAAACTCGCTCAGATTGCGGATGCACGAGTACGGCTGTTGGGGGTCATGTCCACGGCTCCACTACTGCTGCTGGAAATACCATGCATATCTCGCAGGTTCCGGTTAATGTCCCGTCGCCGAGTAGTATGAGTGTCATGGTGGCTGCGTCGTCGACGTCGGTTGGGAGGGAGCATGGGTTGATGGGTGGTGCGGCTTCGACTGTGGTTGGACAGGTTGGGGCGACGCCTTCGGCGGGGGCTTCGGGGGTTGATGCGAAGAGTTTCTCACCTTATACGGGGGCTGCGGTGGGGACTTCGGTGAATGGGGGTGTTGTGATGCTTGGGGTTGCGGTTGTTTTGGCTGTTATGGTTGCTTTGTAGGTTGTTTGAGGGGGTTTCCTCTTTTACTTGGGCTTTGGGTTTTGGTATGGGTTTTGTATGATGATATTTTAGATTGAACTTGAGTAATGATACATGAAACATTTGTGGTACTTATCGATCATGCATTATTTATTAATTAACATGCACCAAGTTGTGCTGAACATTCATAAACATGGCGAAGAAGGCGGATATAGATTCCGCTTACATACAGAGATTAAACCATTGCAGTCGAACTTCAAGTCCCTTGCAATCTGCCTGAAGAGCTCAAGCGTGAACTGCCTGTTGAACCTTAGGGTAAAGCTGCACGAGCTTGTAGTAGATATCCGGGTGATCATTGATCATGACCTGAGGATCCCAGGCCATAGCCACAAAGATAGTCTCAACACCGCTACCAATGGGAGTCATGAAGACCTGGCAAACCTGCAGACCAATCAAGAAAGCGAAAGCCATGATAACAGCGGTGAAGTTACCATCCCTGTTGTACTCTGGGTTTGTGAACTGCAAATAGAGATAGGACAGCAGGGCACAGACATAAGCGACAAAAGTCGAGCCCATAGTCAACACCGGACCGATCAGGCAGTCTTGCACAAGAGCGTCGATTCCTCGGTCGCGCATCATAGTCCATGTATCTTTGGCAGCAGGGATATAAGGCTTTCCATACAATGCAATGTGACAGAAGGCGTAGCGGTTGAAAAGCGTAACGAGCCAGTCCAGCAGCGAGATGAAACATCCCAAAATCCAAACGGCGATACTGCCGACTATGTTACCCTCCGAAGCCTCCTGTCGCTGTGCGATCGAGCACGCCTGTCGCAACATGTTGATGAACGCGATGATCAGACTTCCCAGACTGATACTGCCAAAGGAGTAGGTAGTCGCACGACGGAACGCGCCACTGGTCGAGCCCTTGGGCATGCCGCCGGCGGACTTACTCCAGAAATACCAGGAGCCGTAAACGCCGGCGACGGTGGTATGCACGGTATTCTTGATCCACTCACTGACCCAATACATGGCGAAGGTGACGTAGACGACGAGGCCGATGACCTTTGCTCTACTGCAGCCGCCGTTCGCACAGGCGGGATTGACGCCGCCAGAAGAATCGGGCTCGTAGGCGACATAGATCGAGACCAGAGTGACGGAGAACCAGGCAGCGAAAGCGACTGTGACGATTCCGCCCAGCGCGCTGACTAGGAAGATGTGTCCGTAGCCGCGGGCTACGTCCATGGCGGTCTGCAGCATAAAGGCTGTGAAGGGGATACGCGGGATCCAGCTGATGAAACAGACGATTGCGAAGACACCGAAGACTAGGAATGCGATGCCGCCTCCGTATTGCTTGCGGGCGATGTAGTAGATGCCCGTTGCGAGGGCGAAGACGATGTTGAGGATGCCGGTTGCCCAGATGAAGGTTTTGGTGAAGTATCTTGCCCCCATGAAATAGAGCCAGGAAAACACTAGGGCGACGACGAGGACGAAGATAAATAGCACGAGGGTGTTGGTGTCGAGGGAGAAGTCATTGGCCGAGTCGTAGATACCTCCTCCATTGAAGCCTTTGTTGGTGGCATATTTGTGGATGGTCAGTCCCGACACGGCGGCATACCCGAGGAAGACGGCGATTAACTGTGTACCGAGTCAGTTTGGAGGTTTTCAGTGCGACACGGACACACTCACCAAGAGACCTGCCCACAGATCATTCCACTTGGGCTTTTCGATCTTGAACGCCTGGTCAAAGCTGTATCCGGATTCTGGGACATTTTGCTGGTACTGTGGCGGTGGTTTGGCTTCAGGTGCCGGTTGCTGATAGGTGGGTTGATAGGTTGGTTGCTGGTAATTTGGCTGGGGGTATGGGGCAGGCTGAACATTTGGCTGTTGGTAGTTATTGCCCTCATAGGCGTAGGGCTGAGGCGGACCCTGAGGCGCGCCCTCGTTATAATAGCTAGCAGCTTGTCCACTCATATCTGTGAGGCTCAGGGGAAGAGGGAAAAGCCAAAGGAAAAAAAGGGGAAAGGATACTACCTTGACTAGTGACGACACGAACCAAACAAGAAATCTCGATTGCCAATGAACGGGATCCGCCCTTGTGGATCCATCCCTACAGGGATCGCCGATCTAATACGCTAAACAGATCTGAAAAAAACTCAACACCACTAAAAACACTAGTAATTTCAAAAATTTTAATAAAACTTTCAACTGATCTCGTAATTGTTTGTAAAACATGGCTCCATTCTAGCCCTATTACCGATTATCTTGATAAAATGTTTTGGCTCGATATATGGATTGACGAACATTCAGCCTATAAGACATAGCTAAAAGCCGGGTGAAAATCTTGGACCGCTGGACCCTCGATTGGAGACCGGAGGGATTCCGAACATTTCACATGGCCAAAATTTTCGGCAATTGGATATCATATTTTATTAGAATTGTAAAGTCTCTTTAATATGATCTATTTATGAACTCAACTCCTTAACAGTCATCTATATTCTGAATATATCGCTTATAGCCACCTTGTTAAGACCCTTTTCCTAAATCAACAACTTTCTCCATCAGGAACCGTTGCATAAAATATTCTGGTAGGGCTGCACCACATAGTCCGTCCAATCACTCTGCCAACCCTAAATAAAGTTCGCAAATTCCCAGTATTCAGGATACCACGAAGCTCCCAGTCAATAATAGCAACCACATTACTATCTTTAACCATAATATTCTGAGGCCAGAGATCACCGTGTGCGTGAATAGAATATAGTGGTTTGTAGGAAGCATTCCATAAAGGAAACTTCCAATATGTCGTTTGGCGGTCGTTTTTGATAGGTATTCAGAAGGCCTGTATTAAAATCCTCCTGTCATTTAAAGAGGCCTTTTAAAGAGAGTGTTAGTTGAAACAAAGCTAACGTATTTCACATGCGAGTGGTCCACACAAGCCAGTGGTCCACGCCAAAACACATAGTAAAAGCGATAAATTACAACATGTTAGTGCAACAACGGTTTTGTATATAAACTGGCTCTTCCAGCCTAATGCTGCTTATGTGATATCTAGTTACTTTATATATTTTGAGGGAATTTAATAGGCTGGTAATTGAGATATATATATTTGTAGAATCCAGCGGCGTAATTTTGAATACCACAACAATGGAAGTATTCGATTCGTTTAAGATTGATATATTATATTAAAAATGCTTATCAATCATTATCGGCAAGTTATGAAGCTAGATAAAAACGTTAGTTGTTGAAATATAAGTGACAACTATATCGCTTTTACTATGTGTTTTTGCGTGGACCACTCGCTTGTGTGGACCACTCGCATGTGAAATACGTTATATGTATAATATACATAGAGAATACCTTTATCAAGAGAAGTCGATAGACAGTGATCAGCAGACCTAATATAACCCTCACTGGTCAAACCACGCATCTCTTTAGATATACCCCGTAAGCTGGGTTAAGATATGCGTTTTAGTATACACATCGCAAGTACCCCACGCCGTGTGGAGTGTGTCACCATCAATACAACTCATAAAGATCTAGGTATCGTAAAGACCCCCCGTAGTCGTCAGGAACACGATCTACAGGGCCGTATGTATAACAGGCGAAAACTTTGGGAACGGAAATTCCTGTGTTTTGTGCAATATAGATCATGTTTTGGACTTCGAGAAAGTTGACATGAGTGTCAATCTTGATGACTACTTTGGGGGAGGTTTTCACACTAGTGACACCGTGGTTGAAGAGTAAGTTGCTCTGATTTTGACAGGACTCATTGACGGTTTTGGGGGGTATCACGGAAGATCCGGGTGCCAAGTAGTGCACGTTTAATTGAGGCTTTGAAGTAGGCGATTGAACGGTAAGTGACATCGTAGTGGAGGCTATATCTTTGGTTCAACGCAAAGGATTAATTTAGGGCGAAGGACAAGGGGAAGGGGCGGAGAACGTAAAAAGCAAAAGGAGCTCGACGAATGATTTGCTTTTTGGTCATATTGTCGTATTACAGCCCTACAGGGATATCCAATGAGAACTGCCAAGTCGGTTGCCTGCTCGGCAAACATAGATGTGTATGTAATTTCTATGTACAAATGCAAATGCCATAAATGTTTCCCCTTTTCACCTCTCGAATCCAAGACGCCTATAATGCAGGCAAAGAGCCTCGCTAAACCCCGAATTCACAATTACGATTACAGACATTAAGGAGATGACACGGAGGGCCGCCTGGGAAAGACGTCCAACAGAGATGGACGCCGGGGTGATCATTCGCTTAACGAAATGCATGTTGTTTCAAGTGACGCCATGAACCAACGACCCGATGCTCGAGGCCCGGGATCGGTGTGTGGGATCGACCGGTGAAGTCATCGGTTCCAGAATGAAGCTGACCTTTACTGAAGGCGACTGATCGTCGCAACTTCTCTTCGCGGACGGCCTTCCGGCGTTGAGCTCGGAGTTCTTCGATACGGCCTTGGCCAACGCGGTGGCGACGTACGAAACATTCATCCATCAACATGTTGGCATCCAACAGCTTTTTAGGGACGGTTTGGACGATCTGGAATGCTTCCATGGGATCTGTCACGCCGAGAATGTTCTTTTCGCATGACTTGAAGATTGCCAAAGATACGCGGAAGAAAGTCTTAGAGCCCTCGTAGAAGAAAACATCCCACACTCGGAGGGTGGTTTCTAGAGGTAAACTTCCGATGAAAACTGACATGAGCCAGTTGGTCAGTCCGAGGGTGATGTCCGGCAGCCGGGAGTGCACTGTCAAGGGAGGCATCTTACCCCGTCCGGACGGGGTTCCTCCCATGGCAGCGATCTTGGAATAGATGGCCGGCATGGAGTCCCTGAGCAGGACCATGAGAATCCAGAGGTCAATGTTGGCACCCTCCAGACTGATCTCATGGGTTCCAGGCAAGTAGTCTGCAGCGATGATATGCAGCATCCAGAATGCTTTTTCCTCGGACAGGAAAAGAAGGAGCATTCCCGTGATAAAATTCAGAGACTGGGTATATCCAACTTTGGGGTTATGCAGCGCATAAGCATACAGAACCCGACGGAGGGACTGAATCATCTGCGTCTCCGTGGTGACATTAGAATAATTCGGATTGCTGCTCCCGGAATGTTCTTCTTGCTCGGCGGTGGGCTCCGGTTTGAAATGAAGGTTGTCAGGGAATGTGCGGTGGAGATCACGCTCGATGTGCTCCTTGTCATCGTTGCTTGGTGAGCTCATGGCCTTCGCAACAAGTTCATCGTACTGGCCAAGGTTCCGGTTCAAAAGCTCGTACCCGCCGGCATAATAGAACCAAGCCGCACCTCGGAACTCGGGAGGAATTCCTTTGCGAACATATCGCTTGACTTTGGAAGACTGTGGCGGGAACGTTGTGGGTTCCGATGTGGGCAGCCCGTTTTCCCTGAGCAATTCACACCATTTGGCTCTTCTTTGCGTCACATGGTGGGAGTAGGATCCTTTCCAGGTCTCGTATTCGTCCAGGGTTACATACTGGGTGGCTTTGCGAAATCCGTAATCGTCTCGAGGGCCGTCCCCAGAGCGGAGTTGTGGAGGCACTAATCCAGGAATAAACACTTTTTTCGAAGGCTGTCGTTGGTGTGCAGGAGGCACCTCAGACACCTCAGGTACCGGCGATGCGGAGGGAGTGAGATCGGGCGGAGAGTCTGGCACAACAGGGTCTGATGGGTCGGTTTCCTGTGGATATTCGGGTACTGCGGGTTCTAAGGGTGTGAACTCTGGCGGGGATTCTGGGAGTATGGGCGGTATGGGTGTGGGTGCGGAATAAGTCAGGTTTGGTAAAAACAATGAATCTGGTCGTGTGATTTGCGACATGGTAAATTCTGGCATCGGGGGTATCGGAGGAACGTCGCTCAGCGACGGATCTTGTGAGTGTACTTCATCTATGTGTGAATCGCGTGATGGTGGGGGCGTTATTGATGGCGCTTTACTTCCTGCGTAGGATTTTGGCGAGCCAGGCTCTTCAGTCACATCGCTGAAGCCATCAAGATACATGGAAATGGCATCTTCGACACTCATCCCATTGTCCATCCCGTAAGGCGCGTCGGGGGTATCCGGCGAAAGATCGGTGATCGAGCTGCTCTTGGTCAGGACGCTGCTACGCTCTGTTCCACTTGCTTGTTCAATACTCGAGCGCCAGGTTTCGGACGAATTGATGCTTGGTTGGGGAGGATTCTCATCCGCGGCCCCGTTTGTTGGGTAGCGTGACAGTGGGAGTCCCTGAGGGCTCAGTTCTTGTTGGCGGCGCTCCATAGATTCCTGCGTCCTCGGGCGCCTATTGTTCAACCTGGATGTTGACATGGATATACGGAGCCCGCCTCGCGTAGGCGCAGCTTTCCGATGCATCGGCCGTTCGAATTCCTCTCGCGCGGGCCAATTCGGGGGATGGGTTTCAGGTGGTGTGGCGTATATTTGAGGGCGACCGGTCGGTCTAGGGGTTTTCCATTCGCCCCTCGTACCCTGCGAGGAGCCATGGTGAGGCGGCGTAGGTGGCCAAGGGTTTTCGTGAGGATGAGTCCGCGGTAGAGGCGAACGCGATCTCTGGCGACGTGGAGAGCGGGGAGAGCGAGGTGAAGATCTCGTAGCGGAATTTGCGGTTCGGGCGCGTGGATCGGTCAAAGACTCCAATCGTGGTGGGTGGGGAACTCTGCGCCGGCCGGGGAGATCGAAATCAGCCGAAGGAGGCGGATATCGAGTTACGTTTTCTGTGACCATGGCCACGATGTCGCACCCAGTTCCGGCTGGACATTTGTTATCGAAGAGCTATCAATCGATAACCACAAGAATATTCGGGCTCGGCAAAGGGGGTATTTTTCAACAAATGGAACCCCAAAGGGATAGTGAATGAATGAATTTGGAGAAACGAAAGACAAGAGGTGAGAGACCAAATTTGGGAGACAGCCTGCCAGAGGACTGTGGAAAAAGAAAAGAGAGAAAAGGCGCAGTTGAAACAAAATCAACAAAGCCTGGATCGGGGTTAGTGTCATGTGACGTAATATGGACAAAGGGGCATTTCAAGTTATCTACGAAGTACATATATTAAATCCTGTTAGTTGAAATATTTTCATAAAAGAATTAACCGTTAGATATCTACTAACTATATTCTATAATATCCTCATTGTTCTCATCTTTGTATAAAAATTGATAGGTCGGAAATTCATGTGTCGATCCGGAACTCTGGACTTTTATATGGAGTAGTCACATATTATATGCATATTGCACACCTTTTTCACTATATTCTAAATTATACAGGTAATTATTCTTATCCTGGGAGTTATAGCACTAAGAAGGGGGAAATATCTACAAAAAAAAATACCCAAAAGAATATATGAAAGACTACTAAAAGCAACTTAATATGTCCCAATAACTGGCAGACTATTCTTGTTCTATTTTACAGCAGAACCCCTGGATTCTAGACCAATTGAATATCTCAAATTAATATCTAGTTTCCCACTATTTTTTGTAAAACTCCCAATTCATCTACGCATGGCTGTGGAATGTGGTTAGCCCGCTCGAACCCTTCCGTCTTCGGATAACGGATATCAACTGTCAACTATTCCAATACGATCTCACATTGACGTTTTCGTATTTCGTATTCATTTCGAGAGTCTCGAAATGTCTCCCCGGAACAAGGCATGATTGACCAACGGGATGTATGTATATGTGCCAGGGGAGCTGCAGCAGCAGCGGCGTACTATTGACCGGTACCACAAGCAATGAACCCGTTTGCCCAATATGACTGTCGACCTGGCGACCAAGAAATCTGCAGCTCACATCCGTTCCAGTAGTTGGGCAGATGTAAGTGTTATTTCCAATCCCCCGCATGCTAAACTGTCACTCATTAGGGTCGTTTAGGGTCTCCGAGGCATTGCCGCTCTTTTTGTGGTCGCTAGCCATACTTGTCTATCCTTTGCGACATATCTGATCCCGCCGTCTTTCGCGGAAACTGGAAAGTCTATTTTGTTTCAGCGACCATTTTTTAGACTCGTCATACAGGGCCAGGCCTGGGTAGCCGTTTTTATGGTATTACTCGGGTTCGTCAATGCCCTAAAACCGCTCCAGCTAGCCCGACGAGGGGCTACAGCCGATGCTCTCGCTACGCTATCGACAGGCGCCTTCCGGCGCAAATGGAGATTAGTCTTCCCCGCTACCCTAATGACAACTTTAGCTTGGCTTGCATGTCAGTTCGGTGTCTTCCAATTAGGGAGAAGGGTAGATGCATACTGGCTGAGAGCGACGAGCCCCCAACGAAGCTCATCTTTCAGCGCTGCTGTCGTGGATCTACTACGAGAGCTATTGGGGACGTGGATGTACGGAGAAAATGCCTACGATCAACCACAATGGGCACTACTACCCCTTTTCCGTGGCTCCCTATACGTATTCATGACCCTGCTGGCTTTGGTAAACACCACGCCAGTTTTTCGCCTCTGTGCGCAAATGGTCCTATATAGCTATAGCTGGGCAACCCTAGATGGTAAGTTTGGGATAATATCACAATACTAAACACCACGCTGATAACTTCTTACAGGTACTGTTGGTATAAACATTTTCGCTGGCATGATACTAGCCGAACTTTCATTTTACAACCTGGCAGCCCTCCAACCACGCACTATCTTCAGAATCATACCCTACGGTCTCGTCACCTTAGGCCTCTACATCTGCTCGTATCCAGATCAATACGCCGACCAAACCGCGTGGTCTTTTCAGCTTGCGTCGCTTGCCGAAATCATCTTCCCAAAAGATGCCAACGTCAGCCGCTACTATGCCGGCCTTGGGGCGCAGATGATATGCCTTGGGGTGATGCTTTCTCCCTTTATGCGAAGGATGCTCTCTCACCCCGTGCTGCTGTGGCTGGGATCGATAAGCTTCCCGTTATATCTCGTCCACGGACCACTAATGAGATCCGTTCTGGTTTATCTTGTCTATCTGCCCATGTCATTTGGATTTGAGCCGACTGTGAAAGCAGATGTAACGCCTGACCCGGAGTCATATATTCCCACGCCAACCCCATTCCGACTTGGGGTTATTCTGATTATATTTTTTACATTCTTGCTATATGTTGTCCAGCAGTGGACAAAGCATATAGATCCAAAGATGGGTGCACTTACAGCGGCGTTTGAAAAGTTCTCCCGTTCATGGGGTAGGAATTCGGCGTGGACTTCGAAAGAAAAAGATGAGATACTACCTATCACGTCTGCCCGGGAGTTAAATGTGTAGATTCGTCATTGGGATGGCTATTGTGTTTTGGTGTTTGGGGGCGCTGGAATTTGGACTTGATAGACATGACATTATGGGAACCTTAGAATAGACCATTAATGGTACATTGATGTCTTTACATAAACTTCAATCAGCTATATGCCAGCTTCACATTTATATCATTCCACCTCACAAACCCAGGATAAACAATATCGCCGCGCCTAGTACAAAAGGATCAGTATGAAGAATTCAGTTTAACTATAGTTTTGATGGCTAATGAACTCGAGCACGTGTCAGTCCCCGTAATTTTGAGTCTTGAAATAATTTTTGGAAGTACCACTTTCATCTCTTCACTCATGCAGGTCAACTGTTTTCTTTTTCTGGCAGTCTCATGGCACAAGTCATTCATTGATGCGTGGTATATGTCCACAAAGATAGCTAGTTAAATAGGGGATTAAAGTAACTTCCCACTCCGCCCCACTACTATCACCTCAATAACCACCCACCATTTTATTTTTCTTACTACACCCCCCTAGTCGTCTAATCCCAATGGAATTTGGCCACAGGCGTATAAATTGGCTGGATTAAGCTCAGTACAGAGGTTTGCTGTAATAGCTTGCCATAAGAATGGGATTTCGCAATTAAACCTAGCTAATGATTTTGGTTACAGCCGTAGGCTGCAAAAGGGTATTATACAAAATATTAGGCGATATATTATTGATGCGGTTATCAATTAGTAATATATCTTTTACTGAACTTAATTAGCTTATTATATGGCCATGTAGTGCTGTGTAAACCAGATATATATTTGATGAGGGTAGTATGTGTATCTATCTACAATGAAGGTTAACTGACCTACCGAGGCCAGTGAAATGAAAATTGGAACCCCTGTAGAACTACTATTGTATGTGCGCCGTACGTGTCTACTGTATAGGCCGACGGGTATACAGAATTCTCTGGGGGCGTTTCATTGACACGGCATTGTTTCAAGTTATATACGAAGTCTCCCGTGGCTGCAAGGTATGATATACGTGATATGATACACATAAATGGAACCTAGGAAGTGACAGGTCTAGGTGTAACCCACACCATTTACAGGAAACGTAGGTCATCATTTCAAAAGGCCTAGGATTCAGTGCTAACTAAAAGACAGCCGTGAAGATCAAGACCAATCCATCCTACTTGACACCAAACAGGGAACATCAACCCAAACAAACACCGCTGTCCCCTCCCCCCCCCCCCCATCCTCCCATTGCCCAGTATTCCACGACGGCCATCATGTCTATCCATGTCCATCACAGCCAAAATGAACACCCTAGTCCTTGGGGCAACCCGAAACACGGAAGCTACCCATGCTCTTGCTCAATTTGTGATCATTCCAGTCATCAGATGCGATTCCAATCTGCTTCTTGCAAGAGCTATCGCTGTAGACACGAAGAGTGCAGTCTGAGAACCATTGGTTCTCCCAGTCAATCTTGTCACCGGACTTGCAGGCAGCCTTGGTGCAGCCCTTGTTGTATTCGCCATCCCACTGTCGGCTGCAGCTGGTGAAGATCCAGGCGTTGGTCATAGGGAGGACAGCAACGATGGCAGCGAGGGTGGTAGCGGTGAACTTCATTTTGTTGGAAGCTGAATATAGATTGGAGGAGTTGGAATGCTAAAATAGCGAGTTGAAAGAGTAGATGTGGATTGAATGTTTGATGTTGAGATTGAGATTGAGATTTGATCTTGTTTGAGCGGATGGTTAAGAGCGTAGAAATGAGGAGGGTGGTTGTTTATATAGCTTCTTAGGTGGCATCGGGTCCGTTCTAATAAAGTGATAGATGTAACTTCATCGATGCCAATGCTCGTATCGTGCCGAGTGAAGCCAGAATAGAACATATCACGAGAGATCAGCATCGTCGACAGGGCCAGGATTCCAATCGTAAAGGTGGAATACGATAACTATTACTAACTACTTGAGGGATTGGTAGATAATCCCCTGTCGACAAGGTGGAGGTGTCGAGGGGGTCATGTTGATCAAAGTGAAGATAGTTCTGTTTAGGGTTAGAAGAACGACAAGAGAACAATCGACTACGGAGTACAGGTTCTCGTATTCTCATTTTGGGATCCAGCCGGGATACTGCATTCAAAGCAAAACAGATCTCTTTAGGATTGCCTTTACACTATGCTACCCGGGGAGTATAGTTCTTCTCTCAACAAAAGGACGAGGCTGTCGATCTACTCTGCCTTGAAAAATACCAGATAAAGTAACATTACCGTGAAGATTTTTATCTCCTAGTAAACATGGCCCTGGATCTATTTTTGGACTTAGTGTTAACCCCCGCATTAGTGATCGACAGGTGGCTCTTTATCCTGAACTCTTCAATGGTCCCAATACAGTAATATTCCAGGGCGATCTAGCTCGTACTTTTCAGCCAAGACTCGGGTTGAGCCCCTGGTTCGCTGGGCATCTCGTGTTCGCGGGGCCAAAGAAGTACGAGGTGCGATGTAACTCAAAAAGTGACTAGCACTAGCTGCGCTTCTGCACGCACGATATTCGCTTACTACCGCGTGGAAGAGAATAACAACTCACTGGAGACGATTATGATATTGTTGAGTTTCAGACTTTAACTTGGCCTTGCCGAGTGAGACCATTCGAGGCAGTAGGAGGGAGCTTTCAACATTGACCTAGGAGGCAATTACCAGATCCCCAAAATAAGGAGTTATTTTTCATGAGAAGGGAATGCCCACTAGTCATGTTTTAGGATAGGCATCCAAGTGGCGGAATCAGTCTACTATCCCATATGGATGCTTTGATAAAAGCTGAAACATCGCTATATCAAACTCGAGATGGAGGTTTTATATGTGCTGTGATGTTTTGTTTGATGATGAAGTTGAAGTTAGTTTTTTATTTAGTTACGAAAGATATAATAATGTATGTAAAACATATATTGTGACATGAGACTTTTGGTGCTCGCGAAACGCTACACTCGATTGATCCTAACGCAAACTGAGCAACGCAGCTGATGTACATAGTCCAACCACTAGAAGCCTTTAGAATATGCGGTTGATCAAAATAATTGAACCCAATGGTAATTGCTAATCGTTATGAAAGACTAACATGGTGTTGTCATCCTATATCAGGTATTTCTTTCTCGGATTGATCAACTGAAGTTCATTTCGAAACGGTCCACATAAAGGAACTAAGAAAACAGAAAGCTATCACCTGAGGCATGCTTAACAGTGACGAGCTCCTTACATGCGTACAATCACGAACGAATATTCCAGTTCTCCTTGAGTCGTCGGAGCCACTCAGTAACAGGGATGATTTCCTCGCCAACCAGGATGTTACCCTCTCCAACTCTTTGGCACTCAGCGGGATCATACGGTGGGACATGCAGCATTTCGTGATCCTTATCACAGACGGGCTCTATGGCGGTTCCTTCCCGTAGCTGGGGGTAACAGGCCGCGTGAAATTGGATATCTTCGCACTCTCTGCATACATAAATGTCATCTGCGTAGTCAATATGAACCCCACAGCCAGAGCATGGTTCCCACATGGGCCCAGGAGCCCGCGAGGCTGTCTCGGTCTCTGATAAATCTGGGTCGCTCTCTGCTTCCCTCTCTGGGTTGTTACAAGGAGCAAGCAATGACCAAGCAGCGAGGCAGTCTATGTCCTGGCCCGCAAACATAAGATATCTCGCCAAGCTCAGGTGTCCCTGCGAGTCATTCAACGGATCATCGTCAGAGAGAATGTTAATATTGCGTTTGATGTGCACGCGTAGGGCATCCTTAGCCTTCTTCTCGTCACCTTGAAGCGCGTGATATCGTGCGACAAGTTCTGCTGCATATATTTTAGGGCGCGCATCGTCAATATAGTTTGTGGACTTGAATGTGCCCAGCTGTTCCAACTGCTCCAGATAGGTACCTGAGGTGTTTGGATCTCGCATCGCCTCATGGAAAAACACGTTCATGAGCTTTGTACGGGCCATGTCTTTCGTGTACGAGAGGAACATCTCCTCGTTGGTTTCCTCAATTTGTAGAATGCGTACCCACTGTTCGATGGCGAATTCCCTCCGCTCGACGTTTTCGGAGCTATTACTGTAGCAAAGGTTCGCAAGCTTATGCATGAGGAATCCTTGACAGGAATGCTGTTGCATTTCTTCGTCGACGTCGCCCTTCTTGGTCGCCTCGGCGAGTTGCTCTTTAGCGGCAACAATGGCCAGCTGATAACATTCAAAGACAACATCAAAGGCATCGCCATCGGATGCGAGATCGAGCATTGCCTCGTGATAGTCACTGCTGGAGTAGAGCTCATATAACATCAGCGTTCGCCTGTCTAAGCCGGTTGAATCATCCGTGGAGGCCTTGAGTGAATGGAGGAATTTGAGCAGGCCCTCGTAGTTCTTGTCACTGTGGAATTGTATCGTCATCTCCAACGCCGCGTTGTAGTCATTCGGGTCATTGCGCAGCATTTCCTCGTGTATCGCGAACGCTTTGTCGCTATTACCCAACAACTTGTTGTACTGAGCGATTTTGCGGTCCATTAGTACCAACTCCCCATCATCATCGCGTATCTCGCCACTCTTAATTATACTTTTTGCGACCTCGATTCCCTCAATCGCAAGCGCGTATTCACCCTGGGAGTCATACACGGCCGCGAGGCCCCATTGCGCTAGCCAGTTGTACTCCTGGAGCGAGCACGCAAGCTTGAAATGTTCAATGGACTCAGCGTATTTTCCATACTGTCTGAGTGTGCGCGCTAGGTTGCGGGTCTCCTCATACCCTAGACTATCCAGTCCAAGCTTCTGTCGAGCCCATTCAGCTGAATCAAGAATTTGGGGAACATCGATATTTTCGGGGTTTGGGTCACTGGTTGATCTTTGGATCTTAGGGTTTTTGCGATTCTCAATCTGATAAGTTAATTAGCTTCAAGTCTGGCCAGAGTTTGCGTGGAATAATCAAGGGCATACCTTAGTAATATATCCATAGATTATAGCGAAGCAAGCCTTGATCTCGTCTGAAGGACAATGCGATTGCAACCAGCGACGGGCAACAAAAGTTGCAACGTGCTCCAGAACATCTGCATCAGGCGCAGACTTGGAACTCAAACTTTTCACCCAAATAAACTGGTCGTCAGGGAGCCTTTTAGTGACCGCAGAGTCTTGAAGCCACCTCAACGCATTTTCAGCAAACTCGTCATGGTAGATCCATCGATTCCGTAACCAGATATTGGTTGGCTGCCACCATTTTTTGATTATCTCTTCGTCTGTAAAGAGGCCGACAAACTGCGGACCAAGAGCAACCTTTTGCTGTGGTTGCATTAGTGAAGGGTCCACTTGTTCAAGATGCGTGGAAAGATGATAACTCGAGTAAGTGAGCAGAGATGATAATTTTGGGGATTCCTGGTGGTGAATAACCTCCAAGCATGTTGACAGGATACTCAAATGAGCGATGTCGCTATCGACTCCAACCAGGGCTGTTTTCCCTTTCAGTTTCCGCTGGAAGAACTCTTCGAACCCAAATTTGGAGAACAGCTTGGGATCGCAGACAGACTCTAAGAACCGACGGACAACCCTGACCTCGACTTCGTTGATATTGCCAGTAAGGTCTAGGTCTGGGGCGTCTTCAGGGTTGTCGGACTCATCTTTCTGTAGTAGGAACTCCTCTATTGAGTCGGAGACTAGCGACACAATCGAGGTAGTTGGGATGACCTTAGTCGTGGGATGCGGTTCTCCCATGACCCAGAGAAGTGAGGAATATTGGTCAGTTATCTTTTCTGCCAGAGGCCGAAGAGAAGACTCTCCAGCCTTCAGGAAGAGGACCCCCTCTAGATCCTCCAGAGATATTGGCCAGCAGGAAAACAAAACCCATGTGAGGATGACATTCAGGTCTGAGATGTCTTCTTCGTTGAGTGTCTCGTTGAGGCGTTCAATCTTTCTCGCGATAGTGTCGGATCGGTTGCCTCCCGAGCGGGATAAGATATCCCGGATCTCACCAGGACGCTGCTTGCCGCTGATCTCCTGCAGTAAGAGGCCGATATTGACGAAATCGCCATGGGTATGGGTCTTCAAATTCTCTAATATGTCGCGTTGAAGAGAGAGTACCTGATCTGACGAGCCGCTCAGAATCTCCATCTTGTTCATGCGGTGAATGATGAACTTCTCTATATCATCGTTACTTTCGGATGCCATCTCAATTATGGCCATCCCTCCCCCAAGATGACTTTTGACCTTGCTCATTGTTTCGTCTCGTCCAGTGGTAAGAATGCGGATCTTGAAGTGTGACCAGGTCTCAGAGGTAGCCTGTAATCCCTCTAAAACCTGAATAAACTCGTTGAGTTCGCTCTTCTCTATCTGGTCAATGCCATCCAGGAGAAGAAAGAATGTTGAGTCGGTCTTGTACGATTTAGAAAAGAGAACACCCCAAAGATCCCCTATATTGTTGATGCCAGCTGATTTCACAGAGCTCACATCTTTGCGATAAACAATATCTTGGTCGGCGACCTGCCACGCAAGCACCTTGAGGGCCTTGATCAAAGATGTTTGTTGATTATCTTCGTCAAAGATATGGTAGGCAGTGGAAATGCACCTCATATCATTTTCAGATTGAGGTTGTACTTCTTGTAGGCGTTTGACGATACTCGCAAAGAGGAACGACTTGCCATATCCCTCACCCCCGGAGATACCAAGGACTGAGAACGGCGATTTTTCGTGGGACGCCCACTCAGCATATAGTGGATCACTCCGAAGCCACTCTCCGCTCCCCTGGACCTGGTCACCCGAGAGGCGTCGTAAGGTCTTTTGAACGACTTTGAAAGTCTCGCTAGGAATGTCCAGACTGAGATCGATACTCGCCAGAAGCTTCTTTGAGGCAGTGTTTGCATCTCTCTTATTCTCAAAGTTGAGCAGCTTATCGACTGCTGCGTTGATTTTTCTGGTGCCATCCATGTTCTCAATGATGTTTCTCTCGCTTGTCTTTTGCGACTCGAACCCTAGTGTTGCCCGCATCTGAGACTCGCGTTCAACTAGCGTGGCCAGCCGAGTCAGCTGGTCGTTCACGCCTTCGTCGCTATTGAAGGCAAATACCTTGAGCGCGATAAAGACTTTGTGGCCTTTGAGAACCTTAATCGACAACGCGCAAATGTCGACAAAGCACACTAGTTCTTCATTGATAATCTTGCGGAGCGCGACGTCAACTGCGTCCGCTGGCAAGCGCATATAGATTTTGCAGCGTTCGAGCACATCAGAGATGCGGCGGAACAACTCGGCCAGGCCGCTGAAAATGCGTTTGAATTTTGCTCCAGTGTCAATTAGATATGAAATTGCATTGAAGCAGAGGTCAGCAGGCGCAAATACCTAAGCCATGACTATTAGCAACGTCACCGTTGGGGGTCATAGTCACTTACCATACTGGCACCCTGGGCCGCGATCCCTCCCAGCAGTGTGATGAATTTCAATGTCTTGCCAATCACATCTTTTGCAGCGGCATACTTGTTGTTTTTCTCATCATCGTCATCTTGCTTCACCCGAATTTGATCGAGGACTTCATCGATAGAGAACTTAGGCGCCGTAGTGAGGTCGATTTTGGCTGTATTCGCAAAGGACGTGCATGCTTTGTCCCATGCCTCCTGCAAATTATACTCGCCATCATCTTGAACTGCACCCATTGGATGATATTTTAGTTTTGGCTTGGTCTGTGCTAAGTGTGAAATAAATGGGAAACTAGGGAAAGACGAGGTTTTGAATGGCCTAATGTTGGATTCCACATTAGTGCGGCTGAAAGCTCGACGCAAGCGAAAAGCGGCCGGAACATTGGCTTGAGGAGGGGTCCGGCCTTTCCAACCCCATGGCGATATTATGGCGCCGTTATCCAATTTCCGTCAGCAAGCCACGCATCGAATGGGGTAGTCGTCAATACCCGTGGGAGGCACGGAGTAGGTGGGGACAGTATACTAAAAGTGATTCTGACATTTATCACATCAGGAGTTTTATGATGAGAAGCCACCACGCTGATTTAGAACACACCCCTCTGCATAATCTAAAAACAGGCCCCGATAGGCTGCCCAGAACCGATGAAGATTCCACTTTGTTGTCGACGCTACCCCTGAATTGGCTTCATGCAGGACCTATACGAGGCGCCCACCAACTGTGTAAGCGAGTGAATCCATAAGCCTGATACCCCGTAGCCATAGGGAACACAACTCGCTTATCAAGGATAGCAGTGAGTGGGAAGAGCTTCCCAGGGCATGTTAAACATGACTCGCTCCCTCAATTCGCAGCTGAACGAGAGTGAGGACGTGTGTTGTTCCAAAACTTGGTGCGTCGCGGGATGAACGGCTATCTCGAGCCAATCACCCGCCTAGTATGAGCCCACTCCCTCGGGAATTGCGGCCTGTCCTTTCAGGCACAGATCTCAATAAATTTGGCCAGTTCCGGTTAACGGGGGAGAGCTCCCGGTATGTCTGCATCGCAAACTCGTGAATGCAGACAATTTCCTTAATCTCCCAGGGGTCAAATAGTGACTGGAGTAGCTCCGAGACATCTGATCCCTCATATTCAGGGGCGCGGCTGAAGATAGGTTCATTGTAGCCATGACCGGATAAGTTGCAGCAGAGCTGGAATCGGTAAAGGGTGCGCACCAGAGGTATCTCTTCAGTCTCACTCAAACGATCGCTAGTTTGACCATAGAGAATTTGTAGTCCACCTGCAAGATTTCCCAAGGTCCAACTGGTGTATTTCCGCTTGAGAGGCTGGATGTTTGAGCAATAAAATTCCCCTGTGCTGACAGCTTCATCTAGCGTGAGCTCTGTTGAGAGTCACCGACTCGCTGAAGGGGGAGTTGTGGCAGGAGAAGCGGCCGTTCCGATACGCTTGAATGAGCTGTTTACGGTGTGTGTAGTGCGTGCCTCCCAAAAAGCCATGAGGCCGGACTGGTAGACAGCACGAACCTCACATGTGAGGTTGTTGCTGCGGAAGGTTGCTACAAGCTATCGACAAAGGACCTAATTTTGATCTACCAGGTATTGTTGACAAAATACTGGAGATGCATGAAGCAAAGATTTCAATGCCTTAAATTCCATCATGGAGAGCAAATATCGTCTAATCTCGGGCGGTAGGGTTTCTAACGATGTGTTGAGGTGAGAAATGGGATCAACTAGGACTTGTTGTTTATACCCCATTGGTGCTGGTTCGAATGGCATGAGAACGAGGGCAGTCGAAGCGGCAATTTCGGATAGATCTGTACCCCGTGGAAGGTACTCGGAAGTCTGCATAGTGGGCCAAGAACTCGGGATGGGACTTTTGATATGAACAGCTTTATTTGAAGCAAAACGTGGATTGAGCTGGGATAGGTGAAGATTAGGCATATGACAGATAATGGATGAGACAAGTAGAATCGAAGAATTAGTGGTGAGAGAGTGGAGGGGGAAATGATAGAAAACTGTCGTGTCGAAGAAGCAAGGGCCGAAGAGCTGACTTACCTGAAGCAGGCATCAACGATTTGACAAACATGACGAATGAATATAGGTGCGTCGCCCCTAGTGATCACATCGAATCCATACAATAACCAGCGCCTGTACATATTAATGATCTATCCCTTCACTCATATTTAGGAATTGACCTCCTAAGCCGAGCAACTTATACTCCGTATCGTACGTTAGATCGCACATTGCATAATACTAGCAGAATTGATTGAATCTTGTTCACATTAAGATTAAGGCCAACACGTTCTAGTTTTCAGGTCAATTCACAACTCAACCGGCGGTTCGTATAGCCCGAATTCAAACGGAGAAGCGAGGAAAACTACAGCCCTGCTAGGAGCCGATGGTGCCCAGATGACCCCGGCTAGTCGGGTTGGATATCCTGCGCGGGGTATTCATCAGCGTGCAGATCCTTGTGGTCGCGTAGTTCGCATTAACCTTATGTTGCCACCTGGCTCTTCGCTGATAATGATATCACTCTAATACTTGTGTACCTGGTTCAAATTTTTGAATCTTTGAATTATTTTCCTCATGGACGCCGATCAACCAGATATCGGCATTCCACCTGAGCATGAGGCTTCGTTCAAAGCATTCAAGCAATCAACCCAAGAAAAAGGGCTTTTGACTGGGCACAATACCCTAGAAAGTCGGGACCTGTGCGACGGGCTATCGGATCCGACCACCCTTCTGTACGTTATGCTATGTGTACGAAATCGAGTTTTTTTTGCTATTGGTGCTAACCCCACTAGACGATTTCTAGCCGCCCGTCAATTCGACCCAGATGGTGCTCTCAAGCAATTTCAGGAGGCATGTGAATTCCGCGAAGAGAAACATATCCTTAGGTTGTACGATTTAGTCGACATTGACGATTTCGAGCAAGCTCGTCAAATTGTGAGTATGAGTTGATTCAAGGAATATTAGTAGACACTGACATACCAATCCAGTACCCCCACTGGACTGGTCGTAGAGACAAAAAAGGATTACCCATTTGCATGCTCGACGTGGGGCACCTTGACAAAGATGCCCTTGCACGCTGGGAAACGACACGCAAAAGGAGTCGCTGGATATATTCCCAATTAGCAACGGTCGAACCGCCAAGTCCGGACATGTTGCAATTGGCCTCTGTGTACTATGATAGTCTCGCTCGATTCATCCTTCCGCTCTGCTCGATGATGACGGACAGGCCGAACCCTTCGGTCCCAGTCACCAATGCGATCTTTGTTGTGGATGCATCGAACTTGGGCTTGAAGCAGGCATGGGGCTTGCGGTTCTTTGCTCAAGAGATCAGTTGGTTGTTATCAACATGTTACCCAGAGACTATTCAACGTGTCCTTGTAGGTTGCTGGTTTATTGGCCTGATAGCATTGCACCCGTGGACGCGTACTAATGATTATAACAGGTATGCAATGCACCCTCGTATTACAGAACGGTCTGGAAGTACCTCAAGGGTTGGGTCGACCCTTATACTGCAGAAAAGATCGTTGTGCTCTTGGAAGCGGAAGTCCTTCCTACACTCAGGGAGTACATTGACGATGCCAACATCCCAACCAAGTTTGGCGGTAAATTTCAATATACCCATGGAATGCTGCCAGATCTCGACGATAATATCCAGCAGTTTTTGAACTCCGATTCCTCGACATCTCTGCCTCCTGGTCCCTTGAAATGGATCCGAGACTCAGATGGTAGACGAACTGCGTTGGCTGTTGGCAGCAAGGCCGGCTCTGAGAGAAGTGATAAGATTGCAACGGTTGACCGAATTGGACAGTAACTTTACTCCATAGATTTGGTTGTTTTGCCCATGATATATTGTCGGTGTATTCCGTATCGTAAATGTAGGGGTCCAATCAGAGACTAGTAGCCCAATCGGTGAAGAGTCGGCCGACCCACATTATGAGCTGGAGCGATGAGGCTGATCTCTGTATGTAAATTACTAGCGCATTACCGCAGACGGATCTACCTACAGTGGTGTTCGATTAATTTGAAAGCAGAACCCGAGTGCGCCTGTTCCGAACGGTGAAAAGGGCCTCATGGTCCAGACCTCCCTACAGCGTCTGCGTAATCCTCTTGTGCGCTACATTTGCGGCGATGTTGCCTCCTTTCACCCCCTCCCCGCATCTATCCAGTCTCAACTAACGCCCGAAGATGCATCGCACTTCCGTGTCGTGCGCGTCTACGGCCGTGACCAAAATATCAGCTTTGATTGGTACGGGGAGTACTTTGAATTCCCAGTCGTGCAGCGCTTGTTCCAGACCGAGTCCTGGGGCATTCTGCAGTACCAGGTCATCCGGCGATATCACGAGGTGGACACGCAGGATATTAGCGTTGTGCTTGAAATTCGACTACTGCGAGATTTGGGCGCTGGCAAGATCAGTGATTAGGAGTTGGCGCGGAAAATCAAGATCTTTTTCTACGTACTCAAGTGCAACGAGGCGCTGTTTGAGCTCAAGCTCTTGCCTGATTCTAGCGGGGTTATGCGCAGTTCGACGGGTAGAAAGGTGATGGATTTTGTCGACTTGACTAGGAGGTGAACAGACGAACAGGCCAGTTCGTAGACAAGGCAGGATATAATATTGACAGTGGGCCAGCCAGTAGAATTAAGCCGAGACAATTTGGTCTGGTATTTTAACAGTTTGCTTTTTGAAATATGACATGTACCAAACCGATTGCGCTGGACTCACTGTCAACAAGAGCTGAAAACTAATGTTGATTTCCATTAGCAACCAGAGGACTATACGTGATCAATAAAAAGCGGTCTGTGCCTCATAAGAAAATCGCTACTGAGCTGTTGAAGTCTCTCAATTGCCCACTCTTGCTGGAACACTCAAAATGCAGACCCAGCTGGGCTTTCCAAATGACCCCATTTTCAGCCAGCTTCGCAGGCTAGCCAAGCAGTCACCGGGCGTGTTATTCCACGATGAATATGGTGTTGATGCAAGATATAGCGAATTGATCCATGATGTTATCCACCTGCGGGAGATCCTGCGAGAGCATCTCCCGAGTGCTTCATTCGACGAGCAGGGTTGTCTGCAAGAGGATGCCAGGTCAATTGCGTTTCTGGCCTATAGTGGATATAGCTTTATTATCAGCTTCTTTGCCATTGTGGCTTTGGGGGTATATGTGTGCCTCTATGTAAGTCATTTGTCTATCGGGACAGTCTGATTATATGGTACTAAACTACGATAGCAACGGGGCTGAACCCGGACGAGGCGCTTTACTTTTTGAAAAAGGTCAAGGCAGCCTATATCTTGACTGAAAAGAGAACGGTCGACATGACCACGACATTTACAGAATACGCCCGACTTTGATCAAGATCACAAGAGCGGATCCCGGGATGGCGAAAATTTCCAGCTCGACAGAACTCGAGATCAACCGGGATCTGACCTTTCCAGACACAGCTGGCTGCCTGATTCTATTTACATCCGGCACAACCGGGCCCCCAAAAGGTGTTGTTCTCCCCCGGAAGATGTTCCATTACGAAGAAGATATAACACCCGCAACGCTCTATCTCGCATCCTGTCCCCCGCACTGGGTAGGCGGAACAGGACTGATCGACAGTGTGCTTATCGGTGAGAACCTGCACATGCTGAAGAGTGAAGCCCCTCCTGCCCGGTTCTGGGAAGTGCTGAGGAAAGGAAGAGTCACGGAAATGGCCATCTCGCCGACGTTGCTGAGACGTTTGATGGAGTACTACCGGGAAAATATCAGCCATCTTGCGGCTGAACAACGGAATGAATATATTGACGGGGCGAAGAAGCTAGAACGGGTGCTTGTGAGCGGCTCGATGCTGAATCCGTCCACTTGGCGCTTCTTTGTTGATTTGACCGGTATGCCCATTATGAACGGTTACGGGATTACAGAGATGGGTGGGGGTGTCATTATCAACCCCCCTCGTTCGGTCTATGAGCAGGTGTGTGCATGGCATTATTCCCATCTCTAATGTCTCCTAACATAATCAGGGCTATATCGGTAAAGTCATCCCGGGGAGAACAGTCAAGCTGTCCCATTGTGACCATGGGGAAATCCTCGTCAAAAGCCCAATCAGATTCTCCCAGTAAGACCATCTTTCATCTCCTAGCCGTCTACTTACACAGACAGTTACATTGGCGATGAAGCAGCCACTCGCGCCGCCTTTGACGAGGAGGGATTCTACAAAACAGGCGATCAAGCCCACCGCGTCGGTGATGATTACTATTTCGAAGGAAGGATTTCATCCGACTGTAGAGCATTTCTATATCTCTAATGTCCTCGTCAGACTGACCAACCAGACAGTTGTTCGCTTCCACGAATACACGATATCGATTCCCGAGCTGGAGAGACAACTCCTGGATCTCCCGTATATCACCGAAGCGCACGTCCTTCCTGTCAAAGACCACGGAGCTGGCGGGTTAGTAGCCGCTCTTGTGCGGCCTCAAAAGCAAGAGGGTGACAGTATTACTCTGAAGCGGATACGCGTCGACCTCGCTGCGACGAATCTGGCTTCGTACAAGTTGCCTACCCTCTTGCGGGTTCTCCAGAACGAGGAACAAGTCCCGTTGACGCCGTCCGAGAAGGTCTTGAAGAGGGAGTGCCTCCGGAAATTCTTCCACATCTCCGAGTACATACCGGATCCATATGCCGTGGAAGGGGTTGAGTACTGCGGGAATCAGCTTGATCCGGCTGCTTCATCGCGCGTGTTTCACTGGGGAGGTTTATAGGCTGTCAGGCTGGATAGATCTCCACCTGGCAGAGTCTGTAGTTCCAGGCCAAGTCATCTTATACTTTCCTTCTATGCAGAGGTCCATTTCAAAAATCTTTACCAATGTGCAGAAAGAAATAATCCTAATATTAATCCATATCCGGTTGTTGCGCACGACTAACTGGTCGTTGCTAGGTTGTTTAGAGCCGGGAGATACTTCTCTGATGTCCTGCCGTCTGCCAACAGTCAACGATCTGTCCCTCAACCGTACCGTTGTTTTACGGACATGCTAGTCACCAATCACATGTGGGGACTACAACTAGCTGATGGGCCACCGAGAGCCAAGTCTTCTTTATTTTTCAAATCCCTCTAGTTAAACGTCAAAGGCTTCTGGATCGCAGAATTTCTGTTGCAACTATGGACTACTCCTGTTCCTTCCGCCCTTGTTGCAGAGCAAAATTGTCTATACTCAGTCTGGCTCACGAAAAGCCTAGACCGAGGTCTTCGACGAACCCTCAATGGCATTATTAAATGGGGCAATGCTATTAACTATCTGATCATGCGGTCGATGATCCTAAATTATGCTGCTAAGTTTGATAAATACATTGGCATCGGCTTTACTCATAGGGATCTAAATGCGCACAATATCATGAAAAGCGACGGCTTTCACTTGATATAAAAATGAAAGGGGCAGTGCGTCGGGCTGAAAGCAAATGTGCAGTAATCGGTGGGGGCCAGAATAAAAGAAAGGGGGCGGCGATGAGTGCAAGATAGAGAGGCAGGATAATGGAAAAGTGAGAGAAAGGGAGGAGCAGCGAAGACGGGTCTTTTATGTCGGGGGCATTGAAGGTAGGTTACGTGACAGCGTATTGGGGCGCCAAACCCAATACGGCAAAACTAACCCGATGCAGTAATTCACAGGTCCGCCGTTTACATAGCATAAATTACAAAACACATTGGAGTAATAAATCCGGTATACCGGCCGTACGTAGACTGCCTTAGGCCAAATGATGGCCGAGGCAGCGAGGTACCAGGGGTTGAACTTTGACCCTGAAAATCAGGTACATTGAAGGTAGCACGCACAGCAAAAAAAATCCACAATAAAAAGAGGGAAACCGGGAAAGTGACTTTTGAAATTTGGTTCCAAGGTTGATGAGGTCATCTAACTGTAGAACCTTGGCAAATTAATGTGGTCCAATGGTGTTGGCACGTTAATTTACTAGACTCTTGATATTACCTATCGCCTTGGAATACTGTGTCATGCATACCTTTACTATAGAGCATACACAAAGAATGAAATGGGATCAAATGGGATCGAATGGGATCAAATAAGGGTTGCGAAGAACGTGGTCTCCACTTGGCAGTGGACGATCTCTATCTTAAAAAGCAACCAAATAGATTCTGATCCACTGTCTTTGGGCATTTCCTATTGTAGCTTAGTGATCCATGTCTGATAAGGTTGAATCGGCTTTTTTCTCACTCTTTCTGCGTCTTGCGATTTCTTCTGTTCTCGTAACCCCCCTTTAATATGATCGAGTGAGCTTCCTATACCTGCTTTTCGTTATACCCTGGACCCTGGGCCTTGGCCATCACGGACCCCACCAGAAACTTAATCCCAGGGCGGTATGATCTCACTGAGCTGCTAGCTTGCGACTATCACGAAAGTCATACAAACTCAACAGACTGTCGAGAAGATGCCCGTCTTCAGGATGCCGTATATGATGACGACATTCAGCTCGCGCGCAGGCCGAGTCGCGGTACTCGCAGCCTTCTTCATCCTGGGCCTGATTTGGATACTGCCCAGCCATGAGGACCTCTCCGCGCCGACCTTCTATGCAGGCAATGGCTACAACCGCAGCCACCCCATCGATGCTCTTATCGATACCGCACAGACTGATCTTCGCGAACTCTTGGGAACAGAGGCGCACGACCTTCAAACCGCTGCAGAACAATACCGAGCACGCCGTGGAAGACATCCTCCTCCTGGATTTGGACAATGGTACGAATTCGCCAAGTCAAAAGACTCATTGATCATTGAAGAATTCTTCGATCAGATCTATCATGACCTCACTCCGTACTGGGCTCTCGAGCCAAAGCAATTACGTCGACAAGCTAAAAGCATCCCGACCCGAATCACCGTTCGCAACAAAACCGCAATATTGAAAACCGATGAGCCAAGAAATTGGATGGACTCGTGGTACGATCTGGTCGCGAAATTGGAAGGTGGACTTCCCGATCTTGATATGCCGATTAATGTCATGGACGAGACCCGCCTTGTTGTTCCCTGGGAGATAATCAACGAGTACGTGCAAAAGGAGCAGGCCGATCGTGTGATGACGGATCCGAGCCGTGTTGTCCCCGAATACATGTCTTTGGCCGACTCCGATCACGACGACCTGGTACCTTATGATCCTCAGTTTGCAGTTCCCGGCCAGGGAGGGTACTGGGAGATGGCTCGGGTCGGCTGTCCACCGGGAAGTCCTGCACGCAATAGCACCCTTCCCATGGTGGACTTCAGTAGTCCTCCTTGGGAATATGACAATTTTGAAAGAATGTCATACCACGGCTATGTATCAAACTACACCCTGGCTAAGGACCCTTGTGTACGCCCAGAGATGCAAGTTCTGCACGGGACTTTCCTTGAGCCAATCTCTGTTTCAACCTCGCACAACCTGATGCCGCTGTTCGGTGGGTCCAAGCTTCCCATGAACAACGAGATCCTCCTTCCGCCAGCGATGTACTGGGCACAGAACGACCATTATTCCGGCGGAGAGAAGGAGCACGGCGGTCGCTGGGAATCGAAAGAAAACAAGGCTATATGGCGAGGTGCTGCTACCGGAGGTCGGGCTCGAGAGCCCAACTGGACGGGTTTCCAGAGACACCGATTCATGTCGATGATGAACGCGACATCAGTGACTCAGGCCGAGAAGAACCAAAGCCATGGTATTAACTTCCGACTTCCAAACTATGCCAATTACAAGTTGAGCGACAACGGCTTCATTCCAGAGCTTCTTTCAGAGCATACCGACACGGGCTTCAATCACCTGGTATGCACACCTTATAATGAAACGGACCCGACTTGCCCGTATCTCGATCCGTACTTCGAGGTCGCACCTGGCATGCCAATGAAAGAGATGTACAACTATAAGTATCTGCCCGACCTTGACGGGAACTCCTTCAGTGGCCGATACCGCGGATTCATGTTGTCCACTTCCCTCCCCATCAAAGCCACTATCTACAATGAGTGGCACGACTCGCGACTGATCCCTTGGGTACATTTCGTTCCCATGGATACCACCTACATCGATGTCTATGGAATCATGGCATATTTCCTCGGCGGTCGTGACAAGACAGCCCGTCAGATTGCCCTCGCTGGGAAAGATTGGGGCGAGAAAGTCCTCCGACGGGAGGACATGGAAATCTACACTTACCGACTTCTGTTGGAGTACGCCCGCATTTGCGATGATCAGAGGGAATACCTTGGTTATGTTGATGATTTCACAATGTCCTGATTGTGACCAATTCAGGGTTTGGTTTCGGTCCGCATGCGTGCAAATCGCCGCTTGCGGTCAACCATTCAGGCACAACCCCCAGCAGAGTTGGATCATTGGGTATGATCAAGCTTTTTTTTTCATAATGAAAAAATAGGTGGTCTCGCCTGGGTCCCCACGGGGCTCCTCGGTATAGGAACCACCGATTGCTTGAGCGTTCTCCGCTTCGCCCTCTTGGCATTGGCCTCGATGTCTCTCCCCCGGCAGCATTGTTTCTTTCAGAATTCGGTCTTTCTCTTTCTACCTCTCTATTCTCTAATATATTAATGATCATGTTCATGTGATGTTTGCTTTTGTTGATGATTACCTATACCATATGAAATGTCCTAGCTAATGCATGATGATGTACATACACAGATCATTTATTGGCATTTATAATTTGTTACAAGAATAGTTAGCCGCTTATGCGCCCTTATGATGTCTTTTCAGTGGTCTTGTCGGTTATTCTGTTTAAATGTTGTTAACATACCTTGTAAAGGCTTAAGTTGTGAAAACGACTTTTCTGTGTATAACCTGAGATTTATTCTTTATACACAGAGAATTCCTACAATAAAAGAAGCACTGTGCCCCAAAATCTGGCACTCTGACGCGCCTTACTCCTTCCACCCATCTCTACCAAGCCTAACAATATCAGCCTGCTCCAGAACCCAATAATTCGATGGAGCTTTGCCTTGTTCAGCCATACGAGCAGCTGCTACAGCCGCCCTACCAATGGTCGTTTGATTTTGACCTACTCGCGCCGAGTTAGCTCCGAATCTTCGAAAACATTCATTAATCAGCACATCCATACCAACTTTATCCTGAACACCCTGTCCCAGTCTCTGAAGCCCTTCCACAAACTTTTCTAACAAAAAAGACTTGGATTCCTCCCTCCCAATAATCATCCCGGGTCTGAGGATGACAGCATTATCAAAACCAAGGTCTTTGATGGCATCCTCAACGCCAACCTTCATCTTCGAATATGGAACCCATCCCCACAGAAAGCTTCTAGTCCCTCCACTAGAAATATAAATATACGTCTTCACCCCCCGCCTCCTTAGCAGCCTGCGCATTCTCAACACATAAATCATGATCGATCTTCCACTGATTCTTGATGCTGCCCGCTGTCGCCGTTGTGGTACCGACCGCATTAAAAACCATCGATGGATTGGGTGACAGAGATGAAATCATGCTACCCCATTTTGAGGTGTCGCTTTCCTCCAGTGCTTCTAGCTTAGCTGACTGTGCATTTGGGAGTCTCCTGGAGATAGTCTTGACCGCTGAAAATGTGTCTGTCACGAGGAGCGTAGCCAGGATCTGAGAGCCGACTGCTCCCGTGCAGCCGAATACCGCTGCCGTCGTCATGGTGAGGTTGATATGTCGGCGCTGTGAGGGAAAGAGATGCCAAAATAAGGGAGTGTGGTCCGAGCGTCTCTCCTACTGGGGGATCCCGATGGATGACATCATCTATATTACCCAGGGCACACTCTTCATACACCAATGCAATGCATCCTTCTATATGGATCGAGACACAGTTGTATAGTTCTCATATCTCGTGCTCCATAAATACTAATGTATTTTCCAAAGCTGACATCTTTCCAGAATCCGTAACGCCCAACAGTCGGGCTTAGGTGTCATGGAGTTAATCTTAGACAGTACGCTAACGACAGAAGTTTGCTTGTCGTTAGACCGTGTGTTCTTTGATATGTTCGCATTCTAATGATCTGGAAATTTCTTTGTTTTGCTATCGGCGCTCTGGAAGAGATACACAACATCTCGTAAATCTTACGCCCTGTGCGGGATTTTTCTCGCGCCCTTCCTGTGACATGACTTGAGGACTACCTACCATGTTTACAGGTTAGGCGAGCGATATTTAATTGCCAAATCTTCCCGTTAGAATTCACCGTTCAAGAACTTCAACAATCCCAAACATCTCTCTATCCAAAATGAACGAACTCAATTTTCGCATCGCGACTGAAGAGGACGCCGCCCAACTTCACCAGTTGGTTGAAACCGCCTTCCGCACCACAGACAGCAGAAAAGACTGGACCGATAATCTGGGCCTCGTATCAAGCTTTCGCCCACATGTCCAAGAGATCATCGATGTAATCACCAAACCAGACAGTGTCATGTTGATGGCAACCAACGATCAAGATCTGCTTGTCGCCGCAATCGGAACTTCCAAGCGCGATGTAAACTACGCTCGTCTTTTCAGGCTTGCCGTTGATACGAGCCAACAGCGCGGTGGTATTGGGCGTCAGGTCTTGGAATACGCTGAAGAGTACTGTCGACGGACTTGGGGTGTTACGACGATCGGATTAGATGCCCTTTCGTGTCGCAAGGCACTTATCTCGTGGTATTTACGTTGTGGATACGAAATGACGGGGGAAACGACACCCTTTCCTCGTGAGAAACTTAAGGACCTAGTCTTGCCGGATGATCTTTGTTTTATTGAATTTGAGAAAGCTCTGGGGAGCTGACGCCATGGCTCCACCAGGAAATCCATAGACCATTAGCTTTGGGAATAATTCACGAAGATTTGCGGCGTGACAATGTTCTTTGGACGGGCTGGCGAAACCTGCATCTCCCACCTCAAACGGTTAATAAACAATAAAGTATCTAATCTCCTTTGGTTTTTCTTTACTCTTTGCGTCTACGTTGAAAATGGCGCATTGGCACCCCTAAAGACAAACCCCAAATCAGCAGGTGACTAACAATGTGATTCGAAGGAACCTTGCTGCCACGTCAGTATGAGTTTGAAAGGATGGGGGCTGTTAGGCAAAGTTGACGCTCAGACCCTTGGCAGTTGAACCTTCCATAATGCGAGGTAGCAGTATCTTTCACAGAGGAATATACTTGAGCTCCAAAAGATGACAACATAGGAAGGAATTGTATTTCTTACCAAGATTTCAGGGGAGAACCCGGATTATGGCCGAGAGTCTACTAGACTATTACTACAAAAACTTAACTTCCTAAGTCTAGCCATTACACAGGCAGCTCACTAAGTATCTCGACAAGCTGGCATGATTATACGGTACCTTAAGCTTATGCATAAAACTGAAAGGGACTTGGTGTATCTAGCGAGCAGGAACTTCCACCATAGCACTCGCTATTGTGAAATGCCAAACGCTGTGACTATCACATGGTTTAACTATCGTATTTAATTAGATCAAAAGCTCTGATTCTTCTGCTACTAATTTATTAGGATTCATGGCTTACCTGAAGCCAAAGGCAATTCCACAATCTATCCTCCCTGCCCTCAATTCAGAAGGAGAGATCGAGTTCGCAAATGGTACACTGTGTGGCTATGGGTTCTTGACCAGAAGGGAAACCGAGGATATGTTTGATATGCATAGCCTCGTACAGTGAGTGTGGATAACAGAGGCACAGAAGACACAGAAGACTATTGCAAGTGTAACACAACATATGAACCAGTATTTTCCATCTGATGAACACACAAATCGTGCGATATGGAGCAAGTACCTGCCATATGCTGTTGAAGTTCTTGGGAGAAAGGAAAGTAAAGGCAGAAGTAAGAGATATAGCTTACTTTCCAAGGTTGGAAAGTGTATTTTAGCGGATGGGTGAGCGACAGAGGCTGTCAGTTATTTTGAAAATGTGTACGCGTGGATAGAAAGCTACTACAAAGAAGAATATCCTTCTCGACTGGAATCTCAGCACACACCTACAGAGGCGTATAGATCCAGTAGGTAGACCAGGCAAGCCGTGGAGCTATTTAAGCATGCATGTATGGTCATGGTAGAAGGAAAACCACTTGAAGGACATCTCGATCGACTAGCGTCTCAGTATGCAAACTAATCCATATGCCTTAGTAGTCAAGTAGCCTTGTCACGGAGGATATATACGCTGATCGTATTTCTCCTTCTCTATCTACTTTTATGAGATTGAGGCCTTATGAAACAAAGCAATATTACTGCTTATTGTTAATTATGAAAGGCCTTTGCATTCGCATATCAGTGTAGGGAAACCTAATTAAATAGGGAAAACCTAAACCAAGGCCGCCGAGGAATCCCATGATGGTACATTTTCTAGCAATGTCAAATTCAGACATGCTAAGAACGAGATATATTAGTGGATGATAATATAGTGTGATCGTCAGTCCTTACAATGACGACGCTTGTCTGATACCACAGTACCGTTCATATCACACGCAAGGGAGTTACTAGATTTGATTAGTATGATGATTTTCTTGAGTCATCTCTCAAAGGGAGGGGAGTAAAGCACATACATCCTATTAACATTCCATCTCAGTCAGCTATATATTCTCGAGTCATCAATCAAAGGGAGGGGGTTAGAGCACATACATGCTATCCACATCCCACCTCTGTCAGTCTGTATATTCTCGAGTCACCTCTCGACCAGAAAGGGGTAAAGCACATACTTGCTATCCATATCCCATTGTTGTCAGCCTGTATATTCTGAATTCATCCCAATCAGAAAGGGGTAAAGCACATACAGACTATCCAGACCCCATCTCTGTTAGCTATATATTCTCCAGTCATCCCGAACAGAAAATGGTAAAACACTTACCAACTACCCATATCCAATCTCTGTCAGCTATATATTCTCGAGTCATCTACTAGAGGGAGGGAGGGGGGTTAAGACACATACACACTATCCACATTCCATCTCTGTCAACCTGTATATTCCCCAGTCATCTCTCGAAGGAAGGAGGGTTAAGCACATACAAACTATCCACATTCCGTCTCTGTCAGCTTATACATCCTTAAGTAATTTCGTAAAGGGAGAGGGGTAAATACATACATTCTATCCATATTCCATCTCTGTCAGCCTATATATTCTCCAGTGATCTCTCGATTAAAAAGGGGTAAAGCACATACAGTCTATCCACAATTCATCTCTGTCAGCTATGTATTCTCCAGTGATTCCTTAGATTCCTTAAAGGAAGGAGGGTAAAACACATACAGCCTATCCACATCACATCTCTGTTAGGTATATATTCTCGAGTCACCTCTCGATCAGAAAGGGGTAGCGCACTTACCAACTACCCACACCCCATCTCTGTTAGCTATATATTCTCGAGTCATGTATCAAAGGGAGGGGGGTAAGACACATACATTCTATCCATATCCCATCTCTGTTAGCTATATATTTTCGAGTCATGTATCAAAGGGAGGGAGGTAAGACACATACAGACTATCCAGATCCCATCTCTGTTAGCTATATATTCTCGAGTCACCTCTCGATCAGAAAGGGGTAAAGTACATACGTTCTATCCATATCCCATCTCTATCAGCTGTATAATCTCGAGTCATTAATTAAAGCGAGGGGGGTAAAAACATACATTCTATCCACATCCCATCTCTGTCAGCTATATATTCTCCAATGATCTCTTAATGGAAGGGAAAAGCACATACTTCCTATCCACATCCCATTTCTGTCAGCCTGTATATTCTCCAGTCATCTCGATAAAAAAGGGGTAAAGCACTTACGCACTACCCACATCCAATATCTGTCAGCTGTTTACTCTTAAGTGATTTCTCAAATGGGGGTTGGGGTTAAACACATACAGCCTATCCAGATCCCGTCTTTGTTAGCTATATATTCTCCAGTCATCTCTCAAAGGGAAGGGAGCAGGATAAACACATACACCCTATCCACATCCCATCTCTGTCAGCTATACATTCTCGAGTCTCTCTCAAGGGGGGGGGGGGAAGTACATACACACTACCCACATCCCATCTCTGTCAGCTATGCATTCTCGAGTAATTTCTTAAAGGGAGGGGGGTAAAGCACATACAGCCTATAACATCCCATCTCAGTCAGCTATATATTTTCGAGTCATCTCTCGATCAGACAGGGGTAAAGCATATACTTGCTATCCATATCCCATTTTTGTCAGCCTGTATATTCTGAATTCATCCCAATCAGAAAGGGGTAAAGCACATACTTTCTATCCAAATCCCATCTCTGTCAGCTGTTTACTCTTAAGTGAGTTCTCAAAGGGGGGTTGGGGGTAAACACATACAGCCTATCCACATCCCATCTCTGTTAGCTATATATTCTCCAGTCATCTCCCAAAGGGAGCGGGATAAACACATACATCCTATCCACATTCCATTTCCGTTAGTCTGCATATTCTCCAGTCATCTCTTAATAGGAGAGAAAGCACATACACACTACCCACATCCCATCTTTGTTAGCTATACATTCTCCAGTGATCTCTTAATGGGAGGGAAAGCACATACTTCCTATTCACATCCCATTTCTGTCAGCCTATATATTCTCCAGTCATCTGTTAAAGGGAGTGGGCAAAGACACATACTTCCTATTCATATCCCATCTCTGTCAGCCTATATATTCTCCAGTAATCTCGATACGAAATGGGTAAAGCACTTACAACCTATCCACATCCCATCTCTGTCAGCCTGTATATTCCCTAGCCATCTCTCGAAAGGAGGAGGGTTGAGCACATACAAACTACCCACATCCCATCTCTGTTAGCTATACATTCTCCAGTGATCTGTTGATGGAAGGAAAAAACACATACGTCCTATCCACATCCCATTTCTGTCAGCCTCTATATTATCTAGTAATCTCGATAAGAAAGGGGTAAAGCACATACATGCTATCCATATTTCATCTCTGTTAGTCTGTATATTCTCCAGTCATCCCGACCAGAAAGTGGTAAAGCACTTACAACCTACCCACATCCCATCTCTTTTAGCTATGCATTCTCCAGTGATTCCTTAATAGGAGGGGGGTAAAGACATACTTTCTATCCACATCCCATCTCTGTCAGCTATATATTCCATAGTTATCTGTTAAACGGAGTGGGGAAAGACACGTACTTCCTTTCACATCCCATTTCTGTCAGCCTATATATTCTCCAGTCATCTCGATAAGAAAGGGGTAAAACCACTTACAACCTACCCACATCCCATCTCTGTCAGCTATACACTCTCGAGTAATAACTCAAAGGAAGAAGAATAGAACACATACACACTACCCACGTCCCATCTCTGTTAGCTATACATTCTCCAGTGATCTGTTAATGGAAGGAAAAAACACATACTTCCTATCCACATCCCATTTCTGTCAGCCTATATATTCCCCAGTCATCTGTTAAAGGGAGGGGGTAAAGCACATACTTCCTATTCACATCCCATCTCTGTCAACCTATGATTCTCGAGTCATCTCTCGAAGGGAAGAGATTTAAGCACGTACAAACTATCCACATTCCGTCCCTGTCAGCTTATATATTCTCAAGTAATTTCTTAAAGGGAGAGGGGTAAAGCACATACTGTCTATCCACATCCCATCTCTGTCAGCTATATATTCTTAAGTCGTGTCTCTGGCAGGGAATATGCACGAACTTCTCTCTTTTCAACTCTGTTCTTATCTTGCCCATTGGCTCGTGGGGATCCTGCTACCACACAAGTAGCGAAGATAACTGCGCCAAGCAAATTCAATACCTTCATCTTGCTGATCCTTTCTTTATCTTGCTGTGTTTGGAGATTTGGGTAAGACAGTTGCCAAAAGATTGATGATATGGTTGTAGTCTATTCATCGCACAGGGAAGACAGCAATATATGTGTTAAAGCCTAGACCTGGACAGCTACTAATATTCGACAATGCTATAAGAACTGGCGGTGAGCCATCCAGAGAATTTTATGCCGATTCAAATTACCCTTGCATCACACCAACTTTCAATGTCCAATCGTAGTCTACATAGATAGGTAGTGTAAGTATGAGGGAGGGCTAGAGAGATGAGTATGTTGGCTATTATAGCATAGCTGCCCTCCTAAACATTTTATAAATACTCTGAGGTCGGGGACCCTCCGTCATGGACGTAGTTATCCACGTTGGGACGGAACATTTTTGACTCGCTTCCATCATCTTCTCTCTTTCCGAGGCATTCGTGCCCTTCATCTAGGAGACTGTTTGCAACCCCCCATGAACCCTGTGTCCATCAGTGCAGCTTTCTACGTACAATATAATACAGATACCAATTTTATACATAATATATCACATAACATGACATCATAGTCTACATATCAATAGATTTTCGTCTTAGCGCCTTGGCATTAGGGCTTGGGGGGGGCTTTGTTTCCGCGATGTGGATGAAGTATCGATTCCGACTGTATACATCGGTGTAATACGGGCTCCGCGATAATGGCGGCTGGGAAAGAGTGAAATTCGCAATAGATTTCACAGCCATCAGATGGAGAAAACCATCGTTGCCTACCTGGATTAGTTCTCTACAGAATAAGCACGACTCTGTGAGATGACGTAGTTGCAAATGATTGCAGCCCAGGGGAGTGAAGAGGCAGGGGAAAGTAAGGCGGAATAAGTGACGTGGGAGGAATGTTCGGATGGAAAGTTCCTGCCGATTTGAGTGGTACTGTACCATTAAAGATTGGATGACTCAGCAGCCCCCCAATTCCCGCCATGTTTTGTGGTATCTATGGTAGATTCGTGCAAATTTGGGGAAGGCCACCTTGCGCCAAGTAACTTGATGATCTGCTAGGAGACCTATTTATCCTTTTCCTCTTGTGCGATGTATCACCTGCGAGGTGTCTCTTTGGCCCGGAGAAGCTCAGAAAGTGATATCAGCAGCCAACGACCATCTTGACCACTTCGCGATTGTTTGCAGGCGAATCATACCTCAACAGCACCTGATGGTGTAAGCTTTCTCAACTAATCATCACTCACCCTTAGTCTGCCGTTACCGTAGGCCCAAGAAAATGACTTCCAGCTCTCTTGTTACATAGAATACAGTACCGACACTCACACTTTATTTCCCTAAACCCCAAATTCGGTTACGTTACACTTGATTCGGTCATGAAAAGTACGGGTCCAGGGTTCCTGGTCATTGAATTGACATCAGGCTTTGTTCCTATCTGTCGTCGATTGAACAGAACGAAGAGGTAATGAAGATATGGTAAGCAGTGTATTTGCGAATTCAAGCACTACTAAATAAAGGCCCCGAAACTATTGATGTCATATCAACGCCTGAAGATATTGCCTATGTATTGGGCCAGGATCTGGATCTACCATCTTGGCAGGAAGTTCTTCAGCCTGTCAATATCTTTGAAGACTTCAAATTGCCTTGGGACTTGGCCACCCAAGATCACGAGGAACTACACGGTAAACTAATTTTGATACGCAAAAACGGCCGTGGTATAGTCTACTCGCCGCCACCCTTCCTCCACCTCGAAATACGCAAACCCCGCTGCTCCACTCAAAACACCATTGCTACAGGACCCACCGATTGGGTATCGGGGATGTAATGGAAAGTTCCCTTTTGGATTTGTGTGGAGCGCGAACGGCGGAAGCATCGAAGATAGAATACCAAATCGAGCTCATCGTCAGTCAATTTATGTCCCTTATATAATTCTTGTTTTCATGGAGTTGTCTCCTATGAAACGTAGTTGTAGACTATGATTGGTCTGACGAAAATCTGTAGATGTGGTGATTTTGTCAGATTCGTGAGACCGTTACACACAATTCATGTCCCTCTTGATTGTGAGAATGTCCTCTCCATTACAATATCAAAAAAGAAAATGCTTTGACTTTCGGTTGTATTGTAACGAGACCCCAGAATTGCTGTGTTTGGCTATATAGCTTTAAGCCCAGCTAGAGGAAAGTATGGGAAACTGGCGTTTCACAGGGCTAGTCATGGACCCACCCTACGCTGATCTAGTGCCCCTTCAGCCCGTGGAGGTGCGGCCCATGCCGCATGCCACACCTTTACAACTGTAGCAGTGTAGTTTTCCACTTGCTCCCCTGTTGGTGTTTTGCACTACTTCCAAGGTTATATGGACTTAATGAAGCGAAATGCAAGATACCGTGACACACATAAGTACATGCGAATACTTATACATGCCATACAAATATCATATGCGTATTACTCAACTTGTTCATATGGGTGTTAATAACGTGTTTTGCTACTGATCACTCATTTACGCCGGCCCAACTGAGGTGCATATATTGAGGCATATTTTTTTCAGAAATTTATGGGTCATGCATGTAGGGGTGGAAAGACGTGGCGCAGTATTCTTCCTACACAATCCACCGCTTCTCTATTGCTACCTAGCTGCCTAAACTTGACCAGACATTTCATTTCGATTGGTGTCCCGCCCTAGTACAAATAGAGACTTTGATCCCTGGTAGAAATAAGGGCATTCAAGAAGCCCAGGTGGTATCACGGTGGCTGACTGACATTCCTTCTCTTATAAGGACCGCCCACCTTTCAAGTTCGTGATTGCGGTTTGGAGGTTTACATTGAGAGACCCTCTTTATTATGACCTATACAGTCTAAACATTGAGACACCAAACTTCCTTGCCATTGCAAGCATTGATGTAGTAGTCGCTGAATCCCTATCGCTAAGACTTTGTGACTCAAACACACAAATACTGCTTTGTACTTTTTCGAAGGGACACATCCCACGAAATGGGGCCTTCTTGCAGTCTTTGTCCCAGTTTCTTGAAAATACTTTGAATATTAAAAAGGCGGAGTCCCACGAGGAGGATTGGGAAGATTATGGAGATCATTGAGATTGGCGCTCTGTCGTGCTACTCGGTATCGTCAAAGGAATATGTTGAATACATTTCCGCTTAAACAATGCGTATTGTACTTAGCTTTTTGTGGCTAAAAAAGCACGAGTATCTGGCTTGACTAGGAAGATTGTTTTGAGGCTTCTAAATCTAAGAAATGGATTTTTCTAAGAAGTCGGAGATTTTCTTGCATAGATGACAATGCTGTCAAGATGAAGCTTTGCCAAGCTTTAGGACAACCATGGATGCGCTATCTCGGGACGAATAATTGACAAAGACAGTATGAATCACCTTGCGTTTCACAGCCTTAAACCTATGAAGAAATATTTTAAAAAAAAAAAACTTGTTCTTATATTTCAGTCTAAATAAAGAGCTCCACAACCGAATCCAACCTCCAGGCTTGACATGTTTCACGGTTGATCTTGCTGCAGATAGTCAACTGGCTACTTATTCGCCTTCTCCAAATCCGCAGCAAAGAGAGCTGCGCCAACAGTGTTCGTGAATGAGAACGCGATCGAGGCAAGTGGTACCATTTCTAAGATAAAGGCTGCAATTCCAAGTCTGAAGTTACAGTTACAGTTACAGTTAGCATTTGACTGGACGGCACCCGGGGAGAAAAAGGGGAAAGAGATGGGGTTTACATACCCAGTGTACGCGCCCTGATTGCTCTTCACCCACTGGTCTCGCATCGTTGAGTCCCAGCCCTTGAGCTGAAAATATCTGGCATGAAGCACCGGTCCTGTTCTTTTCCCCTGCATAAAGACATACAACACCGTCCCGACCACAGGAATGAGGTTCAGGGACAGGTAGAGCAACGATCGCAGCAGCGCCCGTGGGTTCAGCTTCTCGAGAGGCCGACTGACAATCTTGCCCAGTCTAGCCATCGCATCTTTGCCTCCCGATCGGGGCTTCATCTGGCGTCCTTGTGCTACAAGTGGCTCCTGGTCACGCGCAACCAGCGTGCCATCGAAGGTATCGATCAGGGCGTCTTCGACGAGGAATGAGCGTGAGAGGACATTGGTTATGGTGGAACTTTCGCCGAGAACGAGGATTGCTGCAGAAATGGCAGCCAATGGACCACTGGTGAAGGTCATGATGGCCATCTGCGGCACGTATGTGAAGAAGAACATGATGCTCGTGACGCCTAGTCCCAACGTGATAGTTCGGCCGGCGCGAGAGATAAATGGACGCCAGAGGTCTTTGTGGGTTAAGAAGTAAACAATTCCCTGAGAAAGGCCATTTGTATGCAGTTAGAGACGATCGGAAAGCATTCTTGAAGGGCATAGCTACTTACCTTGAATGGATACAAGTATGCGCCAGACGTGATCACATCTTGAGCGACCGCTTGTGTGCTTTTGGCCTCTGCAAGCACGGCATCTTTGATCTTGTCGGACATGGTGTAGCCTACAAGTTTAGTAGCTTAGGGTGGAAAAGAATGAGTTTGGAAATCGTGGGGGGATGAAGATTAGAATATCGATAAGAGAATAGCGTGATGACGTCATTGACAAGAGCTCGAAAACGAGAAGGTTTGCCAAGCAGAAAAAGGCCTTGTTAAAAGTAGAAGTCATATATTTGGAAGGAATTTTATTACTTTTATGTTATTGGTAGGTATCAAGATTCCCAATATGATGTAAAATTAACTAGGTACATAAAGTGCAAAGTGTGAGGGTGGTTGACCTGGGCCATTTGTATAACATACACTACATTCCTGCAGTGGAGCAATATTATATATAGTACTCTGGGCTTAACCAACAAGTGGAGGAAGATAGCTAGGATCGTGGGTGGGGATTACATCCCGGGAAATGGGACCCATCCTCCAGCCACCATATCGGCCGCCCTCTTCGTCGCTTCATCCAAGTCCTCCTCAGGTAGCCCTAATACATCATTTGCCAATTGCATGGTCCCTGCAAAATCGCCTGTTTTGCTGGTCGTTGAAAATAGACTTCCGTAAAGCATTTTAGCATACCCCGTAAAATCACCCTGGGCCAGCTCCTCGGCGCCGTCTGCAAGCCGCTTAGCGACACTCTCATGTCTGATCTCCCAGTCCGAGTCTGTAGTTCCCAAGACACGATGCAGACTGTCGAGCATATCGCGTTGCGAGACGCGGAAGCTATTGATCGGGACTTCCTTATTCTTGAAGTCGGCAAGTGCAGGAGTTGACCCCGACTCCGGTAGGCTTACGAGAGCGGCCAGTGCGCGGCCACATTGGTCCCAAGTGCTAACACTAACGGTCCGAGCACCGTCATCGAAAAATGTCACCTTCCGGTCGTTGATCGTGAATCCAAACCATTGCTCACCGCATGCCAGGCTCCATTCGTACCAGACACCGCACGGCAGTGTCACAGAGGATGAGACACCATTTTGAGCCTCAGTCACTCGACTGAGCATGATCTTTGCATATGGATCATCGTCTTCCACGGACTCGGGGTTGAGAGGGTACCCGTACGCATTGGGCATGATGTAGGGGACACCGGCTTTTCCGGCAGCTGCGGTAATCCGACCATGAAGATGCTGAGGGGCTTGCACGCTGAGAGTAATAACAAGAAATTGTTGGCCATCCAGGGCCTTGATGATCGAGTCATCATCTTCGTAATTAACTGGGACGGCTTGAACTCCATCGGGAAGTTTTCCCTGGCTATCTTCGCGAGTGAGAGCTGTAACTGTATGTTGGCCAGTTTGCAGAAGCGCCTGGGCGAAGACTTGGCCGAGGTGACCGGTAGCCTGTTGATAGTTAGTAGTTACTTCTAGAAGGTAGCCTGGTAAAAGGCAGACCATGAGGTGGTAGACCTACTCCAACAATGGCAACTCTTGTAATAGGTTTGGTGGACATGCTGAAAGAAATGATTGACAGGAATGGAACTGAGAGTTTGTCTGACGGGATGCGCTGACGCCGTCTTATAAATACTCATCCTAGCTTCGGAGTCAAGCTGCTATGTCCGAGGTATAGACCGATAATGGACCTAAGTACCGGGGTTGTAGTAAATCCGAGTCTATGTATTAACCTCCGCTCATATTGTGCGTGCTTTGTCATTGACGCTGAGATGGCTAGAGCAGCCTTGTGATCGGGCCCGAATTGGGCGCTTGGCACGGTTAATAGCAAACAGAAACTATCAAGAGCATGGGGGCTCTCATAGTTCCATGTGATGTCGTGGATGTCAAGCGCATTAAAGTTGAGGCCTAATACCCAAGGCAAATGGCAGGCAACCATAGGCAGCCGTCAAACAACATCCGACAATCACTCGTCTTTCATCGAAAACCGAACAAGAATCAAATACTTTCTTCGCTTTCTTCCTTTCAGTTGTTACTCTGCCTTTATGTTAACCATGAATACTTCCTCATCGGCGGGCTCAAAGCTGGAGGTGTCCCTGACAGGTCCCACCAAGGCTTTTATGGTTGAGTTGCTGGTCTGGAACGGGTCGCCCTTCAAAGATCACTGGGCGTATTATGTTCGGTCGCACGCGGACCCTGATATCGGCGTAAAGATACACGCGACCGGCAATGTGAGAAGTGGCTTCGAGTTCGAGATTAAGCGGAGTGAAAACTTGCAAACAACCGATGACATTCCTTCAACAAGGGTCCCGTTGCAGTGGGTCGACGAAGGGTACTTTGATGAGAAGGCTATGCTCAACGATGGGGAATACAAAGTCGACAATTTGCCTGTCTGTCGGTTCGAGAAGAGTGTTTACGAGATTCAAGTTCCAGGGAAAAGTCTGAACACAGTCAGTGATGGGGTGAGTCTAATGCAGCTGCATTTCTGACCTGGTGCCTATAATATATGCCATGAGTTTGCCTGCCTCGGAGCTATACGGGAAACTATGCATGGCGCTTTGTTGCCTCGCTGGAATATGTAGGCTAATTCGGATGTTCAGCCCAAACCAAGTAGGAAAGTTATTCAGAGGGATTGTCAGACATGGGTTGTCGAATCTGCCGATCAACTGTGCCGTGACAACATTTTTAGCGAGGAGGTTGCCGCTTATCTTCACGCAATCAAACAATAATTGTGGATTGTGGATTTTGAATCATCTCATACAGTGCATATCGGTCGTGTCATCAAGGCGTTATTATGGCGGCATGAAGATACTAGATACACGCGACCAATTTCGATTATAGTGGGCGTTAAGCAAGTCTCATTTGATGTACCTATTCCGTATGGGGGCTACGGCGACAGTCGCCCTCAGGATTGATTCACTACTTTGTTATGTTGTACTCGCCCGGTTGATCATTAGTAAGGCGAGGTGAGCTGTTCTAGGTACTCGCTGTGTCGACTGTTGCCCCGCTTGGGCTGCTCTTATTTGTCTAATGAGATTGCTTCAGACAGAGATCATTCTGACACAGAATCTTGTTCTGCCGAGCTAAGGGGTCTATTACAAGGGGAAGTGGGTCAGGTCCAGAACAACGCGCCCCAAGAATAATCATGGAATCCTCAAAGGTTCGACAGCACTGCACCGACGGTCTATGTTGTACCTTTCTCGGGTTCCCCACATCTCGAGTCGAAGTAATAGAGATCCTATCTAAGTAGGGATAGACAACGGCTTATTCTTGTGACGGGCCTCGGGAAAGGGGTCGCGCATGTGACGATCCTAATTTCCGTCCTTGGACCCCGGTATCATGAAGAACATGCAGTAGCCTTGTTTAGTGCTAGTATGTACGGAGTACTAATCACAATAAATCATTAAAATGTAAGCACTTCTAAAGCAATACCATGCGACTTCTTCGAATGTTGGATTGGGCCACAAATATGTAGGTGCATGACAGACACTTTAGAAAACGGCAATGACATTTGTAGTGGCCCAGACTAGAGCTAGATGCAACAAATGCTGTAAAGAGGGAGAAAAAGATAACCGAGGTTTGTTGTATACTCTTCATGATCTCCATCTCCTTATTATTTCCCATAGAATACAAGCCCCTATAGTGGAACCTCGCGCCGCGGTGATATCGACGCAGACTTTAGGACTTCAAAATTCATGGGAATAGGTTTTAGTAGAGCACTCCGACAGCCATGTACATTGTTTATATTAGCTGCATATGCCCAAAATGATTGGTCCGAAGTGTTCTGAAAGAATGCCCTGGATTCTGTCGTGTGACTTCACTTTACATCGAAATATTTGTTGCCCCTGCGATACTCGATGATCATGTCAATCCCGATCTGGAGTCATCCCGCGAAAGCCGTTGGATGACATCAATTGACAGGTGCACTATTGCTTGGAAATAGCTAAACGCAGTGCGATCATCATCGTGGGGATGCGCTACGCGAACACAGACCCCTACGTGGGTTTTTTTTTCAGTGGGGTCAGCCAGCCACGCCCAATAAGACATGCGATGCTTGAGATCAGTGATCGTCAGGAACTCAACCTCGCTTGGCTATTGATTCCGATTTTAGCATGGCATTGAGCTGAGCATTACCCTAGCCTTAACAAGGGGGGGGGGGTTATAAAGACAATGAGACCTAGCACCCTATTGAACTGTTTCTGCTTATTTGACACGGTGTCATAGCGCCTATATTCATTCATCATGCTTTTTGGTCGCCTTCTTGGCGTGGCCGCACTGTCTGCCATCGTCAAGGCTGTTGAGTTATCAGGCTATGAATACATCGTGGTTGGCTCTGGGGCAGGAGGTGGTCCTCTAGCAGCGCGACTCGCTTTGGCAGGTCATAGCACACTTCTTATCGAAGCCGGAGATGACCAGGGAGCGAATTTGAACTATACTGTCCCGGCTTTCTCTGCAAAGGCTTCCGAGGATGAAGCTCTGGCATGGAACTTTTACGTCAAGCACTACACTGATGATGCTCGGCAAAAGCTCGACTTCAAGACAACATACGAAACCCCCGATGGCAAAGAGTACACGGGGCTGAGCCCACCCGCGGGTTCCAAAGTGAAAGGCACACTCTACCCCCGTACCGGAACACTTGGTGGTTGCACGGCACACAACGCTCTCGTTACCGTCTACCCTCACGACTCTGACTTTGAATACCTCGCCACACTCACCGGAGATGGCTCATGGTCACCCGACAACATGCGCAAGTACTTTGAGCGCATGGAGAACAACCGCTACCTGCTCCCACTACTCAAGGGCCACGGCTATGATGGGTGGTTGAGCACCGAGACCGCACCACTAAGCATTGTCTTGGAAGACCCCCAGCTCCTGAGCCTGCTGCTTGGCGGAGCATTTTCCCTAGGCAATGCGACCAAGTCGGTTTTCAACATCGGCACACTCCTCGCAGGAGACGGAAACTCGGCCACAGACCACCGCGACACCAAACCAGGATATTATCAAGTCCCCGTAGCTTCCGATGAAGGCTCTCGTAACGGTCCTCGCGAGTTCTTGACCGCCGTTAGGGATGCGAAGAACGCCGATGGGTCTAAGAAGTTCCCACTTGACATCCGTATGAACTGCCATGTGACCAAGGTCACCTTTGACGAGACTGTCACCCCTCCCCGTGCGACCGGTGTTGAGTTCCTGGACGGCAAGTATCTATACAGCGCCAGTCCCCGCTCCAAAACCGCCGGCAAGGGAACGCCGGGCTCAGCAGCAGCTTCGCGGGAAGTTATCGTCTCCGGCGGCGTGTATAACTCGCCCCAGATCCTGAAGCTCAGCGGTGTTGGACCAGGAGAGGAGCTCCAGAAGTTCGGAATCAAGGTTGTCTCTAACCTTCCCGGTGTCGGTACGAACCTGCAAGATCACTACGAGACTGCGGTGCAAGGTCAAGCCCCTAAGGACTTTGCCGCCCTTAAGGGATGCACGTTCAATAATGGTGATAGTGATCCCTGTCTTGACCGTTGGAATAAGCCAGTCCTTGGTAACCACGGCATTTACTCGTCGAATGGATTCGGAGCTGCCATGTACTACAAGAGCTCCGTCACTGCGGATGATAGCTTCGATGTGTTCGTGTTCGGCGGGCCCGTCAACTTCCGTGGATATTTCCCTGGCTACGCTGTCAACATCACCGAGCACCCTGACTGGTTCACTTGGGCGGTCCTAAAAGCGCACCCCCGTAACACCGCTGGATCTGTGATGCTCCGCTCTGCCGATCCGCTCGATATGCCTGAAATTGTTTTCAACTACTTTGACACTGGCTCTGGTGACTATGCAAAGGATTTGCAAGCTATCACTGAAGCTATTCGTCTTGCACGTGGTGCCTTCGACCGTCAGTTGGTTGATGTGTCTGAGATCCTCCCTGGTGATGATGTCCAGACTGATGAGCAGATCCATGATTATATCAAGAATACCGCTTGGGGTCACCATGCTTCCTGCACTTGTCCCATTGGAACTGATGATGATCCTATGGCTGTCTTGGATTCTAAATTCCAAGTTCGTGGCGTTTCAGGCCTTCGTGTTGTGGATGCCTCTGTGTATCCCCGTATTCCCGGAACATTCACTGCGGTTTCCACTTTCTTGGTGGGTGAGAAGGCAGCTGATGTGATTCTGGAGGCAGCGAAAGCGAGCCAGTGAGCTTAATTATTCACCACCCATATATTATAATCATCATGAGAGCGTGATTCCATTCTTGGATACGCGGTTTGTACATATTTGATCGATTTCCACTCTTTTGGAAAGCGGAATTAATTTTCAATGAAATTCTTTCTCTCGGTAATATGTTCGCATTCACGGCCGTTCTAACGCAAAAACAAAAAGGTCATCTCCCTCTTCTTGGAAATCACCCACGATCTTGAACCCACACTTTTCTAGTACACGGCGACTCCCGGCATTCCTCTTTTCGCAAAGAGCAAAGGCCTTCTCAACCTCTGCTGGACAAGCATCTTCACCGTCAACTGTTCGACGCGCGAGGTTCCACCACATCTTCAACATCAATTGCAAGGCCTCTGTTGCGTACCCTTTGCCCCAACAAGATGGATGCACTGCGTATCCAATCTCAGGGTAAGGGTCTACCTGGTTGAAACTGAGAGATCCAACGACTCGCTCCTCTGTTTCCGGGATTGACTTGGCGACAATGGCATAATTAAATGAACGACCGATGATATCGGATGGACCACTTGTGAATATCTTTGTTGCCATCCATTCACGGGTTTCTTCAATTGATTTGAATGGCGTTTTGGGAAAGCTGATATAGTTAGCATGGTGAATATTCCTCAATAGGTGATATTTGTACTTCATTTCTGCCACTTCGGGGCGGGAACGAATGGCGAAAAGTGCGGCGGCATCGGCGTCGGTAACTGGCCGAAGAAGGAGTCGGTCGCTTTCAATTGAGGGTCCTGACGCTGGGACGATTACGTAGACAGATTGTTCAGGTAGAGTCATTTTAAAGGTGTTTTGTTTCTTGGTATTTCCGGGAAGATCGTGAAGAAAACATAAGAGAAAATTGATCGGTAGCGCTAAGCTAGTCTTGGAGCCCGATTGACCCACGAACATCATCTATATCGGCATCCCGGATGAGTCACTGTCTGCGATATCTCTAAATACACTTCTACTGTTATGCCTTTTATATATCCTAGCATTCCCAATACTAGCAATTGGAGTAGGCACGACAATATGTAATTGTTATTTTTGATGCGCGAAATCGGGCCCCGCACCGGCCAAAGCCCTAAAGTTAGGCAGGCCGGTGTTCGGCTCTCATGCGCTCCCATTGACCGGGTTCGACATCATGTTCATGGTGAAATGTTACAATTCAAACAGAACATATCACAGGATTTAATTCGCCAATGCAGTGCAAATTATGACCACAAAATATTGAGTTTCCCTAGGCCTCGCTTCGGCCTAGGTTCCGGCTCAGGATTATTGTGCCAGCTTTCGATGAAAGGCCGAATCGGAATTTCCGCCAGCGGGATGATCTTCGTTCCTGCCCAGAATTTGTAGGCGAAATACACAATAACGATGAATGGCAGGTTGAAATATGTCGATACAAAGGTTTCAGCACTCCAATAACCACGCATAAATGTCGTAAACCCTCCGGTAAAGAAAAGAACAATGTACACGAACAACGAGATCCAGGTTGTGTATGGCTGAAAAGGTGCTGCCCATGGGAGCTCCTTGTGGCGATCAATTCCTTGCTTCTTGCATCCATAGTAGAATCTAAGATAGACAATACAGATGCAGATTAAGTTCACTAGAGTCGAGATAGAAACAAGGTTTTGTAGCCATGTGAATGCCGTACTGGCTGAGCTGGAAATACTCATGTATCCAAGAGCCATAAAAACGCCGTAGAGGGCGACAGCGACATAGGGGATACCGTAGCGGTTGATACGTTTGAAGACGGCAGGTGCGTGACCCTGGGTTGCCATGCCATACAGGATTCGGGAACCGCCCAAGATATTACTGTTCCCGGAGGACCATGCTGAGGTCAGAACAACGGCGTTGATGATTGAGGGAACCACCTTAATGCCGGCATGACGGGCTGCGATAACGAAAGGGGACTGCGAGGCTGTCCCCGACGAGCCCAGAAGATTTGGATCGGCAGACGAAACAATTAGACCGACCATGAAGATTGTTATCACGTAGAAGAGCAATATACGGACGAAGATACGTCTGGCAGCCATAGGGATGGCGTGGCGAGGGTTTCGAGTCTCAGCTGCAGCAAGAGTGAAGTTTTCGATGCCAGAGTAAGCGAAGAGTGCGTTGTCGAAAGTTTTCCAAAATCCTAAAAACCGACCAAGGGAGCCGTCCACCCCCAAGTACTGGACGAAGGGTCCATACGGAGCTTTCCAGTAGGCAAATCCGATTGACGAGTTATTCGGGGCTCCGCCACAGGTAATCACCTATCAAAATAAATTAGCACCGAAAGTAAACACCTTCCCGAAGGGTGCAATTACCAGAGCCATGATATTTATGCCTATAATGAGCATGATCTTGAGGATAGAAAATCCGAACTCGAGCTCTCCATACACACGAACAAAGACAAATGCAGTGGAAAGCATGAGGAAACCAAGGACAGTGATCCATATCGCGTTGTTGACGGTAATCCAGAATTCGATAATAACAGCTGCAGCGACAATCTCGGACGGAATCGACACAATGTAGGAATAGACTTGGTTCCACCCGTTGGCGAACGCTAGCGCGGGGTCACAGAAGATCTCTGCGTATCGAATAACACCACCATTGAGAGGTACCAGGGCTCCCATTTCACCAACTCCGAAGACGACACTCGAAACAGTCGCACCGATGATCGTATATGCCAAGAACGCACCCAGTGGTCCAGCTTCCACAATGGCTCGGCCCGAACTAAAAAAAATACCCGTCCCTACAGTACCAGCGAGGGCAATCATCTGAATGTGTCGCTGATGGAGACCCTGTTTGAACTCATGAACCTCCTTGAGCTGGCCCGCGACATTCTCTACCTCGCTATTGTCTCTCATTTTCCCGTCGTCGTAGTGGGGCACTTTGGGGTCGGATACAATGGGGGTATCAATATCATTGCCGTCCTTCGAGATATGGTTCCTCAGAAAATGTGGCATTGAAAGTTTCGTGGAGTAAAACAAAATCTTTGAGAAATGGAAAAATCCAAATTTAGGAGGAATAAGCTATGCGTGCTCGTACTTTGTGCATAACTAATTCTTCTCTCAGTCGTGCAGATCATGGCGGGCATATCGAACAGCTACTTAGAAAAGCTTAATTTCCAATCCACATCTTGTCGTTGGCTAATAACCCAGCTAGCCCCTTCCACAAGGATTTTCGCGTAAATCGGAAAGAATATAAGGCTCACCGTTCAATAGGGCAGTTATTTACTCCCCGGGTCCTCGTCTGCTGCCCAGATGTGGATCAGGATTATCCGAGCCCTCGAGAGTGGGCCACGCTTTGTCAGATTTGGATTGTTGTAGGGCTGTTCAACATTTTGCTGCTCCGCTCAAGGTAAGCAGAAATATTTGGTGGCTCCAAAGGCCTTCACAAGTTCAGTGAGAGCTGGGGAAGAGTATCCTAAAGTCGTGATGAGTATAGACTATACTTGAAATCTGTACAAGTAGCACTCACTAGAAAGACTGGTAAAAAGCGAGGTCGGCATAGGTGATCTTGTCACCAAGGAGTTGAGGTCCGTCAACATCTTGACCAGTTCTTGTAAGTCCACTCTGAGACGTTTTTTTTTGTTTTTTCTTCGCTGGTCTCCGGTGAGGTGTTGTCATAGTGGTAGCGGGCATCTTTGAAGTCAAAGACCGCAGATGGTTGAAAACAATCTCGTCCAGCGTAGAAGCAACAAGTTGCAAAGGTGGAAAATACTGGGCTCAACTGGTAACGCTAGCCCATGCCTGGGAGATCATTGACCGGCCCCAGATGATATAGCTCCCGCCATGCTTTTCACGGAGTTCGAAATCCCAAGCACAGCCCAAAAGGTTCGTCCCAAGATTCATATTCTGGCACGATGAAAAAAGCAAGGTTAGAACGATTTCATCTGATGATAAGTATATGACAGAAGAAAAACGATGAAATGACGTGAGAAAGCCGCGTGTATATATATTTTTAGTTGAAGTAAAAGAAACAAAATTAGATGCTTTGAACTTACCAGGATGAAATTTTGGGGTTACTCCCACATCTTGCCTCCAGAACATCATTCATATGTTTGCTTTTTTTTTCCCATTCTCACTCATTGAGCATCGCTCGTACATTCCTCGTTGGTATGCCAGACGCTTCCTGGGCCAACGATCTATTATTCAAACTAAACAAGGTAATTCTCATGCAGTCTGAGATGAATGGCTGGCATTCGGGGAATTGTACCAATCTATCCACACAATGGAAGGCTTAGAAGGGGTGAATCCGCCTTTTTACCTGCAGAAATGCCCGGTCGGTTCCCGATAGGAGTTTGTCAAGGTGCGTGGTATACGAACTTGAACCAAATAGGGTGACCGCATGACTGAAATGGGATTATCGGTATAGACCAGACAATTAAGGGCATGTAAGAAGGAAGAAGCTACTCTGTATTAGAGCCCTACTCCCAGCCACGGGTCGGGGTACATCCATGTTCATGCGGGGCATGCACAGATGTCTTAGACGATACGGGAGCGGAGAAACGAGTTGAACCTTCGATAAACCGACGAATTCCTTGATTCCGGTTCTTTACGCTGAAACCATTATTAGCTCCATACGGGGAATGATCAGCAAAAGCTCCAGCTAGTATCGAGAAATTGGCGGGGTCACGGGGTGGTTATAACCGGTGGGATGTCTTGGATGCGGAGTACATGCGGAGGCGGTGATGCGCATGTCTCACCTACCACCCGTGTTGATTGGCCGTGGGGCAGACCCGCGGGCGGTGGCCTGACAATCTAAGTCATGGAATAGGCGTCATGTCTTAGATCATAGGCCATGTCTTTTGTCAGGCCTGCCGGATGTACTCCATCGGTACATCATCAATACTACCTGTGGTCCGGGTAGCAGACCTATATAAAGACCGCCAATTCCTGCGTTTGTAGGGAAGGAAACAGATAATCCAAGCTTCTATTGCAAAACAAAAAGCCAAATACCAACCATGAAGACCTCCCTGATCACATTTGGTGCCCTCCTCGGCCTGGTCTCGGCCCAGAATGCTGTCGTGAACAACCACTGTGCCACCTCAGTCTATGTACAGTCGTTCCCTTACGATGGCAGCGCCCCGGGCCCTCTCACCACCGTTCCTAAGGGGGGAACCTTTTCCGAGAAATTCAGAACATCTGGCTCGGTACGTTACTCTGTCCTATTGTCTGCGCAACACTCCATGCGGCAAGGGAAACTGACTAGAGATGGAATGTGTAGACCGTCAAGATCGCCAAGACAAAGACGCTAGATAAGCCTCTCTTCTTTGGCTATTCGTTCTCGTCCAGCCCGGACTACGTGTACTGTGAGTGCATCCAATCTATCTGTCAGCTAGGAATTTTTTATTAACCACGTCCTTCTTCAAGATGAGCTGAACACGGAATGGGGCAACCCCTTCGCAGCGAATCCTAACTCGCTCAGTCCCGGGGACGGCTGCGAGGTCTTTGACTGTGCGGCTAATGATGCCGCCTGCTACAGTACCCCAGCTCTTAAGAAGGTCTATGGGTGCCCCCAGCCAGTCACTCTGACGGCGGACCTGTGCCAGTAATCATGTCGCCTACACTCTGTAGTGTGGTAGGGCTGTGGGGATATCTCTCTGTTTTCTTGTCCTTATTTCCACCTGTTGCAGCCCGTCTCAGGGGTAATTACATGTTAGAATGAGACAGGCATTTGTCGTGACACTTATATTTTGCAGGAGGATATAAATCATAATAAAAGAAAAATACAACATACAACCCCAACGCTAGTAGTGCCCTATACTCCAGTGGCAATTGGGATCAGGACTCACACCAGTTCTCTGCCCTCTTGTAGAGACAAGAATAGTCGGCCGCTTATACGGCCTCGTGTAGTCTTTTCTTAGATATTCTGTTTAGATGTATTCCCTATTAGTCAAATGGAATGAGGTGCTTTTTACCAAAATCACATAAGCGACAAGTAGAAAGATTATCAACAGACATAGCGGGACGGACAAGCGGAGATCCTGTCGCTTCTTACACACTTTCCCTAGGCTCTTTCTCCCTTCAGGACTCTTTCTATAACAGGAACACAGCCAAGTCACAGGCTTAGTAAAAAGTTCCGCCCTCTAGGGGTTGAGTGTATTGTTGTAGCCGCTATGCTATCCATACTAGCAGCACTTTCTAAAGAATACGGCAGCGGTCAGAATATCGTCGCGCTGGGGTGGCATATACACAGTCGCGGTACAGACTTTCCCTCAGCATCTGCGCGGTTACGGGACTGACATCGCAGCACTTTTCAAAACACCTCCGGAATTTGGATGGGTCAAGTTACCCCTTACGCATTTGATTCAATCAGTTGGAAATACTAATTTGTCTTCATTCGCTTCCTTCTCGCCCTAGGTGCACTATATGCCACTTTCTTGGTCGAAAGAAATTGCTGCAAGTTTTGGTGACCATGTGGTCTCTGCTGATAAGTTTGATCATGCCATTGGGGAGAACGAGCCGATCAGATAACATAACACATTGAAGGCTGATTATTTCGGGTCTTCCATGCCTTGTCTACATCTCATCTTTCTCTTACACGGATGCGGGTGGTGTATATAACCCTTATGCCTTTAAGAGAGCAAGATAATATGTTGGCAATATTGCTTCCCAAGCGGCCGATAGGGTCTTACAACACTTTGTTTAATATTCGTCTATCCTCCTCTCTCTTTCAAGCAGCTGGCTCGATATAAGAAATGGTTTCTTTCACTCAATAAGGATACCTAGGCGTCTATATCACCAAATGTAAAGTATAAATCGGGTGTAGCATAGATTATAAGTGAATGTAATACACAAGCGGGTGAAACAACAGATACAATCTTAATACCTGAAGCTATAGATGGTAAAAGCGAGCTTTCGGGACTTTTTCGCATCTTTTACTTTCCCTCCTTTTCTAGGCTTGACTCCTGGCTAGGTTACCATACTTACAATTAGGTGTGGTAAAATGATCTTCGAAAAGTAAAGTAAACACGAATTCTGTGGGGTTATACACCCGAAACAAGAGACCGGGGCTTCCACATAAACGAAAATATAGATAATAGAGTTCATATCCTGTTTCTTTTGCTCCAAAGTCGATGGAATCTAGAACAACCGGGAGATTTTGGGTTATTTGGACTATTGATTGGATAAATAAATGAACACACAAGTTCGGCTCGCAGTGAGAATGAGCATACAGATTTTATGGGTCAATTGCAAGACGAGTGACTCAATGTTCCCACCTTTTGAGTCAACTATCAGCTGACGATGAGTAGCACCGTCTCCTCCAGTCCTAGCTTCGTTCCACAGCCATAGTCTCCCAGCTCGATCGAACAATGTGTATGGAGCATGTGTCGCTTCCATGTTCCGTGTAACTCTTCCCTCGCTCATATAGTTCATTGACTAGATCTCAGTCAACCAGTCAGATAGCCACCAACACGCCGAAAAAAAGCGGAATAGCGACAAGTGGCACCAGATTAGGGGCTTCACCTTCCGATATATTAGACATGGCATATTGTAAAGCGTCCTGAGCCTTTTCTCCGGCAACTTCAGTTAGGTGTACGATAATGTAGGCCCAGATAAACAACGCAAACTTAAATAATATCGGATTTATTTGATGGGTACGGTTATCGGGGGGCTCGATGGTATCACACAAGACAAACAAAATAACTCGGGTTCATATTGCCACTAGCACAGCTGCAAATGATTATGGAGTATTTTTGGCACGCTACATGCCATTTTGCTCAATTTTCTCAACTTTTGATTGCTCAATCCTGACACTCTGACGCTGCGATAAGTAACATCCCTTAACCCCAAGGCGACCTCGGCACTCCCTCAGTAGATAGTGGCTTATTTGCACTATGTTCTCTTAGCAATCCGCTATCATGTTTGGCTATATTTGTTTCCGGAAAAATCGTAGTAGCAGACTTACCCGTTGTGCAATACAGCTTCCTTGTCCCTCACAGCACCGAAAGGTGCCGCCGTTAACGCAGAATTGTCCCTTCATGGAGCATCCAGGTCTGGACTGGCTTGAGCCATTTCGTAGGCAGCAAGTGTAAACAAAACAATAAAGAACTTCATGTTTGAGGAGATAAATAGTAAAAGATTATTTGAATTTTATTTTTCAGGTTTGAAGAGGTAATGTAGAAGGCAAATTCGGGTGTGCTGTTGAGAGATTGATGTTATGACTCTCATGGGCGTCGATGCTTATATAGGGTCGATTATATCTTTATTGTTTCTTTAATAGTTCTTTGATGCAACAATGCAAGCAATGGTTTGCACATTCTAAGGGTTAAACGCCTAATAAAACTATGCCTTACCAGTTCGCAATTTGAGGTCGCATTTCAGGAATTGGATCAGTTGATACTGTAATGCCTTCAAGTCAAAAAGGAAATAGTTCGCAAACTGCAGGCCTTCGCCCAAACAGCAGAATGCCTGGGTCGATCAGCCTTAGCATTTTTGGCATACGAGCGAACATTCGTGAAAATTATCCCTGCGTGATGGATATCATGTAAGGAAAGAAGGAGAAATTCAAACTCTGAGTGTACATATCCTCTTCTATCATTTACTCCTACAGTTTTAGGACTATTACTACCTAATTGACAAATGTGCTTGATTTCCTCTCTTGGCATTCCTATTCTGTGTTAGTGCTCGGGTCTTGCCGCTTCTTATGTACAACCAATATATCACTACTAAGAAGTTCTATGCGTCATAACATCGTGAATTCTCGAACTAAGCAAGCAAGATGCAACAGTTAGATCGGGGACAGGTAGACTATGCTTCCTAACCGGGGTTAGTCAGGTTTGTTTGCACCCCACAATATATTATAGGCTTTGATATTTCAGCAGATCATGTCTAGTTAGCTAGATGACATTGCTGTGTTAGCTTTAATGCGATCCACATTCACATAAAAAAGGGAACCGCTCTGTACAGGGTCTTCATAATATCAGGGTCTACGGTTCTGCAGGATACTTATCCTATTGGATCTATAAGATGATGCATAGATTATATATATATTTTTCTTACAGCGACGCACCTGTTGAATAATGTCAAATGAGTGTCCACAGTACTCCGTACTAGTAAGATATACCTGAGGATCTGACAAATTATTTTCACATACCTTTGAATCTAATTTTTGAAATTGTATCCAGTACTCTGTATAAGAAACTAGATTCATCAGCTATATATATTTGCAAATCGTGTTTTTGCTTCCACTTTGCTTCCGCCCCATCAAGAATTGCTTTGTTTCCCTTTTTATCACTTCTCTCCCTCTATCGTTATCTGTTCGGCTTGAAATTTGGCATATATATAGTGTCAATTCCCTATTTCTACCTAATCTATACCTCTGCCTCTGCCTGTTACCTCCATCGCCTTCTTTCTTGCATTCTGTTGTCATTGCCTCTTTCTTGTGTCCTGCGATATAGGGTGTATCTCAAGCTCCAAAATCACTAGTCAATAATGCACTTTGGTCGGGTTATATGGGACCGACGTTTATGGAGATCTAAGGTAAAATTACCTTGTATCCGATCTTCGGGGGTTTCGTACTGTAACTGACCGGGGTATGTATATGGCTCCGGTATTCAAATTGACACTTTGTCTCCACCACGGTCGAATTACGCACGCGATAAGCTGACTATATGGGCTATCTAGTTTCCCCTATCCTCAGGGCAATAAGTAGTCGTGAATGACTTAGGAATCTACTGCGAACTCTTGAGTATGGAGAATCCTCTTTGAATTCGCCACATCGTGCATCTGGTGAACTGGGCAGCATCGTAGTCACTGCTTCTACGGCTTCGTTCCATAATTTCAGCATTGGTGATTACACACGATCGCGAAACATGGCGTTCTAGGGATTATCCGCGGGATAGGGTATCAACTTAAGGGGAAGGTTCGACTCAATGCTGTTGCGCCTTGGACAGCAACTGGCATGATTGATGCTGCTTTTATTGAGGGGCTTGGTGTCGGTGTTCAGGAACCGGATGCTGTAGCCCAGAGTGTGGCACTTCTCTTTAGCGACCAGAAGCGCCATGAGGATGTGATATACAACTGGGAGGGGAATTATCTGGAGGTTAACAAGGCAGAAGGTGGATTGCTGGCGACTGCGGATGGAATACTTGTGAATTCAGTCAATGAGGAATCTGTTGTGCGGAAGTTCAGAGAAGGAAACATGCTCGGTTAGATCTAGTCCTTGTCAGCTGCTCTTGATACTAGACCAACGACCTTTTCTTTTCTGTATTCGGACTGCCATATAGACATGATGCCATCTTACTTCTCCATAGCTGAGCATCTTCCACTGTACAACAAGGCATCTTGGTTTCCCCGCCCTTCCCCGCAGCTTGGGTGTGGCGCGTAGCTAATATAAGCCGAGACATTATAAGAGCACCTCGGTAGTCAGGGATGTTCCACGTGGTGCTCATTTCCATATGTTAAATTGATCTGTTGACTAAGGGAGAGAGGGGAAGGAAGATCAACCAGGTGGGGGAGCAAAGGTCCTATCTGTCTTAGGCAGTAAGGCTGCCTCAACAAAAATACAGTCGTGGAAGCCATTTCAGACACTCCAGGGCTCGTCCTCTATTTATGCTAATTAGGATTTTGGTATAGCTAATTCAATTGAACTAACAGAATCCGGCAATTTACCATGAGGCGCGGACTGATCTGGTATTTATTGTTGTGTGTGGTTTCCCATGCAGAGGCCATGCAGGAGGATTAATACCCTAGAAAATGCTGATTAATCCCCTCATTTCAGATACATATCAGAAGTCTTCATCGCACCTCTATACCAATCCTTCGATACCAGCTGCAAGACTTTCATCAAATGGAGTCCAACCTTGCCTGCCAAAGTACTCTTTAAGTAAAGCCTCGGATCTTTGGACTGGAACAACATCTGCTTCATCCCGTGCTTCATTTGCAGGAGGTTCTGGGATCAAGTTGTTGTCGGGTCGTAGCTTGCGAAGAGTTTGAACATAGTCTGTCCAATTCTTTGATGCTGCGAAGGCAAAGAGCCTTTGGGATTTCACATCGGGACTGAGTAGCGCGATGACATGGAGACGAGCGGTGTCCTCAACATCCACATACCACTCTGCAAAGATCAAAATGTTAGATAATGTTCAAGGATTCCACAGAATGACTAAAGAAAGAGAGCTAATGGAACTTACGGGGAGGGACAAAACCTATCACGCTAGCATCTCCTTTGAGAAGATTGCGTACAAAGCTCATGGTCGAGCCACCAATCTCTGGATGAAGAACCCTTCCGATCTAAAATCATGCAAAGACAATTGGTCAATAAAAGTTGGGGTTTGGGGCCTTTCCATGATCACGATTGCAAATTCTCACATTAAAGTCGGGAAGCACCGTGTTGAAGTCGAAATGGGGTTGGTTATCCTTCATCCATGCCCATGCGGCCTTCTCGGATTCTGTTTTAGACGCAGAATAAATGGTAAAAGCTTTGGCATTCTCCGGAGTGGTTGGATCCCATGCTGCTTTGACTGATTCATCATTGAAACTATCTGAAAAGGAGTTAACATATGTGCCTTTTACCAGACGTGAGATACTTACTATCGTCTATGCGAAGACCCTTGGTTTTACCGGGCAAAGACGTATAGGAAGCTCGTGACGATGAAGTGAGAACAACCCTTTTGATGGTTTCAGTCCGAGATGCAACTTCGAGGACCTTGCGCACAGCATCCGTCACCCAGGGAATGACGGCATTGGGGTCCGAACTGAAAGTCAGATCAGATGCCTATTAACAAATATGATCAGAAGACTTGGAATCATGGCCTCCTTGAACGGCTGTGTATAGAACTGACCATGTGGATCACACCTCCAACCCCCTGCATTGTATTTTGCAGTTGTTGGGCATCCCCGAGATCTGTCACAACCTGGGTTTCGAAGCGCCCTTTGCCGTATTTCTCATCAAAAAAGGTATTGAGCCAAGGCTTGGGGGTACGAACTGTGCCCCGAACTTTGAAGCCTTTTTGAAGCAACTGGTCGATAGTATGAGACGCTATGAAGCCATTAGCACCTGTAACAAGTACCAAGGTGTTGACAGGCAGTAGGTATGATGTAGTCATCTTGAGTAGGTCTTTCGAGGAATTTGGCTATAAGGCTGCGGGGTTGGCGAATATGTTAAGCGTGAGTATAAGTAGTTATAGTAAATACTTTTTATAATGAACCCGGATTTAACGAATACCCGACTTTTAAATCCGGACGAACGCCAGTCCCATAGCGCTCAGGTGGGTGGGGATATATGCCTGAATACCTGGATGCCTAAATTAGCACCGCTGTCTACACCGCTCTATAACTAATGTAGTACCCTCAAGCACGGCCCACGTTGCATTTTTTTATTTTATTTTTCCGGTGTATGCAAGGTATGCATGGTTCGGAGATATACATACCCATTAGAAAGGGGGTTTTAGGCGACAATGACGCCTCCATCCTGCCTGATTGAATTGCTCACCTATTATTATTGTAATAATTATTATTGATACACTAGCCAATCTTGGAAGTGTGCATTTCACATTTCCCATAAGCCGCCACCGCCTCCAAGGCTATCCAAGTTACTCCGTAGCCGAGATATCAAAATATAAAGTCAATTCCAGCCCCATGCAGGTACAAATCCAGCCGAAGGGGTTCCTCCAGTGTAGGTTATAAAGCTGTGACTCTTTCTGCTCCGAGGTGTGTCGATTTTTTACTCTGCATCAATCTCTCGCCATATCAGCACCCGCTACTACCAACGAGCTTCTATCTCCCAACTGGCATTTCTCACCATGGGTACCCGCAAGCACTCTGTCAAAGGGCCCCCAATCTCTTCCAGTGGCCTCATGCTTCCGAAAACATTCTTTAGCCCTTAGAGGATCTTCCTCGTTCCACAGCTCCTCTGAAGATTATTGTGAAGAACTCAAAAGAATATGAGCGCGGGTTCGACCAGACCCGAATCATCAAAAGGAACTTGTACCGTAACTAGCACATCAACTATCTGATTCGGGAATACCATAAGATGTGTCGAAGCAGTACTTGCCATGATATGAGGCTTGTGCAGGTCAGGAAGCATGCGGCATTACCGGAAATAATCCATTCCGGAACTATACGAAGAACTAGGCTGGTTCTCAAGCCTCTGAGACCTCATATCGCATATATAGTATAGTCTTTTGTACTTTCTCAGAAGTAGAATAAACAGTCAATGATCCCTTTAGACTACAACAGTGCCACTCAAATGCACTCAGGTAGTCGGATTTTGCATGTTAGATGTCTTTTTACCTGGTATATAAGTCAAGCAGGTTGTTAATTCGGCGTGACCTGAGTGGCGATAGGCCTATCTCGAACACAAAGGTGGAATACATGGTTGAAACAGGATATTTTCCCAGAAGACTACCTAACCGTTGAAAGGGGATATCATAAAAAAGTGCATATCGTAGTTAGCCATCATGCCCGTTGAAATTGTTGTTTTTGTGATTTTAGAGAGGTCTAGGCTCCGCCCCATCCGGGGGAACGCTGTTTGCGATTATAAAAAAACGGGGTCGGAAGAATCCGTTACGCTTGGATTAAACTAAACTCTAAATGTTATTTCACCCCTGGAATATATATCAGGAGGAGCTCTATGGCGCTGACCGGTGGCGACATCTATTCTGCCCTCACTACGGCGAATAATGATGATTTCAACGCCAGCAATGCAGAATATAAAGCGCAAGTCCAATGGGGTTACCATACGCAGACACTTTTGATCAGCTACAAGAAAAAATAGCGGATCCCAGGAATAATGGTATAGACCTGCCTAAAACTTTCAACTGGCGTAAAATGCTTATTAACCAAATCCGAAATGCTTACTTCTATGTTATGGACCCACTGTCAAGGCCTTGGCGCAGATCAATCATTGAGTGGGCCACAATCAAAGAAGGGACACATATATTGCGTTTCGCACAGTGCAGAACCGTACGGAATAGTACGTAGTTTGTTTGGGAATCCATCGGGATTCCTATGGATATTAGAGGAATCGCCGGGGTTTTGATGCCTTTTCCGGTCATCTGAGCCATCATCTTGAATCATAAGGTTTTTCTTGATATAATTTGGAGGGAAGATTACTAACAAAGTGGAGTAGCCTGATGCGTTTAGAAAAAGCGCTGGTGGTGACCTAATAAAGAGGATTTGGAGTTAGGTCGATCAAGTCAATATTAGAGTGATGAATCATGATCGGGCCCGACCTAGTTTGCCGGATGGCTGGCCCCAAACTGATACTTGCAGAGGAGCTGGTTCATCTTGATAAATATAGGTGCCTGTCCACCAGCAAATGAGTTGAATGATATGATCGAAAATAACACGCAAATTGACACGCAAAATTTAGAAAAGATTATCCAATCACAACATGGCGCCCGCGAATCCCTCTCTCCCCTCCTCCTTCTCCCCAGGAGATGGCACTGGTGCTCCAAACGCCGCCTTTCATACAAAGCTATTCATTAACAACAAGGTAAGCCCATTGGTGCATACGCGAAGCCCCATCCTTCAGATATCCGCACCCAAATCAGCCATTGACGAAGCTTTGGCCGTTTGTCCCCTTTTCCTAGCATCGTAGCTTACTAACAGCTTCAGTACATCTCTGCCAAATCAGGCCAGTATTGGACGGTTCGAAATCCGAGCGATGACTCTATTGTTACAAACGACGTCCACTGTGCTGGGGAAGAAGACGTCAACGATGCAGTGGCATCTTCCAAATCTGCGTTCGAGGGAAGTTGGGGCAAGATGGCCAGCAGCGAGCGTCAAAAGATCATGCTGAAACTTGCCGATCTGCTCGATTTAGAATATCTTAATCTAATGAAGCTTGAAAGCATTGCAATGGGACAGCCAACTGCCTTTGCTGCTCGTCTCGGCGCAACCTTAGGATCCATTGTCCGGTATTACGCCGGATGGTGCGATAAGCTTCCTGGAGAGATGCAACCAGAAGATGACGATGGACGTTTCAAACTGGTGCGCTACCAGCCCTTGGGTGTCTGCGCTGGTATTGCCGCATGGAATGCCACCTTGGCTTTCCTTTGCATGAAGGTCATGCCTGCTATTGCAGCTGGAAACACATTTATATTCAAATCATCGGAGAAATCACCTCTGGGGTCCTTGGCATTTGGGGAACTAGTATATAAAGCTGGTTTCCCCCCTGGCGTCGTCAACATTATATCCGGCCCTGGGTCGACAGGGGAGCTACTTGCTTCTCATATGGGCATAAAAAAGATCAGTTACACCGGTTCCGTGACGGCAGGACGTAAAGTCCAGATCTCCGCGACGAACAGTAACCTTAAGCGTGTCACTCTCGAACTTGGGGGTAAATCCCCCTCAATCATCTTTTCTGATGCGGACCTTGAAAATGCGCTTGAGAATTCCTCACAGAACTTTCTGATCAACTCCGGCCAGATCTGCGTTGCTGCGACAAGAGTTATCATCCATGAAGATATCGCTGAAAAGTTTGCGGCGGGGTTAAAGGCTCGCTTCGAGATGTTCAAGGATGCCATGGGTGACCCTTTGGCGGAAGGAACGTTTCTTGGGCCGCTGGCCGATAACCTGCAGACAGAGCGCGTCCGGGCCCTTTTTTGAGCAAGGCAAGAAAGATGGAGTCAAAATTCTCACGGGTGGAGAAATTAATGGCAATTTTGTTGCACCAACAATAATGAAGAACCCTCCGCTTGAATCCTCTGTCTGGAAGGAAGAGATTTTTGGTCCAGCGTTGGGAATCAAAACCTTCAGATCTGAAGATGAAGCTGTGCGACTTGCAAACGATACTAACTATGGCTTATCTGCCTGTGTTTACACAAGCGATATTGCGCGTGCATTGAGAGTATCAGGACGAATTGAGTCTGGGACTGTGGCGATAAATTCAAATTTTTTTCCAACAATCACTGTTCCCTTCGGAGGTTGGAAAGAAAGCGGGAATGGAGGTCGTGAGGGCGGCTATGCGGCTCTCAAAAGCTACCTGGAATCCAAAACCATCACTATCAATATGAACGTTGGACCCAGGTAGATATTTGAGGACGGCAATCAGATGTGTTCTTTATGTTGTGCATGTCTTTTTGTTGAAACCCGATAATATGCACCGGCATTAACCTTGCCACTTCTCTTAACGTCTGCTAGTTTACTAGATTTGTTTCACCGGATTCAATTTTTCTATCATTTCATCACCTTCCCATACAATTTTATACTACACCACGATGTCAAACCAAATCAAAAATACCGAGGAACGAATCCAGGAAGCTCTCAATACCGTCCGTGAATTAATTAAGCCCAATATCGCTAAATTGGCCCGAGAATTTAATGTTTCATACCACTAACTGAGGGGCCGAATCCACGGTCGCCAGAGTAATTCCGACCGCGCTAAATCAACCAGGACTCTTAATCAAATTCAAGAAAGAGTATTGATTACCTGGGTTAAAAACCTAGATAATTCATATACATCGCCTACCCCAGATCTCATAGAAAAGGCCGCTAATCGCCTTTTAAAAATGGCGGGTTTAAACCAAACTGTCGGAGGAAACTAGGTATACCGCTTCCTATAAAGACTACCCCCAGAGCTTAATTATATCACCCAGAAACCTAAGGAGAAGGTTAGGATTAATAGCGAGGCCTTTAGCCCTTTATTCCTTTAGTATAATAGCCTATCCCGGGTTATGGAGGAGCACTAATTCCTACCTCACGAGATCTATAATTAGGATGAAACTGGGTTTCAAATTAACTAAGGGAAGCCTCGTAAGGTAGTCACTAGTCGTACGACTAGTAATATCGCTATAGGTGGCTAAGCAGAGTCTCTTACATGCATTAAATGTATTAGTGCTGATCGCTGGGTTATGCTACCTTGGTTTCTACTAAAGGGTAGTACACATATGGTGGAGTGGTATGAAAATATCACTACGCCTAATTTTCGAATTAAGCCTACGCCTAAGGGCTGGATTAATGATAAAACAGCCCTTTAATAGCTATTCTCCTTTCACGAAGCTACTATTTCTCGGGTTTAAAAAGAGAGGCCTCGGCTTCTTTTAATGGATAATCATGGATCACACACGACGATCGAATTTACACACTTTCATGGCGAGAAAAATATTATTCCAGTATATTTCCTACCCCATATAACACACCTCTGTTAACCCCTCGATTGTTAAGCGTTCTAATGCTTAAAGCATTTTTATCGTACCGCTAATAATAAGGCTGTTATGTGGGGTGGAAGTGCTAGTAAAAAGCGGGATTTCTTCAGGATTATCTAAGGCGTTCGGGAGTAAGCATTTACCCAAAGAACCATTAGATCCTCATTTAAATCTATGGGTATTTACCCCCTAGATCCAGAGGTTATTCTTGGTCCTTTACGTTAAAAGGGCCTCGAATCAGAAGGGTCCCCCCTTAGGATTTTTACCCCATCACCCCCTCCCGATATATCAAGTTCAGTCACAAACTCGCCGCCAGATACAATTCAGCGGGTTAATAAGCTTAATACTAAGCTTATCAATGACCTCGAATAAATCGAACACCTTTCTCAGCGCATGAAACGACATATCTAACGAAGCATGGAAGTAAATACCCTCTTATCCTAAGAACTAGATCTCACCAAAGAGAGTTTAAGAAGTCTTAACCCCACAAATCGGAAGGAAATATAAACCAAGGAATGGGAAATCGATTCTTGGTACTCGAAACTCCATACTATCACCTATATGCGCAAATAGGTTGATGGTAAAAAGGCAGGATACTAATTCTAAGAAATTAATTCGGCTACAAGCAAAATAAGCCAAGCTTTTGGAAATGCAAGCCCAGGCTCAATTAGAGAGGGATTTAGCTGAGGCTGAGCATCAAGCTTCAATGGTGGCAAGAGAAAGTAATGGTGCAAATTGGTATATTGATACTAAGGGCGGTTACCTGTAAATAGTGGTTTTCTTGGTTGAATAGATTGAAAAATTGAATCTGGTGAAAAGATTGAATCTAGTGGGGCGCACCAATACACCACACGGTGTATTGGGCGCTTGGCACGATTATATTACCACTTTCAATATTTTAATATATATTTTATATGTTCTACCTTTGAATTTCTCTTCACTACATACCTTGCCCGGCTTTCTAGGTCTTTTACCCGCCTAGCTCACATATATCATGGCCCGACACTGTCACTCCGCTCTGCTAACGTTCCTCGGTATAGCACGCGTGTCCTTTGTGAACCATGCAAAACAATCACTACTACCGGTGGTAACCTTTGGCTTGATTATTAACGCTCATGTTTTATCCGCGGAAAGAGAATCAGCGGGCGGAAGCGACTCTAAGAATTGTATCGACTAATATACTAAGATTGTATTTCAACAAAGTTGGTCGCTGGGCATTTCGGGGATCCTATTGGGCACCCCGCAACCCCGCACACGGTGTGCACGGACTTAGGTTAAGTTCTTGCTCTGGTTGGGGCTTATGAACATCTTGGGCCCTCATCTTTAAACATATTCAGTCCATATCTCACCGAGAAGTCCTTTTACAATCCTTGATTATCTATTCAGCCATGAAGAGACGTCAAAATCACTCCTGCGAGCAGTGCAGGAAAGCCAAGAAAGCCTGTGATGGATATCTCCAAAATAGCGGCAATGCCGTGTTCATGGAAGCTGAATTGCTTCATCTCGGAATCCAGGGTGGTGCGTTTCACGCTTCTCTGACAGCCCCATCAATTCCTTCCGGTGTTCCCACGCAAATCTAAACAGCTGGCTAAGACTCAACTCAAAGATTTAGGCCTGATCTCTCCATGTTCGTACTGCATCAAGACAAACAAAATCTGCGGTCTAAACCCTCACTGGGGCCAAGGTCATCATTCAACGGACGGGCAGAGCTTTTCGCGCTCTGAAAACATTGGACTGGATGAACGACGCCGGGACAAAAGGCAGCGAATTCATTTACCAGAGAATGAGATCGAGACGTCAGTAACACCCATTTCTATGATGACTTGCCAAAATTCATCCAAAGAGACTTTACATGTGCCTCTCCCAGAAAATAGCGTGGTTGGTTGGGATGCGATATCTGCGCCTGTTGCCTCTCTTCCTATTGGCCATCCAAACCTCGTCGGGGCTCTTGCAGGATACGAGAATTGTTCGCACCCTGGGGACTCTAGACAAGTGAACGACATAGCTATATCTGACGATCAGCACGTGGATCGGCTCGAATATAACAGTTTGGATAGCCTCATGGAGTTAGAAACGGCCGGTTCCGTCTCTGACGATTCTCGCCACTTCGACTTTAATTCACATAGCGTCATTCCTGATACCTCCCAAACGTCTTTGTACAATCACAATAATCCCGCTGGCTCCATATCTTCGGAGTGGGACGAGACGGACCAAAGCGAACTGTGGAGATGGCAAAAAAGACGGAAAGATTTCAGCAACTCGCAAGACTACTTTCTCGTGCCACTATCTTTATTTGGTGCAGGCCATATTGCTATGGAAAATTCTAACAGATTACTCATATCTGAGAGCCTTCTGCAAATCTACCATGATGTTCTAGAGAACAACCTCAGTTGCTGGTTGGCAGAAGATACGTGCCCATACAAGATGCAACAGAGGCGGCACGAGCACCTCTCCATCCGCCAGAGTAGGATTTTAGGAGGGCAAATAACGCCTGAATGGGGCGTATCATGGTCAAACCGCATGTACCATCGTATCAAACAGCTTGACCGATCTGCTCAGTTGACAAAGCTGATTCATCTCACTGCATCTGAAAATCGAGCTGCTTCTAAGGCCCTCGAGTTATCCATCATGACGTTTGCCACGCAGTGGGCCCAGGGGGGACGGCGCTGGGATGGTCACTGGCTGGTAAATAAAGAGGAAGGACTACACGATGAATTTGGGCAAACTCTGCATCGATCCGTTTGGGAATGTGCAAACCAGGCGCTTCAAGATGTCTCCGAGGTGGAGTGCTTTAGGGTGGTTTTCGCTGAGCTGATTTTCGGTCTTATACAGAAGCCGTCGTCGAACAACTATTCCGATGCACGTACAAAGGAGAGGCAAACCACTGCAGATCTGAACTCAACGTTTTCACGGGTCATGAACATCATTGATCAGGCGGGACCGCCCGTGTTTATGGAGCGAGGGGCTCGCAAAATACATGCGCTCAAACACCGATTCAAAGCGCGCCAGGCAGGCTTTCACAGCCTCGAAATAGAGGAGCAGGTGTCTCATGAGTTCAGCACGGAAGAGACCCGGACGGTCGGCCTCTTGTACTGGCTTGCAATCATGTTTGACACGGTCTCTTCATCTATGAATGAGCGGCCCGTCGTTGTTTCCGATGAAGAATGTCAACACGAAGCTGCACAGAAAGCAGTTCAAAATCATATTCAGAGCCAGATCTCTAGTAGTCGATGGGAACTTGACCTCTACGCCCAGGAGGATTCGGAGAAGCCATTAGCCCTGCGTTGGCCTTTGCCGTACGAGGTTGTGACCAGAGCCGTTTCCAGATCAGCAGCTGTCAAGGTGCTTCTCTTCCGCTACATCTCATATCTTCAGAAATCATTGAGAAATTCCGAGCGCAGCCAAGCCGTGGAAGAGATTATTCAACACACGTTAACTGTGTATCGCTACTGGTTGAAGACACACGGGGCTTTATTCCGTGACCTGATGGGGCACTACGATTCAGTCCCTCCGCGGATTAAGAGCTGGTTTCCTTGTATTGGTATCCCCTGGCATCTTGGCTCACTCATGCTTGCCGACCTGATTGAGTTCGTGGATATGCACAGACTTGGTTGCAAAAACGCCATGGTAGAGCGTCAAAACACCTGCCTGGTAATGAAAATCCGGAAAGAAAGCTCAATCGACCTAGCAGATCTTGCAGTTGTCCTAACGCCTCGGCCTTTTGGGGGGCTTGGGTTAAACCAACTGCCGGGGTTTCACTTCGCAGTCAATGAAAGCCCACTTTTGACTGAACCCTGGACGGTGCTTCTCGTTAGGGCGTTTTCAAAAGCTTCAATATTTCACTTGAAGGAAACAGAAAAGCTACAGAAGTATCAACGTTTCGTCTTTGATCATGAGAGTAGGGCGCTTCAGGCGAGCATTACACGACTCGAGAACTGTGTTATAGCACTCCGATTCCTGGGTGCTAAGTCGGGGATGGCTGAGGCTATTTCCATAGTACTATCCGAATCGTTGAATAAGTGCCGAAATTAATTTTTTGACAAGCTAAGACCACCTCTTTTAAATCTAATAGGATACTGAACACTGCTTGATTTCCGTGATGAAAAAAGGATTCATGGATATCTTTAGTAATTCCCCCATGGAGCTTCGTCCGTAAGGTCTTGGCGATCGGCTCCGCGCGATCGGCACCGAATTGCCAGTCGGCTCCGCTGGGTATACGGAGAAGATCAGCCTGCAGTCGGGGTTTACCATATACCCAATATGGTAGGCAAATTAAACTAAAGGTTTTGAAAGATGTAATCCAGTATGTGTAATGTTTGATTCCGTATACTATTACGGAGTATACAGCTACAGAAATACCTAGGGAAAATCGGCAAGGCTTTCAGTTTTGGTACCTTTGTTACATACGAACACTGCATACGGAGTATATGGTAACCAGCTTTATTTGTCACTGATAGGAGGGTAAATCACAAATAATACATCCCCGAGGCACCCCTATATCATTTGACACTGGTCTTTCACTGAATATCCACTCCCTGGGTCCCATTTCGAACCCCTTGTACACACCAATTTTGCGATCCGAGTGTATTATGATATCTTCTTAAGCTGCGACAATCCCGGGATATGACTAGAGAGATCACCCACAGGAAGCCGCAGGGGAAAGTCCACGGATTCAAGCAACAAAGACAAGAGTAAATACCATCCACCGAGACATGCTGCGAATAGTATAGCCCCTCCGCCCTGAAAAGATTGATTGCTTTAATAACGAGACATCGACAAACAACTTAAGAGAACTCACCACTTGGAGCTTTCCAGCAAGTACTGTCTCTTTCATGGCCAAGTACCAGTAGTCCGCGATAATGAAGCCAACACCAACGACGACGGTGAAAAGGATATAGACAAGGACAAAATTGGTGCGGAAGGAGCATATCAAGTAGAAAAAGCATAAGATATTGAAACAAACTAAGAAAAATCCTGCAACGTTTATTTGATTAGACTCTTGTTCACGCTTCGCTTCAAAAGAAAAAAAGCAAGGTCGGAAAAACGAGTGAGTTGACGAACCAAAGCTGGCATTGAAACCCTCCGACGCGAGCCCTGCAGTGGGATCACTGGGCGACGGTGAATAGGGTGCATATGCACTATAAAAGGGCTGTATAGTCGCAGCGAGGGTAAGGTAAAAGCATGCTGAATCATTGCCATTAGTAATTGTTGACACATAGCTGAAAACGACCATGATCGCAATACCACTTACCGAAGGACATGAACACCACGGACGAAAAGGTGTTACCTATGATACACTCTAGAAACCCGCCAACAAGTAACAGAATACCTCCGAAAAAGATGTATCCTCCACTTTACGAATAGCCAGTTAGTCTGCACACCCCGAATATGAACTTAGACTGATGCCAACTACTGACATATGAGCAGCCCCATTATTACCAGCTCCTCTCCAGCCCATCAGGCAAAAGCATAGAGGGGTCAAGGCCATGACGAAGCCGGTGATAGCTCTAAGCTGGTGTCAGTCGTTTCCTAGCAGAGGTAATCCAAACACGGCTATCATACATCGGGGTTGGATTGCCAATCATACTCCGAAGGTTCCCAGCAACTGGAGTTTTGGGATTCAAGTAAAGCTTCTCAAAGAGTTCCGGGGATATCATGATGCTCCCTGTAGATCTGGTCCTCTCAAAAGCAGGAGGAGATGTAATATCTCCAAATTCCGCATGCTGAACGTCGTCAGCGAAGTTGGATATGCCATCACCTTTGCTCGCATCGAAGGATTGAGTCATCTTGGCGAAAATAGAAGGGGGTGAAAATAGAAGGGAAGATAAAGATGGAATTCGAAAGCACCTTCAAATGATCTCCGGGCAATATATAGCTTGCCAATTCCTTTGCTGACCATTCTGGGGTAATACCGAACGTCTGTGCACGAATAATATCTCGCCAATGAATGTAATCCAGCTACTCATGGCTAGTGAGTCCCAGAAATGAGCCAACAGTCATGTCCAAAACGGTATTTCAGATGTTGTAGATCTATGTCACCGTGTAAGCTATTGAGTCGGACGGATGGAGAAGGATCCAGGAGCTCCTACGAATCAAATAGCTTCTGAACTTACGGACGCCGTACTCCGTATTATTAACCCCGTATTATGGACCCCGCATAAAAAATGGCTATCTATCGGAAGAGCGGATGCGCTGCAAGACTGGAACCGAATCTGGAAGCAAAAGGTTGATCATCTGATCTGGGGCCCCGTAAAAGCAAAATGCTAAGCCAAGTTGTGGGTACAGCCTTGCCTCCTGTCAATTGAACTAGTCATTCTACCTAGGCGTGAGTCGATCTAGGTCGGAGCCGCTCCGCGAGACCCACCACCGAAACTAGGTTATTCCATGTCCACATCAAACAGCTGGATTGGCTTGTGAGAAAGATATAAATCTTATCGAGCATCCCCTTTTCCTAATACTCATAGAATCCAAAGGGAACTCACTCTATCCAACACAAGATTTCTTTCTCGGTCCTTTCACAATGGCCACCCCAGATATCCAGCAGAATATTCCCTCGCACATCCGTGGAGTGCCTGGCTCAGTCAATATACCAGTAGCACGCTTCCCAGTGCCATCGAAAACTGCCATCGGTGATCCAGAGCATATTGCATCGAAGCTTGTCAACGCTTTCAACCTTGCATTGGCCAAACGCGACTTTGTCAACATCGCGAGCTTATTTGGGGACAACGGTTTCTGGCGCGACCATCTAGCTCTATCGTGGCAGCTTCGAACGGTGCAAGGCCATGAACCTATCGTGAAATTCCTTGAGAAATGTTCAGAGTCCAGGGACGGCATGCGACTCCAGGAAATCTCTATTGACAGGAGCACCCCCATTCGCGCTCCTAAAGTGTGTGCACTTGACGGAGCTGGCGAAGTTCAAGGCATCCAATTTTTCTTCACCGCGCAGACGGCTCATGGTTCTGCAGTCGGAATCGCCCGCCTCGCACTGCAGAACGATACCTGGAAGATTTTCACCTTATATACTGGCCTTACGGAGCTCAAGGGCCATGAGGAGCTTCTTGGACATCGGAGACCCAAGGGTGCGGAACATGGTGGTAACCCAGATCGCAAGAATTGGGCGGAAAAAAGAGCCGATTCTGCTGCCTACGCCGACGGTCATGAGCCGAGTGTACTCATTATCGGTAAGTTCCTATCTAATGGTTTTCAAGAAACCCCCGCTAATCCTTATTTCAAAGGCGCCGGACAGGGTGGTTTGACCGCGGCTGCGAGATTGAAGATGCTAGGAGTAGACTCCCTTATTATCGATAAAAACGAGTCAGTCGGAGATAACTGGCGACAGCGGTATCGTCAGCTCGTTCTACACGATCCAGTATGGTACGATCATATGCCTTACATGGAGTTTCCAGCAACTTGGCCTATCTTTACGCCGAAGGATAAGCTGGCTGAATTTTTTGAATGCTACGTCAAGATGTTAGAACTCAATGTTTGGAACAGGACGACTATCACCCGGTGCGAATGGGACGAGAAAAATGCCAACTGGATCGTGAACGTCTCGTGCCAACAGAAGGACGGAACCACTGAAGTGAGAAGCTTCCGCCCCCGTCATATTATTCAAGCGACCGGCCATTCTGGAAAGATGAAAATGCCTCAAGTCCCTGGCATGGAAAACTTCCAGGGTGAACTTCTTTGTCACTCCTCACAATTCCCAGGTGCCCAGAAAAATAGCCATGGTAAAAAGGCTATCGTTGTGGGTTCGTGTAATTCGGCCCACGATATCGCACAAGATTACCAGGAGAGGGGCTACCATATTACTATGGTCCAGAGATCAACAACATGCATTATTTCCTCGGATGCTATCAGGAAAATTGGTCTAAGGGGCCTTTACGAAGAGGATGGTCCGCCAGTGGCAGATGCCGATCTCCTTCTCCATGGCACTCCTACGCCAGTCTTGAAAGCCCTCCAAATTCATATCACTTCACAAGAGGCAGAGCACGATAAGGAGCTTCTGGATGGGCTTGCAAGAGCCGGGTTCAAGGTTGATCGTGGTCCCAATGGCGGCGGACTATTCATCAAATATTTCCAGCGCGGTGGTGGCTACTACATTGATGTCGGAGCCTCCCAAATGATCGTGGATGGGAAGATCAAGGTGAAGCAAGGTCAGGAAATTGCTGAAGTTCTGCCTCGAGGGATGAAATTTGCCGATGGTTCTGAGCTAGAAGCTGACGAAATTGTCTTCGCTACTGGATACGACAATATGCGCTCGGAAACAAGAAATATCCTGGGCGACAAGATTGCTGATAAGGTATCTGATGTTTGGGGTTACAATAATGAAGGAGAAATCAGGACCATGTGGCAGGACAGTGGACACCAGGGGTTCTACTTTCATGGAGGCAACCTGGCAACTGCCAGATACTATTCTAAGATTCTGGCACTCCAGATCAAAGCTCTTGAGGAAGGTCTCTATCGTTATGGTGAATTCTAAGTGGATGAGTCCACGGATTATGTATATAGGGAGAGGAGTACTTGCTTATTGATCAGAATCACATACCTATGTTTTCAACATCATCTACATAAACAAAGAAACACTATAGAAGAGGGAAAGGGCTTATAAAAAGGCCAGATGCATGGCCACATCAATCTTAAAGCCATGAGATAACGGTCGACTCGCTAGACGGTGTATGAACTTCACCTTCGGGGGTAGAAAAGTCGAGACTATACTACTTTACTTTATATCCTCATTACAGCGCCCTTCCTAGCCTATATCCAGTTACATAGTAACACATAATTTTATTGTATAAAATAATTAGGGTATCATTTGGAACATAACGAAAGCGCCACGGGATCTGAGATCCACATCACTCACGACCATTTCTAGTCTATAATATAGTGAAGTCAGCTGCTACTCAATCCGAGTGAAAGATAAGACAGAATACGACAATCTTACCTGCCTAAGAGCCATTCTCCTCCCCGAAGCTCGCCTCTTCCACCCTTTCATACCGATAGTTATGAAAATAACTCCATTCCAAAACCCACGCAGAGACCCCAACGTACTCACCGAGAGCAGAAGTGAGTAATTTCCATGCTTGTGATGCACGAATTCCGCGATACGGTTAGTGGTAGGTGCAATCCATGTTGCTAACATCGCAAGAAAGAAAAGCGATGGCATGATCACGTATTGCCTCAGCGACACACGTCTTGGTTTCGAAGCTTGATAAGTTGCCGAAAGTTTGTTGGATGCAGATGGACGCTGGAACGTACTTTGTTCCGTGGTATTACTTGTTATAGTAGATTCTGGGGTGAGATCGGGTTTTCTCTGAGAATTCGCTTGAATAGTTGTCGTCGTGACGCTGCTGGCAGAATTGCCAGATGTTAGAGCAATACGGTCGTCCTCGCTCAATTTGAACTCGTCGCGGACTCTGGTTATCTCGATACCGATGAGACAATATAGTATTAGAACGATGACTATTATCAGCCTGTTGCGTAACCATTAGAAGAGTCCAGTAGTTGAGCTGGCGAATAGAAGTATACGCACCATACGGGAGCATAGTAAAATATTATGCGGAGGATCATCCAATTGCGAGATATTGAGCACCAGATCTATTAATGTTTGATTAGCCCCAAGATATGTTTAGTTTTAAGTCGAGTAAAAGAATACTCACGGTTTCGTCACCATATATAGGACCTTTCTCATGCCCGTGGATAAATAGGAAGACAAAAGCAGGGATAAATGAGATAGTAGTAATAGCACCAATATATTTGACTTCGAGCTTGCGCAAAGATTGAGTGTCATAATGATAGAAGACAACCAGGTATGTATCCAAAGCCATTGCGAATGTCCATAGCACGTCAGCTACTGGAAACCTAATTATTTTAGTCAGTATTCATTGTCTTGCAGCAAACATTGCTTGGATGGTTCTCTGCTAATACCAAGAACATACATCTGAAGCGCAAAGCCTTGGAATTGACATAGAGATGAAGTATCTCCAGCTGCTGGTCCACCAGTGGATATCATCGTAGCGACAGAGTCGAACAGATTATAGAAGGCATTGAAAAATATTATACGATGGATAGGACTCCTGAAGTGCCGGGAAAGAGTGAATGCGCCAATTATTGTGAATGAACCCAGAATAGAGAGAACCGAAGACACTCGCCCCGCAATAGCGATACCCCTGAGCTCCTCGGGAGAGTGCGACATAGCGATCTCAGACCATAACGAGATAGATAGTTGCAAGAATTGCCAACGTCCATCTTTTTGAAGAAATCACCAAGATAGAGTTTGCGATATCACGTTGCGCCGATGAGTATTCTTTGGCCCGAATGACGTGATTTTACACATTTGAAGAGCTTCGGAGAATGATGAATTGCATGTATATCAAAAGATTAACAATCACATTACAAAAGCTATCTAGCAAAATCGCGCTATTTCAGGAGCTTTTGGTCCTAAATAACCTCATCGCTCTTACTAATGGCGACGAAGCTTTACGCCTAGAACAATGTGATAGCTCAGACCCTGCATTTTCAGCCAATCATGATCGATTTTACGAGAGTTAAGCACGTTATGCGCCATATAAATAAGTCAATTGTGAGCTAACCTTCCCTGGATTTAAACCAAACAACGCCCTTACCGCGGGTCTGGATGATTTTCCATCTCTGGAAGTAGTATGCAGCAGTTTGCACAATAGAAGCAGCCTTAAATATTATAGATATATTGAACTATAGCTCCATTCACCGTGAGAGATATGATAACGGATACCGAAATGTGTGGCTGTGACCGTTTCCCCTTTTCATCCGATCGGGATCTTAGACCCACTAGGGATTTCAGGGACCGCCAGCCTAATAGCGCCTCAGTTCTAGTATACTTCTCTTGCCAAAAACATGCACTGTGAGATGTCAACTTCAAGATTTCCTTTCACATTCCTCAATCCTACAATGCGAGAATACTAGCTTATTTACCAACATGTCCCATTTTTCAACTAGATATCTGACAAGATAGTAGGGTCTGGGATCTCGATTCAGACTCATGGCTAGTAGGTCAATTTCAAATTATAAGCACACAGTTATGAAGTTTAATGTGCAATCTAACAAGCATTGTAGGAAAAACAGGTTTATCTATCCCTTTGGTAATAATGCATATATATTAGATACCAGGTCGGTTTTTCGAGTGTTTGGTATATGCGACCATATACAGCCTCTTTGTCTTCTGATTGTACTTCATCCATATCTTTCGCTCTAGTTCAGCTTGTTTTTTTCCCCTTTGTTTAATTTGATTGCTTTTTTTTCCTTCCCTCTTTTTGATGATTTGTGTGGATTCTATCATAATCCTCTAGGCTTGGAGGGTGTTCTGACCATCTGTTTTGACCAACCTTTATTCTTCCTTCTTTCTCTATATATTAGCTATAGCACACATTTCTAGCTATATGTATAGATATCATTTTTACCTATATGAGAAGAGAATGGCATGAATGTCTATACTATAGAAACGGCAGACAAGCTCGAGACAAACTGAGAGCTGGGAATAAGCCAGAATTTCCGTCTCGCAGTGGTGTTGGATGCGTACTATTGGGAAGGTGTTGGAATTACCTTACCTTTCCCTCACTACTCCTTTATCTACGTCAACCTCAAACGATCCTCTTCCATCATCGCTTTTACCTACGGTTCTAGGTCTGTGCCTGCTACCGAGGCAGTTTTCTCCATCCCTGTCCGTGGTGTTCCTAGTGCGCTTTGGGTATGACCACACTCTCTCTGTGCGTAGCCACCATGCATCGGTAGATGCCCAGCAATGGGCTCTGACATCGAAGCCATCCATTGACCTTTGCAAAAACCCCCACAAGCGGATTCACTCCACACATTCCATCGCCCTCGTTCACACATCTTCCCATCTTCTTTCTACATTATCCTGAATAATCGGAACGACAGGGTCTGGCAGAGAAACGGCTTCGCCGCGAGGAGACACAGGAAGGCTATTGGGTTATACAATAAGAGCCTACGTTAACCTAAATGGAGGATTGTTTTTTTTTTTTCTTTTTTTACAATGCATGTGCGGGATCCTGTCTCGTTGCCGCATTTCGCACGGGTTATCATGATTTCCGTCTCTGAACGGTGGTCTGCAATAGTCTCGGTTACCTCGACGCCACTATCTTCAAGGTTATTGGGCATGTGGCCAGATTAACCCAAGTCATTGCCTAACCACTTCAACACTACTGTCTCAGCTGCAGATGCATTGATGGGCAAATTCGCGGACATAACGGATGACTGTGACGGTATCAACGTAGTCTCACAGGCCGCGTACAACTCATTGAGAACCAGAGACGCGTCTATCGCCTCGGCTAACGCGAGGAGTAGCATGCGTGGCTGCTCTTTATGGACCACACCATTCAGCGGTATATGGAGTTTAATAACACGGCTAAGGTCCTCCCCCAGATCGCCGCCTAATACCGCCCGTACCTCGAGCGATAGGTCCCCGAGTCCACCGAAGACCGTGACGCGACCATTAAGTAACTCGCTAACCAGCTGCTGAGCCATATGCTTGGCGTCGGCCCGGACTGTGCGGATCGGCTGACCATAGACGACTACAGAGACCTCGGGCTGAAAGGTAAGAGTAAGACCGGCCGGCTGTACTCCCTACGTGGCTCCTCTAAACGGATGTCGAGCGATGCCACTGCCTAGGGCCCCGCGGGCCATAAGCGTGTCGCCGCCACCTACCTCCACTCTCTAGCGTCGTCATCGACCCCGGATCACTCCCCTACAGCTAAGCGGATCGCTAAGTTCGGTGGAGACGGCGTGGAGGACGAGGGTTACGTGACTGCTTAGCGCGGCGGCCTCTATTTGTGCAGCGGGCGTGCGGTTCACGATCATTCTCTAGGCGGATGTCTTTAGTTTTTCTTATTCCCACACATGGATTGATCTATTGATCTCCGGCGAGAGCTAGTTTCGCTCGCCTTTTCTTCCTATGGCAAGGCATCTATTAGCCCTTTGATAGTTAAATTCTAAAAAACTGGCTTTTTAGCCTATATAGCTTATTTTACATTATGCGTATGTAGTAGAATATAGGAATATTCTAGTGTAGGTGTAATTAAGGATCCTAAAAGGGGAGACTGTATAGTTTTTTTTAGTAGTTTCTGACCGCGGTCAGAATATGACATGTATGCGGGTAGGGAGACATTAGAGTCTTTTAGTAGTTTCTGACCACGCTCAAAATCATCCGCATTTACCATGAAGTCAACACGGCCCGCGCTGAGCACAATTCTAGGATCGCCACCTTGAGTGCTCGCCTTCAACGCAACGGCATCATCGTCAACTTTGTACTCTCCTTGTTCTTATCTTCGGTACTCTTGGTGAGTCAAGTATTTCCCCCCTAGTTGTATCAAGACCAGCCCAGCTAATAAACACGTAGCATTATTTGCGCTCTCTCCAAGGAATTTTTCTGAGCTCGATACTTCAAAGGCCGTTGTTAAACCAATTTTTCTCAAAAAAACTGCTCGCTCGTGTAGAAAGTGTCACGAACCTCATGACCCGCCTCGCCATCTCTCAATCGATTCAGTGCAATCCCTAAAATACGGTGTCACTTTATCCTTATGCTTAACAGCTTATTCGGTAAGTGGTTCGGTCTTCAAATGTTGGGATGTTGAATTATGTCTAAACACTTCCAATCTTGTCCGGCAATAACTGAACACACTTAACAGTAAACTCACATAATGAAACCAAATATGAAGGGATCTTCCATCAAAACTTGATTTGATACATTTATTTGATATTAATCGAGATAATACACTAGATTTCCAAGTGCAACCATCCGGGTAGCCCCCTATATCATATAAATAACCGAAATACGACCAAGTAAATCCTTCAGATCAAGTCTCCTCGGACCCAAATAAAGCAGATTATCTCGAACTGGTGACATCAACGCCGTCATACAGAATGCCAAATTCATCAAGAAGATTTGTTGCAGCGGTTTCACCCGTCTTGAAAGCACCATGCACGCAACCATTCCCAACGAGAGTACAATGTTCACCGGCGAACTGCAAGCGACTGGATTTGTGGTTTTCTAACGCATCAACCAGCAGCTGGGGGTCATCTCCAACCTTGTCGGCGGAGTAGGTTCCATACCCGGCCAGCGGGTCCTGGGTCCAATGTGTTGTTTCAACATTGATCAGGCCAGGCAGAGCCTTGTAGGGTTCTGTACGGAATAGTTTGAAAAGTGGTTCAAAAAATAGGTATATCTCCTTTGGATCTTGCATGTTCTCGATGCGTTGTGTCAGAGGCTCGGCAATCTGTACGCACAGTTCTTTGCTCCCCGTCATAATCCATAGGTTGATTGTCACGGTAGCGTAGTTGAGGATATTATCCTTCTCTCCGATGGAATTTATACTGGGGGTGGATTGCACAGACGACCCGGATGAAGTATCCGATTCCTCTGGCGGAGATGGGTAGAAGACAAACTGGTCGTTTTCCTTTGACCAGAAGACTTCGTCGAACTCGAAAAACACTTTGCCCAAGGCGCCGTAGCTGAACCTAGACATTCCCTCTTGGATATCACTCGGCAAGGGTGGATTGAATGAGATGAGGTTGTGGTGGTAGACTCCCAGTGGGCTAGTCATGATAACTGCGTCTCCTGCAATAAACCCTATTTCTCCGGCAGCATTCCTGTACTGAATTCGAGCTGGCGTGGCCCCGTCTTCATTCCATTCTACCTCCTCGACATGGTGGTTGAGTCTGATGATGCCATCGCTTCGGAGAGTCTCCGCAGCCCAGTTCACGATCCGATCATACCCACCCTTCATATATAGATTGCGCTCGGTGATGAAATAAGAGAGATGCTTGGACGATGCTTGGTCCGTACTAGTGCCGATCCACAGTTCTACCTCGCGGACAGCCTGTGGGGCCCAATCACGCTCATCTTCGGTGATGAGCTGATGTTGGAGGACGAACTCTTTCGCGAATTCGTGGACAGGGCGGTCCTCAGCCTCCGGGTTAGTTTCGTAAAACCACTCGCAGTAATCTGCGAACTCGTCTGCGACTTTCTTGGCTTTGAACTGGGATCCAGCCCGGCCTTCTCTAGTGAAGTACAGAGGTACGCCATCGTCATAATAATATGGGATAGATAGCTGGGGAATGAGTTTCACCAGGCTGTTCTGGGAAGTTTCATGCATCCAAGCGGCGCCTATTGACTATCAGCACATTTTCTTTACTCTCTCTCTCCTGCTTGAATATCTATGTCAGGCTCTTATCGTTATCATACCAATATCTCGGACATGGTCACCCTTTCGGGTGGTCAGGATTCTTCCACCAATGCGATCGCGTGCTTCTAATACCACCACTTCACAACCGTGGCGGTGCAGGACAGCCGCGGCATGTAGGCCAGAAACGCCAGCGCCCACCACAATCACCTTCTTGCGCTCCGACCTCGCTGCGTGTGTTCCCTCGATCAACTCCTTTGGAGTGTCGAGCGCAACCAGGTCGGAGCAACAATTACTAGGTTTTATAGGACTAATGCCCGTGATGGGAGAAGAAAGGTGGAAAGATTGAGCCATTCTGAGTTGACAAGTTGACATTCGAGTTTGAAAATTCGGAGTATTGGATTAAACAAGGATTATGTTGAATGGAAGTTGAGGGGGTTTAGGTTGTGTTATCGCAGTGCATAGTGATCACTAGGGACTTTGGTCTTATTGGCTTTTATTGCCAGCAGAAATTTGGCTACCTACATCAATGGGGTGATTTTTTAAGATATTATAGGGTAATAATTAATTGAGCAAGTTGAGTCACATGGATATATATGGAAAGGGAATTTTTGTAGAAATTGCGAACTGGTTCGGGGGTTTTATAGAGATCCCAAATCACATCTTAGAAAAGATATTAAAAGGCCAACATAGTGAATCCTAATTATGACCGTCTATATTATCTCAAATCACGTTAGTATCCGCATTGTCAGGTCCTGTATCGTTAAATAAAGAGGGCATATAAGCGGGCTATTACTGTTTCTATATGAATGCCTAACCCACTATAGATCAAGTGCTGTATAGAAACTCCTTATCAGATACAAAGTATAAAACCCGCTTTTAAGGCGGAGATTCAAGCGGTGAATCCTAAAAGCGAATAGGACCAAAGTCCCTAGTGGTCGCTATGCGAGGCTGTGAGGGGAAAATTGCGTATTTTGTCGCACATTTTATTGACATGAATACAGCATTCTACTACATCATAGCAAAAACTAAGGTATACTTACCCTGGTAGGGAGACTATATTCTCTGCTGCACTTTACTGTTTCCAAATCGGACCAGACCCGCATCCTTGCCCGCATGTGCCCGCATGTGCCCGCATCGACCTACAAATCAGCTGTGAGATTTGGCGCGGATTGCCCAGCGTTGCCCAGGTCAGGTGAGCCCCGAATAGCGTCCAATCAGACCAACTATGTAGATAGCCTGCCTCTCCTGGAATTCACCGACGGATTGATCAATGGCAGCTTTCCAGAACGGATCCCGGATTAACGTTGCAGCTTGTCGGTTACACGTTTTGAGAAGAGAAAGGTCAAAAAGCGCATATCTTGTTCATTTAGCTCAACAATCAAAATGAAGCGTATCGGAAAGAAAGCAAGAAAACAGGGAGAAAGGCAAAAGGCAAAAACATTCCAATGCGGGTGGGAGGGGCGTGTGACTCGAAGCTGCCAAGCACTTGATCCTGTACGAATCTCTACTTCAACAGTTTTTACATCATTATGTAGTAGACATCTAAAAATCATGTTCTTCGACTTATAGAACAGGTACCACCTTGGAGCCAACGCGAATCATCACAGTTTGATATGCCTGCCCTACAAAAGCGAGATAATATGAGAAAGAAATGCTACCCTGAATAAAGTCTCTTTCAAATCCTATTCAAGGATCTATCACGAGTTCATGGTCTGCAAAAACCTTACACCGTACCTCCCTTTACCTCCCTTGATGGATTCGGATTCTCCACCGGATGTCCTCGGCCACTCGACCAGGTCCTAAATCGACCTATCTAGTCATTCAACCCCTTGGTCGATGTTGGCGTAGGGGCAACCCAGAGTAAACCATGACGTCTTCCAGAAGCAAAGTTCCCAGCCTTGTGTAGCATAACGCCTCAGGAGGGATTCCAAGCAAGCTTAAGATGAACAAAATAAAAGGTTGTAAAAAACATAGCATAGATAAAGGCCTCGGGAGATTGGCCATTTAAGATAACACTTTTATGCAGCGCCTTGAACCCTCTTTGCTGCGTTAAACTGTGAACTAGATAAAGATTATAGATGGGCCGCTTCTAGAAGTTTGGTCAATTTAATCGCGCCGTGCGAGGATGCCGAACCGACGGGATCCGTACTGTTGTGTTGTTCCGAAGTCTCAAATTTTCACCCAAGGTATACACCCGATCTCTTCCCAAAACGCATCACATAAGGTCTAGACCTGCTATATAGGAGGGAAAGGTGAAAATATTGAGCTATTATAAGTTGACAAGTTGCCGGGTTTGAAGTGCATTATGAGTTGACATGCCGAGTTTGGAGTGAGTGATTAAGCCACCAGGAAGGGGATTGGGGCGGGCTATAATGAGCCGGTAGACACGGGAACTGTGGGGGAATTGTCCGGGAACTGGAGTTGAAGCTGTAATCGTATCTCATACATTAATTCAAATGGTTGTGATTATGGAGAGATGAAGTTCTAGGTTTCGGCGGAATCCGTGGGCAAATGCTTAGCCTCTGCTTATCTGCCCCACATGGAAATAGAAAATTCTTCACAATTTTCACTTTCTTTTTTCCCCATTCTCATAGAGAGAACTGACACCCTCTCTGTAAAAATGTCTCCATGACTGGCTTCCCAGGTCGGGTACTTATCAGATTCCGATTTTGAATTTTGAAATGGAGGACCTACTACTCAATGGCACCGAGCGCATCTGCGTTGACGGGGATGTCAAATTAATTCCCACGCCCACCAATTCTCCAAATGATCCAATGAACTGGAGCACCTGGAGACGGTACTGGCATTCATTTTTGGTCCTTGTATTTGTCGCTCTGACCGCGGCAACCGCCAACGATGCCGGCAACGCTGGCAACGGCATGAACGCTGAACTGGGTATCACGTGGAACCAGATCAATACTGCCGCAGGCGTCTTGTTTGTCGGCATTGGATATACCACATTGCTCCTCGGCCCAGCCCCTTTCTTGTATGGAAGACGAATCTCCTATCTGATTTGTCTGATATTTTCCATCGTTGGCGCCATCGGGCTTGCCCGCACCCAAAATGTTGGAGACAACATCTGGAGCCAACTTTTCGTGGGCGCCTCTGAATCCTGCGCGGAGGCACTTGCCCAGCTGTCTCTTTCAGATCTGTTCTTTCAGCATCAAAGAGGTCTGGTACTCGGATTATATATTCTTGCCACGAGTGTCGGTACATTCATGGGGCCCATGATCTCTAGCTTTATCACCAACTCTCCCCTGGGATGGAGATGGGTAGGCTGGCTTGCTGCCATCATATCCGGGGGCTTGATCTTCGTCTTTTATTTCACATTGGAAGAAACATTCTTCGATCGCAACAACCCTATTCATGGACATGATGCCCCTGCTAGCAAGACTGAGGGCACATCCAAGGACACCTTAGATAAAAAAGACAACCCGATCGCGAGCGTGCAGCCGATACCCTCCGACAGTGGACTCGACGAAGAATGCGGGCGAGAAAAAGGAAAGACATATTTCCAGCGTATCGCCCTAATCACCCCATCGCCAACCCTGGTCGGGACGGGCTTCAAGCAGTATTTCCGTCGCCTGTTGCACACACTGCGCGTCTTCACCTTTCCGGCAGTCATCTACTCGGGTCTTCAATGGGGCGCCCAAGACGCCTGGCTGACCTTCTACCTCACCGTTGAAGCGGACAATTGGTATGGGCCACCATGGAACTACACCGACGCCGCAGTGGGTATCATGAACGTGCCGACGCTGATTGGGTCGGTCCTCGGCTGCATTTACGGTGGATGGTTCTCCGACTTCTTCGTGATGTGGATGGCCAAGCGAAACAATGGCATCTTCGAGGCTGAGCAGCGTCTCTGGCTCTTGTTGCCTGTTGCGTTTGTCGGTCCTGCTGGTCTCATGCTATTCGGGATCGGCTCGGATAAAGGCTGGGATTGGCATCTGCCGTATCTTGGTCTGGGATTCATTGGTTTCGGCTGGGGTTGTGCGGGCGATCTTAGCATGGCATATCTCATGGATGCGTACCCGGATATGGTGCTGGAGGGTATGGTCGGTGTATCTGTCATCAACAACACTATTGGTTGTATCTTCACATTCACCGCTCAGAGTTGGTTGGATGCGCAGAGCCTCGCGCAGGTCTTCATTGCGATTGGCGTCTTGAGCTTCTGTTTCATTATGACTACTGTTCCGATGATGTACTGGGGCAAGAAGTGTCGGCAGATGACTCGGAAGCAATATGAGGCATTCCTACTGCTTCGTGATGGACCTTCTAGTTGACGATGTGTCAACTAGCCATTATCATTTCATGTTCATGTTATTCATTTTCTCGATGTATATGTACGATATTTGCAATAATCATTGTGTTTTATAGCTATAATAGAAGAAGAATGCGCTAGCTGCTCTGGAATTACCATTTCTGCTTGTACCTTCACTAGCTAACAGTCCCAATCCGCTTCCGCGTTAGCTTGCAGTAGTTTTTCGCAGTAGGAGAAAGAAGAACGGGAATGTCTTTCTCCGGAGGTCATTCTGGACATTGGTTCGATTGATAGGTCATGTCTGAAAATAATTTGGAGACGTAACTCAGACATAGCACATTAAGCCACTTCTAATGCCCCACAGAAGCAAGTAATCCTGTCTGAAAGGTAGTATATTGTGCTCCATACTTCAGATCAAGTCAATGTGCGTGCGTAGGTCGTTCGTCCACACTTTGATTTGATGGGGATACAATTCAAAATGTACTAAATAACATGTATCATATTCCAAGCAATAAATAACGGAGTATAGAGAAAATATTGGCTAAAACTCGCAAGATGCCATAGTTGGGGGAAATCTTCTCAGGTGTACGTAGCCCTCCCGCTAGCTCCCAATTTGGGGCCAACCACGCAAGCTGCCCCGTCATCCTCCATCCAAGCTCTTTCTCGGTGGACCGCTAATTTATTCCAATGCCACAACATATACCGATATTCTACTTGTCGCTCAAGCCTGCTCCACTATGGTTCCTATCAACAGGACCAATCCTTATCCTCCGGTATGGTGGCTGGATGCGTGGTCAATGTGATGTTCCAAGGTTGCATATCGACACACATCTAAGAATAAAACTAACGAACCCATATTCGTGTATCTGTTGTACTCGCTTGTTCACCGAGGCTAAATCTAACTGCCTATAATTCCCGGGGATTCGCCCATTGTTTCCAATTCTTGTTGATCGTTCTGTGCATCTATTACTTCATTCGTTCACTCTGCTGCTCTATCGGCCGCAATATGGGTTTCAAGTCTTACTACCAATGGGCTACTCTCGCCCTGGCTGTGACTGCTGCTGCCCAAACTACCACCAGCTGCAACCCTATGAAGAGTATGAACTATCTCATATGATTCGTCGCGAAACCACACTTACAGTTCCTTTCCAGAGACTTGCCCAGCAGACACAGGTCTAAACAAGTACCGTCTAAACACCGACTTCACCTCCGGATCCCTAGGTCGCTGGAATACCACCGCCGGCACCGTAACCAGCACCGACCTCGGCGCCAAGTTCACCATCTCGGAGCAGGGAGACGCCCCCACAATCGAAAGTGAATTCTACATCTTCTTCGGCCATGTCGATGTCAATATGAGAGCCGCAAACGGTACCGGTATCGTCAGCACCTGGATCCTAGAGTCTGACGACCTAGACGAGATCGATTGGGTGAGTCCACAGACAGTGTCCCAACCCACCAAACAAAGTAACCATTAACACCAAAAACAGGAACAAATCAGCACCTGGGACACCGAAATCCAAACCGACTACTTCGGCAAAGGCAACACAACCTCATACGACCGCGGCACAACCGTAACCGTCTCAACCCCCGAAGAAACATTCCACACCTACTCAATCGACTGGACGTCAGAGCGCATCGAGTGGCTCCTCGACGGCGAAGTCGTGCGCACACTCAACTACGCCGACGCCGTCGACGGCACAAACTACCCCCAAACACCCATGCGCATCCGCATCGGTATCTGGGCCGGCGGTGATCCAGATAACTCCGAGGGCACGATTGAGTGGGCCGGCGGCGAGACTGATTACACCGAGGGTCCTTTCTCCATGTATGTGGAGTCGGTCGATATCATCAACTACAACCCGGCTTCGGCGTACAAGTATACTGATAAGACTGGGGATTATACGAGTATCAAGGCTACAAACGCTACTATGTCGACTAACTTGAGCTCGTCGAACTCTAGCTCGATTGTTGCTTCGAGTAGGACTTCTGCTTCGGCGAAGGCTAGTTCGTCTTTGGTTGGTTCTTCGTCAGCTTCGGCTTCGGCGGCGGCTTCTTCTAGTAGTTTTGTCTCTGCTGCTCCGGCTTCTTACTATACTTCTGCTTTTGCCACTGCTGTGGTATCTATCGTTGCTGGCTTGCTTCAACTTTAGATGGTTGTATTGGTCATGTTATAGGTCTGGGTGGTTTGTCGGTGAGACCTGGTTTGTAGATATACAAATCACTTTGTTGCTTTTTGTCTCATATTGCCCATATTACATCTAGGAATGCAGACCCAGTAGGTAGTTATTGACTGTATGAATACTCAACAGCCTTGAACCACTATGGTGTAATAAGCCAAACATATTCCAGCCACACTAGAGCGTTAATTTAGAGACTTTTTTCTTCAGGCCTATTTTCATATCTCTTTTCACTCTCTGGGCTTTTTTTAAATAAAAGGCTCTCTACACATATTTGGCGGTGGAACCCAGAATTATTGGGGCAGATTCATAAACACTAGAAAGGATAATACAGGGGCAGTAGCCGCGTCAACGCGTCAACGTCAACAACACACCGACTGTGTGTCACAACTAGATCAACTGTGAGGCGCTGGAGATATGTATCAACCCATCAAATAAGATCTCTAGTAAGAAGAAGTTTGAACGCTCGCCTGCGTGCGAACATAATCAGAACACAGCCAGGGCGAAACCCCGCTTATCGCATCCCTAGGGGAGCCTCATCCACAAGAGCCTTTCAATTGAGACACTCATCAACACTAGACCCTGTTTCCGCCAAAGAGGAGCCCCGGTCTTTTCCAACGGAGGGATTCCCAGTCATCGAACAGGAGTAGCCAGTCGAGGAAGAACAGCTGTTCGACTACAGCGCCCATAGATACTACCCAGTATATATCGGTGAGGTCTTCCAGGACCGCTATCAAGTACGTTCAAAGCTAGGCTGGGGTAGTTGTTCGACCACGTGGTTAGCCAGGGACCTCAAGTATGTCGGGACCAAGCAATTCCCTTTTGTTTAAATAACTGATAGTGTATTCTTGCAGAGACAAGAAATATGTCGCGTTAAAGGTCTATATCCACAACTCGGTATTTCACCGTGAGCTCCCATTCTATAAGCACATCGCTCCCCTCATGTCAAGTGATCATCCAGGGAGAGGCAATATTCGGCGATTCTTCGATTCCTTCACTATCACCGGCCCAGATGGCAGACATATCGTGCTGGTTCAAGAACCCGCATGTATCAGTCTATTCGATCTCAAAGAAAACATGCCCGAGAACAGATTTCCAGAGGGGTTGGTCAAACATGTCCTTACAGGGTTACTCCAAGCCCTAGATTTCTTGCATACCGAGTGCAAGGCCGTGCACACTGGTCGGTTATTATCCCATGTTCGAGTACTTGGCGCGGTTGTTTATTTACCTGCCCTTAATCGATGCCCATATCGGTAATATGCTAGCATGCGTGAATGACAGCGAGAATGCCAAATTCAACGATATTGAGGAATCGGAAACGACCGACCCATCAGCACGCAAGCAGGTATCGCCTGACCGAACCATTTATGCCTCGCGAGCAATCCTTCCGAAGGACGGACCGCTGCGTGTTTCTGATTTCGGCGAAGCTAGAATCGGGCCTAGGCCGTATGATTATCCTGCCATGTCTATGTCATATCGCGCACCTGAGGTATCGCTCGAGGTGCCGTGGGGCTATCCGATTGATATTTGGTGTGTTGGACTTGTGGTACGTTCTGTCTATATTCCATATCTAATAGCTTCTTCTTCTTCTTCTTCTTCTTCTTCTTCTTCTTCTTCTTCTCTTCTTCACACAAGTGCTGATTTTATCTTTTATTTTCAACAAAGGCATGTGATCTTCTTGGGCTGAATAAAATTTTCAATGCCGACCACGAGTCCGGCGATATGTATGAGGCAGCCCACCTTGCAGAGCTAATTTCTGTGCTGGGTCCTCCGCCTGCTGCGTTTTTGGCACCTAATCCTGAGAAGGCGGCTCAGTTCTGGGATGAAGGGGGTATGTGTTCGGTTTCTTGGTACACTCGTTATGTGACGAGATTCGTTGCTAATTTGGTTATCTAGGGATATGGAAGGACATCGTTCCCATTCCTGATATAGGCATGCTTGAGTCATTAGGAGGTCAGATGGGTCTACCTCCTGCATTTGTGAAGTTCATGCGCAGAACTTTGACCTGGGTACCAAACGAGAGAGCGACTGCTAAAGATCTTGTAGAGGACCCTTGGTTGAAGGTGTGATGTTCTATGTATGATGTTAGGGCTGCTTAAGAATAATCTCTACTCAACATATTTCTCCCAGTTTTCTTGGTCTATGTGTTATCATTACATTCACGTTTCAATATGGACGGTCTCGAGGTTTCAATTGAGGCGTACGGATTCACAGACCTGCATACCCATGTTTTGTGTTAATGCGTCCAACAACTCTTAAAAAAACCCCAAAAAAGAAGAAAACTCAGTTCAACACCACGATCACCAAAAACAAAAAAGAAATTGTTGTGCATCATCCGTGAATCGAACACGGGCCTCGTCGATGGCAACGACGAATTCTACCACTAGACCAATGATGCTAATTGATGTGTGGAGACTCGGTTGGTGGCTATATGAGCGGATTATGCTAGGGTTTGTGAGCGTTGGACTCCACTATTTTGTTAGATGCCATGTTAACTAACTAGTTAACTAGTTCTTTGATATCTATTAACAGATAACGTTATTGCGGAGTACTAATTGGCTATTAGATTTAATGTTAGATAAAATTAGCTAACTATATTTTACATACCCACTATATTATTCCGGGGCTTTGAGTGTTTTCGTCCATATATTCAGAACTACTCGATAGCATACTCGGAGATATATATCTGAGAGATATTTTAGTTATTATCATCTCGCTTCATAAAGAAACACAAGATCTTCGTCCATGCAGTAACAAACAGATATACCAAGATGACGCCGACGAGATAAAATTGGTTAAAACATGAATAGATAGGTAGAAATGTAAAATCAGTCACCCCCAGTGAAGAAAGGCAACAATATGCAACAGAAATGGTATATATAGAGAAATCATTGTTCATCAGTGAGCGAAGGAGGGTTGACGATATCCCGTATCGCCGGAGAAAAAGGATATTGATCGTCAAAGTGGTCCAGCTCACTTCCGTCGCCGCTGTACCCAATGCTATCACGATTGTCATCAATGATGCGTCCGTACTCGAGGAGAAGAAGATAGAGATAGATGTCAAGATCTTCGTTGCGCAATGCATGCTGCGCCCATTCCCGACTTTGTGATGCGATAACCTCAGCCTCAAAGTCATGATTCTGGATGTACGGTTCGATAACCGAGAACGCATCCACGGGGGATGCTTGTGGATCCAGACCGAGGAAGTAGGTCATTAATCCGTACAAGTCATCGTACCGATTGTCCATGGGGACGAAGTGACGCCAGGGGAAGAGCCGGGAGTCATGCCATTCTCGGAAGATAGTTGCCTTGATCCCTAGGGATTTGCTGAGCTGAAACGCGCGCCACCGACCGGAGAAACTGTGACCGTCGATGTCGACGAGGTACTTTGCCTTGAATTGCTCGCTGAAGGCCTTGGGCTTTTTGTAGGTCCAAACATCGTCGTAGAAGGAGCAGTTCGGGATGCAGCCCCAAGCCTCAGTGAAGCCGACATCGAAGTGGTCCAATGAAAATTTTCCTGGGTAGAAACTGGAGTAGTTACGATACTGCCCCAAGCTGGTCTCAGAGAGGATTGAGACCGTCTCTGATCTCATCTCAGTGTTGTTGGTAATGTGTACAAAACGTTGGCGGTGCATGTGCTGCCAGTTATCCGCAAGCTGAACACCTCCGGAGGTGACGCCGCGCCAGAGGAGAGTGTCTGCTTTGTCTTTCCACCCGTAATCGTGTCGCGAATTGTACACGTACCGCTTGTCATTCAGGAAATACATATTTGCAGGAAAAAGGATATCGTTGTTCACGCTAACCTTGCACTCGCTGAAGACTGGGATCAATTTCCTTGTGATGAGGTTGCTGGATGCTGAGAACAGAAACCCGTGGTTCTCCCCGAGAACAGGACCGACGGTGCAAAGATCAGAGGAAGCAGTAAAGTTAGTGACAAACCCACCCGAGGGGGATTTGTATAGCTTATCAGCGTCCCCTACAGTGATATTGTCATTCCGAGCGGGAGAGTGAGGGTCACAGGACTCTTTAGCGAAGTCCATGTATAGCTTCCCAGCGACCGAGAACCAGGATGGGTTAACACGTTCCTCGATGCTGGAACCCTCCTTGTAAAGATAGTCCATCCCTGGCGTGAATCCGTCCTGCGCATCGCTGGGTAAGCTTCTCGTGAGGGCTTCAGTGCGGAGGTATTCCTGGGTATCCTCAAAAGGAACCATGACTCGCGGCTGATCCATAATATTAAGCGCAATATCCATGTCCGGAAGATACTGAACAATGCGATTAATCGACTTCCTCATTGTGTCAAATCTCCACTCATCAACGGGGGAGTTGACAATCTTCTTCTTGCGAATTTGCAAACCTGCAATGCCGTCGCTGAACTGTAGCTCGGCTGCCATCTGTCGAATTTCTGCTGGGGGAACCGCCCAGAAAGGCCGCAGATCGCCTGTAATCTGTTGGAAATCGTCCACATTATGTGCCTTCTTTTTGCGTGCGAACATGTACCATTCCTTGAAACCGGGAGGTGGGTGTCGTCCATATGTTTCACGGTATTTGGCGACTGTTCGGCGGAAACTTGTCGAGCGACCATTATCATATGCCTGCCATTGTCGGTTCGCTTCTTTCATCAGGTCGCCGATAGGGTGTTCATCGTTCGCATACTCCCCGATCACGGGGTTCGTTGTTGTGGTGAAGAGATTAAGATTAGGGATTTGGATCACGGAGTTATCGACGGCATGGGTGAGGAGTAGGAGGTTGATGAAGCATATCAAGGTTACCGCGCAGATCAGTACCAGGTAGAATGGTCTGCGGTTCCGAGGAAATGGGCCGAGCATTGAAAACAGTTCCTAGGGCCGGGAACTAGGTTCCAGCCGCACACTAAATTTGGACAATTTTGCAGGGGTTGAAAGGCCAAAGCACGAAGGCTATGAGAAGGACGTGAAAAAGGACATGCTTGCAATAAACATGTTAAGAGTTGAGAAGAGGAAAAAAGAAAGAAAAAAAGGTCGCCATAATGCCCTTAGCCTCCTAATATTCAAAGCCTATTCCAACGCCAAGGGTTTACACAAACATATAAAGTTCTTGGCTTGTCTTTCATTTAAAAACACGGGTAATAGTTTACTTGGAAAAGCTACAACGGACCTATTAGACCAATGTACGTTGTCGGCAATGTTGTATAGAACATGTAGATCACCCCTAAAGGGGTTGGAGATCAATGATCAAAGAAACGTGCGCAAGTTACCCAATCAGGACCTCTCGGCACAGATGCTGAAAGTCTTTGATTCGGATACGGCCGGCTCTTTGTACCAAGCGTTACAAGAGATTAATAAATTACCAGTTTTGAGAGCTATATTTTTTTCATAATTTTTACAAATTAAGGAATGGAGGAAGCATTTCACTAATTACTGATCTATAAAATAGTAGACTAATAATATTAGGGTTATTTTCTTCATGGCAGGACTGGATTTCCCGCCTGACTCAGTAATTATATAAGCAATGGCATCTGATGGCCTCAGGCACATACAGCTAAGAGCTGTCAAATGCGACCCTCACGGATCTTCATTACAACTTCTTTCAGCGCACACAATTTCTCCCATGCAGATGACGTGATCAATATCTCCCCATGGGTGACTGTCCCATCCTAAAATCATGGCCCTAAAACGTACTCGCGCGGCGCTCGAGGCCGATCTTCAAGCAGAGCAATCTCCATACGCCTTCTATGGAACCCCGTTACCACCACTTGAAGAGGGGGTTCGTGATGATGGCTCATTTGTGCCAATATGGAAGCAAGAAGTGAGGGATGAACATGGGAGCAAACGTCTTCATGGAGCTTTTACCGGTGGATTCAGCGCGGGGTGGGTAGCCTCTAGACCAATAACCCTTGGAAGGACAACAGCTGACGCCTTCTAGATACTTCAACTCCGTCGGCTCGAAAGAAGGATGGACCCCTGCGACCTTTGTCTCATCGCGCCAAAACCGTGCCCAGAAGGCTGAACAGAAACGACCTGAGGATTTCATGGACGCGGATGACTTGCGAGAACAGGAAGAAGCCAGACAACTACAGACCGCCGATGAATTCGCCGGTTTCGGGTCTACCGAGCTAGATGCTACACGCAGAGCAGGACTCATGGATATATTGAAAACCGGCGGAGAAACCATGGGAGTCAAGCTCTTGAAAAAGATGGGCTGGCGCGAAGGTCAAGGGATCGGGCCTAAGGTGCGACGCAAAGCTAACCTGGATGAAACCTCTGCTCCAGGTGGCGATGCGGGGGAAACCTATCTTTTTGCGCCTGAAAACCCACCAATGGTTGCCTTCATTCGCAAGACCGACCGCAAAGGTCTTGGGTTTGAGGGCGAATCGCGCCTAGAGTCCCATAATGCTTTGCAGCCTGTCCCAGATGGCGAGGAATCGGATTCATTCTTTGGGGGGCGATTGGCAATTCAAGGGAAATCTCAGCCCCCAAAGCCGAACGGTTCACGGCGGGGAGGACTCGGGGTTGGCCCTCTCAATGACACTGGGTCGGACGATGAGGATCCTTATTCCCTAGGTCCACAAATCTCATACAACAAGACAATTGGAGGGGATAAGAAGAAAAAGAAAAAGGCCAAGCCAGAACCCACAATCGCGTCAGCCAACCCACTCTTGAATTTAAAGCCCGTGTTCATATCGAAGAAGGTGGCCGCATCACGCGGCACTGGAGGCTTCAGAAAGTGCCGCGACGGGCGCCTACCCCTAGATGGATTCATTCTTGCCGATGGCATCACGGGACTGTCGATTTCAGACAAGACATACGATCCTCCTGTGATACCCGAGGACTGGAAATCGGCCAAAGAAATCTCGTCAGAAAAACGGGACCAATCAAATTATGTCTCTACAGCCGACGCCGCAAAAGCCTCATCGCTTAATCCTACGGCTAGAGCAGCTCTTCTGGGCGAAGCTCAACTACCCGGAAAGTCCATCTTTGATTATATGACCCCCGAGGGTCGAGCGAAGATTGCCAGACTTACCGGCAACGCCAACTTACCTCCGGCTTTAGGAGAAAAAGCACCCGAAGGATACAAAATCCCTGAATCACAAAAACGCAAGGATCTTTGGGACCTTGTGCCAAAACTGGACAAACAGATTGCCGCCCAAGCTCTAGCTCGGGCCGTTAGTGGGTGGATGCCTTACCAAGAAGACGAGAAAAAGCGTGCACGCTACCAAATATTCCTCGAAGTTAGTGCCGGGACTCGCTCAACCCTCCCAGAGCGGGTGGAAGGGTCCAGCACCGATGAATGGGTCATAGAGATGCAAGAATTTAGCCGAGCTGCAGAGGTCTTCAAACCCATGTCTGGAGTTATGGCATCCCGATTTACCTCCTCGTCCACCGCGCCCAAGATTGTCTCGGACGCCCCTGATTCAGCAGAATCTGGACTCAGCAGACCCACTGAAAAGCCAGACGATCCTGCAGTAGCAGCTGCCAAAATTGGCATGTTCGGCCCAATGACCCGAAGCACAATCCCCTTTTACCCAACTCGCCTTCTATGCAAGCGATTCAACGTCAAACCACCAGAGAATGTGCAACTTGACCCCGGCGAACGACCTGGAGCTACCAGTTCCGGGCCCGGCACGCGGTTCCAGTCCGCTGGATTCCAAGCTGATACTGGCCCAAAGCAATTAGTGTCACAAGATATCATGAACCAACTTCTCATAGACTCGTTAGGTTACCTACCTACAGCCGATGGCCTTGATACATCTGCAAGTGGTCAGCCTGCTAGCGCGACCCCACCGGTCGTCGTTGAACCTGAGCGCAATGATGCTCTGGAGGCAGAACGGCCCGGTGATGCTGTTTTCAAAGCTATCTTTGGAAGTGACGATGAAGATAACTAGAATTGAGCCACTTGTTTGTCTAATTCAATGACAATTCGTGTATTATTTTTTTTAGTGATAGCTCTGTACTCTGTATGAATTAAGCAATTATGCCTTGTAGATCATTGTGTGACTGTTGGGAGTCGTCCCAGTTGGCAGTAGATCAAATGGGAGAAATTGTGGAATGTTACCCTTGTTTCTGTATGTTTCTGTGTCTGTTTCTGTTTCTGTTTCTGTTTCATTTTCATTTTCATTTCCATTTCCTTTATCCTTTGGCTGCCTTTTACATTTTGCCTCGTCCCTTGCTAGGTCTGTGCTCGGCCTTAACGAACGATCTAGTCACTTTAGTTGAGATCGCCACCACTCCACGCAACCCCCGGGGCCCCTCCCAAACTATTTCCCCTCCTCATATGGAGCTCCTTGATTACTAGCAAGATGGTAAGAACCTAAGAACCCCCAGAACCCCCAGAACCTATATATATATCATCGTCATTAAGACTGGTCACATTGCTTGGCACTGTCACACGACTTAAACCCCCGGATCTCATCTCCATACCACCAAAACCCGCAATGGCCCCATAATCACAACTAACAACCCCCTCTTCACACAGGGCTGCTGCGCATCTGTGCTGTCGCGTAATGTCGACAATCAACACCAAGAACGCATCTCACATATAACAGCTACGAGGGATACCAGCGACCGCTCCACTCAGCCAGGGCAACGAAGCCGGCGCGCCCCAGACCTCCCCCTCAACGAACACTACAACCAGCCAGTGCGAAACCATGTGTGGCGCAGCAAGCGACAAACATGGACGCGCGCGCAGCTGGACCGCGAGCGCACCGAGTTCTTCGAGACGCGCGTTACCGGCAGGCCGGAGATCTGGGCTGCTGTTTCGACGGTGATATCGCTGATTCGCAGCGGCGATTTGGTTACTGCGCAGAGTATTATTGATGCTGCGGGGATTACTATTCCAACCGGAGATCTTTGTGAGGGTTGTTATGATGAGCAGGGCGTGCTCTACAGGGTTCCGCAATGTGTTGTTAGTGATCCGGAGAACATGGTTCCTTCGTCTTCGCGGACGGCTAGTGAAGCTGGTGGTCCTGCTAGATATGAGGAGGAGCCGGATACTGGGACGCTGTCGGATGATAAGCTCGATGCAGATGATGCTTCCGCGGACGAGCTGATTTCTCAGGATGTTGAACGTCGCCGTGATGAGAAGGGGAAGACGAGTGAGCGGGATTTGATCCGTGTTTTGGCTCGTTTGAGTGATCGTGGAGGTCCTGATATCGTGATTTCTATTGGTAAGGGTCAGACCGTGGGACTTTTGGCGAGGAAGGTGCATCAGGAAGCTAAGGTTGGTTTTTGTTATTGATCTGTTCCCTTCGTTTTGTGCTAATCTGTTGTTAGCTCGAGGATGATAGGCGCGTGCGAATTGCTTACCTGGGTCACTTGCTGAATGAACGTGCATCGCTCGTTGATCAGGGGTGGAAGACTGGCCATGTTGTCAATGCTTTAGTCGTTTCCCCCGTTGACGATCAATGCCTTGGACACCGATCCTAGGAGGGCTTGTTACGGAGCTTTTTGAGCTTCACTGTAGCTCACCACCAGCATCACTCTTTTATCTCTCTCCATTTGGGCCTCAAGCGTTCTGGCGTTTCTGTCATCTGATCTCTTTTTGCATAATACCCCGAGTCTGTTCTTTTACTTTTCGCTTCCAGTTACAATCTGACAGATACTGTTCTTGCGCTCATCTCTTCACTGTGCCATGATCTTTCGTGTGGGGATATTCATACTCGATGAAAGCAAACTGGCTCTCAGTCCGTATCATCGCGCTTGCTTGTAGAATTTTGTGCATCTAATTACTTCATCTAGTTATGAACATGCAATGTCTCCATTCTTCCAAGATCGTTGTGCTATACTCTTGTGTAAAGCTAACTTGGCCAGGTAGGTAAATAGGTATGTGTTGAATACTATACCCGAGATACTTGCTCAATTCCCGAAACGCGGTTACAGAACCACACAGCATTTGAAGACCGATAAAACCAGCCATCGTCCTCTAAATCACAAGCATTTCAAGGTAGCTCTGCCTATCCAAAGTCCCACTTATTTTTTTAGCGAGATCTCTCTACCAATGAACCACCCGCGATCGTCACATGCAGATCGTCACGAGCAGTGACGTACGTGGAGAACCCTATCATAACCCCAATTTTCTTTCGCGTCTGGGAGTTCTCTTACCCCTCGTGTTGATACCCCACATTCTCTTTGGATTTGGGGTTTATGGACAATCCATATGGCGAGACTATGGACTACGAAGCAGACCGTCAGACGCGCGAGGTATACCGATATTTCCAGCCCGAAAATCCAGCGGCGCTTAATACTACACTTCTTCAATTTGGTGAACATGTGGGCTCGATAGCAGACTTTTCAAGAGTGTCGACCCCCTTTCTACCGGATACCTCTGACTCAGAAACGAGTTTCGCTGAAGAAAGCCCTCCGTCAAGTCCAAATACAACTTTGACTTCTTTTGCACAACTAGCCGCTCTACGTCTGAACGCACAGCGTGCTTTTATTACGTATATCACTCTGCTTCTCTAGCATCGACCATGATCTGACTTTACCAAAGTGTATTGAACACCGACTCTCAGTTTATATTGGCTGAAGCCACAAGAAACACCAATCTTAAGAGCTCAAAGTCATCCGTCGGAGAAGGAGATAGACTCTTCGCTGGGACATCGACATTATCAAACACTTGGAATATATGCCAGGTAAGCCGGTCTTGCAAATATTGGCACTCTCTTATATATTGACGCCTATTTCTTCAAACAGGAAACAGTTGCAATTGATCCAGACAACCAAGATGGGGTGTATTCGTTTATGGTTGTCAACGATCTTCAACAGGAAGAACGATTCAGAGACTTGCCTTTTGTCGCACAAGAGCCACACTCTCGTTTTTATGCTGCAACGCCTCTAACCAGTGAAGGCGGTATCAACTTGGGATGTCTGTTTGTATTGGATTCTGAACCCCGCCAGGGGTTATCTGACACCGAGAAGGATACACTAGGGAGAGTGGCAGAGTTGGTAATGGACTACTTATTGGTTAGCCGTCAAGCTGCAGAAGGGCGACGTGCCTCGCGGCTATCGCGTGGTCTCCATCTTTTTGTCGACGGTAACTCTAGTTTTCCCAGCAACGCTCGCATGTCATCTCGGTCAAATAGCTCGGCACACTCAGCACAGAGTTTGTCCCCGAGGAGATCACCTCACTCGAGAGCCAGGCGATCAACCAGCTCCCAAACCAATGAACTGAAATTTCCCTCGGCTCGATCTGGGTCAGGAAATGGTTCTCAAGACGGCGACCCACAGCTCTTGAGCCTAATTCCCAACCAGAATGACCTGCCTGTTCCTCCAAGTCCAACCTCATCATTGCAAAACTCGCGATATGCCGAGAGTGGCTCGGAGGATTTCTCGAGCAGCAACCGCTGGCTTTTCCAACGTGCTGCGAACCTCTTACGACAAAGTCTTGACTTGGACGGTGCTGGTGGTGTCATGTTCATGGAAGTTAGTGACAACTCCTCCGAATATGTCGCAGCCGGTCATTGTGACTCCACTGGATCTACAAATCCTGCTCCTATTCTTGCATTGTCAACCAGAGGTGACCCATTTTCATACCAGGCAAGCTCGACATTGTCAGATCCAGCTGTCAATCTTGATAATATCTTCCTAAAGCAGTTGACCCATCGATATCCCAAAGGGAAAATCTGGTCGTTCCACCACGATGGGACATTTTCAACTTCGGAGGACCAATTAATCGACGAGTCTCGGAAACAAAGGAAGAAGTCCAAGGCTTCGGAGACTAGCAAACTGAATGAGTTCTTCCCTGACGCATCTGAAGTCATGTTTGTCCCACTGTGGAATGCCACAGATTCCCAGTGGTTCGCCGGGTGTTTCTGTTGGACTCCCCAACCAACACGAGTTTTCAGCCCTGCTGTTGATCTAAGTTCAGTATTTGCCTTTGGATCCTCTATTATGACTGAATATAGCCGTGTTGAATCAGTTATTGCAGACCGCCAGAAGGGGGATTTCATAAGCAGCATCTCCCACGAACTACGCAGCCCGTTGCATGGTGTCATGGCTGCGGCTGAGTTTTTTGGAAGTACTAGCTTGGACCAGTTCCAGGAGACCCTCCTCGATACGATAAATGCATGTGGCCGAACCCTCTTGGATACAATGAACCAAGTTTTAGACTTCAGCAAAATCATGTCATTGGAAAGACACAAGAAAGCCTTGAAGCATGGAAAAGATCCGTGGAAACCCAAACTCTCCGAGGAATCTCTGACGCGCCTGGATACATTGGTTTTGACGGACGTGGCTCTCTTGGCAGAAGATGTCATAGACAGCGTGTGCTTGGGACATTCCCATATGCAGAGGTCAGCTATATTCACCAATCACCACACGGATTCCTCTTCAACATCTCCTTCCAATTCAGCAAAAGGTGACAGCCAAGTCGACCCCATTCCACAAGTGGAAGTCATTGTTGACATCCCTGACAATGACTGGATATACACAGTCCAGCCGGGGTCGCTGAGACGCTTAATCATGAATATTCTTGGAAATGCACTGAAGTATACCAACAAGGGCCGGATATGCGTCTCTATGGAGGCCACTGAGCGTTCTAAAGGTCGCTCTCGACGTCAAGGTCTCGAAGACATGGTGACATTGACCATCTCAGACACGGGTAAGGGCATCTCGAAGGAATATCTTCGGAAGCACCTGTTCACTCCGTTCTCACAAGAGGACCCGCTATCGGCAGGCACTGGTCTCGGTCTATCAATTGTCCGCGGCATTGCGAAAACTCTCAACGGGAAAATTAATGTTCGAAGTCGACAGGGCGAAGGCACTACTGTAAAGGTGTCGCTTCCTCTCGAGCGTCTAGTGGGAGATGATAGCCCGCAACCGATGTCTCGTATGGAAGATTCAGACCACAATAGACTTGTGCCATCTTCTCAACTCCGACATGTCGACTGTAGTAGGAAACGTGCTGCTATCTGGGGAGTCGATCCGTCTGGTATTGCCGAGCACCCGTTCTGGGCTTCCATAGCCCGATATATCACGGATTGGTATGGGCTGCAGCTTGTTCCTATACCTGCCAATGAACCTATTGATATCATGTTTGTGGATGAACGGGATTTGTCTGCAAAAGAAATGCAGAATTTCCCAACAGCATTGCCCAGCTTACTCATCTTTTGTAGCGAGACAAGCAACCATGATGATGCTAGGGCACAATGGTCGCACCTTGCTGACTCTTTCGCAATTCTCCATCGACCTTGCGGTCCACGAAAACTTTCCCGCGGTATTTTGAGCTGTTTATATGCAAAGCCGACAACCTCTACATTGAACCCGCAGAATCTCCGGCAAGGCTTAGTGCTTCCAGAGCGACCCGCTCTTACAGTCTCGTCTTTACCCGTTGAAGATTCGAAACCCTCATTGTCAGAAAATATACGATCGCCAGCTCCTGAACCACAAATACTCACCCCAGAACCCAGTGGCACCATCAACATCACGGAGCGTAGCACTTCTGCGTTGACATCGCATACTAATAGCTCTGCTTGCACATTGTCTGGGACTACAGGTTCCACCGATCCTGCGTCTTCTTCATCTACTCGACCTTCCTCTGATGACTCAGGTCAAGTTAGCACCTCATATGGGAGCGAAAGCAAGCCCCGGGTCTTAGTGGTAGACGACAACAACATCAATCTTCAACTCATGATGACTTTCATGAAAAAACGAAAAGTGATGGTCCTAGATAGAGCAGAGAATGGCAAAGAAGCTGTCGATGCGTTTGAAAGGATGCCGCAGGGATACAACCTTATTTTCATGGACATGTCTATGCCAGTCATGGATGGATTTGAGGCAACGCGCGCCATTCGTGCAATTGAGAAAGAAAGGGATGGCTGTATTCCAGCAACAATCATCGCTTTGACAGGACTCAGTAGTTCACTGGATGAGTGCCGAGCCTGGGACTCGGGAGTGGACCTTTTCCTTATGAAGCCTGTTTCTTTCAAGGAAGTATCAAGGCTCGTTGATGAATGGGAAGCTAGACCGCCGAAATAAATATGACGATCACAGCCTTACTTGAGGCAGGCTTACCACCCAGACGTGGAAGAGCATTTTCATGATCATGGGTTTTTTTTCTCCGTACCCTTGCATTTTGGATGCAGAGTGCACATATCACGCATGGATGGATGATGGATGATGGCGAGACTCGATGCATTATCTAGTCTTTTTATTGTGTCCTTACAGCTCAAAGGGCCATTATATCTACACACAACGCTCATTGGCGGTAAATTGGACGCCAAAAATGGCTACTCTTGATGCCATTTTCAGCATCCTTTTTACTAGAACAGTTGATCATTGAGATCCTGTTATTCGTACTGACTTTTACCAGGTGATTATTGGGCGCTGCTCACTGGGCGATTAGCATTGATCCGCAGTTCTGGGGAGACTATAGACATAACTCTCTGGTCTTGGTAAGTAGTCACCCATACATATCTCTCCACCTTGGAAATATGAAGGGCCGCATAAAGCAGATGTATAGACCACTAGCCCCTAATCGATGGTTTGAATAAACTCAAACCTCTCCAGACAAGGACATCTGGATTGATGAACTGCTTAACTGCTTGTTAAATATGTAACACGTCTATACTCGAGGCAGGATGATGATCCATTACTTTTCAAGCTTTCCTTTCTGCGGACGATATTTATGCCTTGAATATCAGGTCACAAATAATATTACCTAATAACTAATATTGAGCTCCTGGACAAACAATGCAAACAACTCTATCGCAAAGGAAAAAAAATAATTTATCGCAATCTTCGATCTGGATTTTGAATCAAGACAGTTCAATAGTCTCGAACTTTTGATTGAATCCAACCCAATTGCATACACCTCCAGGGTAATCTCTGTATACCACCACTGAGATCAACAACTACCTCCACCTTGATATCCAATCTTCCCAATCACCAGTCCTGTCAATCCTTGAGATAAACCGTACCAATGGACGGCCAAAAAACTCCCTTCGTGAGGGAGCTCGGTTCGAGTGGTATGAGCATTTTTTCCCTTAGAAAACGACAACGCTAATTGATCTCTTTAGACCGGAAAGTCCGCGACAAGGCTCTTGAGTCTTTAACCAAATTCGTGCAGTCTCGCACCGATCTGACTCTCGTGGATCTCCTCAAACTGTGGAAGGGCCTGTTCTACTGTATGCATCACCGCTATATATTCGCTAAATACAAATAGAATCAAAACTAACCTTCACCTAGGCTTCTACCACTCCGACCGACCTCTCACACAACAAGCCCTCGCCCGCGCACTCTCCTACTCCCTCGTCCCCTCCCTCCCCCAAGCAACTCTCCACCGCTTCCTGCGCGCCTTCTGGATCACCATCGGCCGAGACTACCACTCACTAGACCGCATCCGTCTTGACAAGTATCTGATGCTGATCCGTTTCTACGTCGGCGTGGCATTCGAGGTTCTCGTGAAGAACAAGAGCTCAACAAAGAAGGACGACGGGAAAAAGCGCAAGCGCGAAGACGCAGCCAAGGGTCGCGGCAAGAAGCAGAAGAAGCAGGCTGAGGTTGAGACCGCCGCTGAAGACGAGGAGAAGGACAGTGCCGAAGACGAGGAGGCCAAATTCCCCGATCTCGCGGCTTATATCTCCATTATCGAGGAGGGTCCTTTGTGTCCTCTGAACTATGATGAGGATCAGGACAAGGATGAGGGAGACCCAAATTACGTGCCTATGCCGCATGGTCCTGACGGGCTGCGCTACCATCTTATTGATATCTGGATTGATGAGTTGGAGAAGGTTCTTGAGTTTGAGGAGGTTGCTGGTGATGACGAAGAGACTCCGAAGCGGAAGATCAAGGGCGATGTGCCCATGGAGCTCATTTTGAGACCGTTGGAGAAGCTGCGCGCTGAAAGTGCCTACAAGCCTGTTCGGACGAGGGCGACTGAGGCCTTGGAGGATGAGCGCTTGTTCGAGTGGGGCATTCGGACAAGACAGGCTGAGGATGAAGATGATAGTGAAGAGGAATGGGGTGGCTTCGACTAAATTTCTAGTTATAGTATGTGAAAGGGATTTGTACGAACATATTGAATTCATTGCACAGCGTGCTAGCGATCATATCCATCGGTTTATCACGGGTTCTATAAGAAGCTGGTACTAGGCCTACAGGTGTAAAGGACTACAAAATGTATTCACATGTCTCCTGTTTCATTCTGATTTTACTGTACAGGCTGATCACAGAGGACCAAATGTCCAAATTGAACTATCGACGACACAACTCTTCTGTGCTAGGGTATCATGAGTGGATGCAAAGACCCGGCAAGCAGTGGGTATATAGAAGGCGGACTCTCAACAATGACGGGATGGACGGTAGCCATCGGCAACTTTTGTCGAGAGGCTGATCGAAGGCACAATTTAGCGAGGGCCTTCAGCCTCATAGAAACGGCCCGATTTGGTGAGTATTGTGCCCAGCCCTTGGTGGACCTCGGCTTGGAATGCTTCGAAAGGCACCCGTTCACCATCAATACTGATGTAGCCTTCGGTCTGGCGGGGAACTAGACGAAATGCAGACGCTTTGCGGAGATTAAGGTCTGGCATGTCGAAAAAGCGACCACTGGGGATTTCGGTCATCATATTAAGCGCTGTACCACGACTGACTGTTCCGTCGATAGTGACCACGTCCATCAGGCCATCGTCTGGCAACGTCGCAGGAAACATATTTGTGTCTTTTGACATGATGGCCATATTTCCCGCGTAGAAATTGCCCATAGTCTCCCCCGAAATTACCTCCCACCCTTCAGGCAGCTCGTCGGTCACTGTGCCGTAGTTGAGCTCTGGTAGGCCTGGAGACTCTGCAGCAATTTCGAGACGTTTGCTGTCAGCATCTAAGTCATGCGGTCGTGCACGCCACGCAGCGTAGTGTTCCTTAATTCGCTCCTTGTCGCCAATTTCCACCTTGATGGCTATGTCACAAGGCCATATGGTCTGCCGCATCAAACGGACCAGGAAACCGTATGTGAACCGCTGAGCGCCCATCCATCGGATGTTCTCAGTGCCCAGATCACACTCGGCGACGATGCCAAAAGATTGCGAGAGGAAAGAGAGCGTGCGCGAATCTTTCTGGGAGATCGAGACTAGGTCCAGCGGAGTGCGCAGCCCCTTGACGATTCCCAACGCCGCAATCGAGACGCTACCAGTTCCGAAAGCATTCCATGTCATTCCATTTCCAGAGCCACACGGGAGCAGCGTAACGGCGGTTTGCGCTAGCGCTTTTCGAGCATCTGGCCGCTTGCCCAATCCATTGAACACCTCGTGGGGCAAGCCGTCGCCAGAACAACAAACGACCGCATCGTAGGCGTCGATATCGAGATTTTGCGCAATTTCAATTGCATGACCCTTGTATTCAGTGTTTTGTACATCCACCTGGCACTTCGCCGCGGCGAAGACCGGCGCCGCATATCGCTGGTACAAACTCGAAGCCGTCCCCTTCCCACCAAAAGGATTGACCAATACCTTCAGTCGTTTACCGCGCAGTGCCTTGGCATATGCTATGTCAAGTAGTTTCCGTACCCATGTTTCGACGACTAGTTTTTCTTTTTCGGAGATTGGGTATTGGGCGGTCGTCACGGAAACATCGTCCTTGGCAGCAGGCTGTGCATAGACAATGACGAGATTGGAAGAAGTGGCCTCGGCGCCCAGGATGTTGTAAAACGAGATGGAATGGTTGGTTACTGGTTCTAAAATGCGCGCACAGCTCGGTCAGACCATTTCCTTCAACAGTGGCGCCCGCGATAACGCGATCGCCAGAAGGGCCAGGGCCAACTTACCAGACTGCAATAATCCGCAGCAGCGACGATCTTTTTTGGCCGGTCGGTCATCTGCATGAGTGAGCATACGCCCACGCGCCAGGTGTGGAGCAGTCCATACCAAGTATGAGGAGCGAGTCGGCGCCGATGGTCAAAGAGACAGACTGGTCGACAATCAGCGTGTCTTGCCGCATGTGTAGCTCCTGTGAAATATCATCTGGGGATGACATTTTGGATAAGGATGAAGATTCAGCACATTATAGATAGATAGGAAGAATATAACTAGGGGAAAGTTAACAATGAAAGCGCCCTTATGCCGCGGAGTTCCGGTGGGCCCGGGGGTGTGTGATCCCTGCATTGAAAATATGACTACTCCGTACATTCAAACATATAAATACTCTCATACAGAGTATATGTTTCCTATACCAAGACATTTATGTGTGTAAATAGATAGCCAATAGCTGTTTAGAGCTTACTATAATGCCCAGACATTGTTCTCTATCCACTACTCCCGATGAGACATTCATCTCATCTACACAATAAAAGAGACATTTAAGTAAACAAATTCGTCTCAAATAAACAGAAACACGATAAGAAGAGAGGGGGAAAAGGATAAAAAGCATATAGACCGCAAACCGCTGGAAAAACATTGACTTATGCAGTCGCTGCCTTGAGACCCTTCAAAGAGCCTAAGCTCAGTGCCAGGCCCTGAGAGCGACTTCTTATCCGCACAAATCCTGTAATTGGCCCATCGTCTCCCTCTTTTTCGATGCTCAGGTTTGCTAGTGCATCCTCGCCTGGAGAAATAGTCAGCTATCATATCAAGTAGAAAGGGGGTGGATTAATCAGAGGATTGAAAACATACCGAACACACTGCGCGCATACAGGTTCGCGCTCAGGAAGCTGCAATCTCCCTTGAGCGAAGCATCGGGCGTCAAGCAGGCCATATTGGTGCTCTCCATCAGCTGCTTGAGGAAGTCACGCAGGGTTTTGGCCTTGGAATTGATGTTAACCTTATTCTCCCACTCAAACTCAGTCCACATGGTTCGGAACTGAGTCTCGGTGCAGTGAGCAGGCTGGATGTAGTCCATGATGTCGGCATGGATGTCGTTGAGAATGACCACATGGGTCTCGGTAGAGCTGGCGCCGTCATAGACAATGTTACCAAAGATAACACCAGTGTCAGTTGACGAAACCTTGACCGTAGCTTGGACATTCAAGAAGTCGCGTGGGCCTAGGT